GATCCGGATGCCGATGAAGCTCCTGAATTTCCTATGGACGAACTCCCTGAAGAGATTGATGAAGATTATGTTAACGGAGAAATCAGGGACCTTTGTGGCTCATTGATTGAAGTTCGAAATGACAGGGAAAAAGAGCGAAGTGGCCTCCTTGGCCAGTTTGATACCCCTCAGGCCTATGGAACGATCCATTTAGTCCACGCTTCAGTTAAAGAATACCTTCACTTGAAGTTTGCAAGCGCTGGAGATATTTCGAGTCCAGGCAAACTGTCGCCCGGCGCTGCCAGCCTGGCTATGCAACACAGTGTACTCGCAAAGACTTGTGTTCGTTATCTTACCTATTCCGAGGTATGGGACCGTGATGTGCTGCCCGATTTTGACGTTCCGATACCTACGGTGACGAACAAGCCAAGCGGAGAAGATGATGATACTGCCATTTCTAGTATGCCTGTCAATTACTTTCTTTCCTTTTTGCGTGTGTGGTTCGCACTGGTTTCTGGTTTCTGGCTTCGGGTTTCTGGTGTTATGCCTTTTGGGATATGATTTTATGCCACGATGTTTCTTTTTTTTAGGTGGGGGAGATGTCGGATATTTCTTTTTTTATTTCATGTTTCCCGTCTTTATTTTTACCCTCATCTCATGGCTGATCTGCCCTTTGCATCTTGAATCTCACTCGTTTGGCTTCTCGACGTTCCTTACATCCATACCTACATAATACTTAATGCTCCCCCCTCTGCTCCGTACCTCTATGCTACGGCCTATGCTCGGGATATGGATCGTTGTTTTTCCCCCCTTGCGATAATACTCTCGTTTACTCACAAGTATCTGATTCTTACCGCTGGAGGCATCACACGAAACATGTTCTTCCCCACGTTTCTATTTCCATATCTCTCAGTCTTGAAAGGGGTTATTGGATTTGGGCAATGTATATTATTCTTCCTTGGCTGGTTCATTCCCTGCCTGTTTTCTTGTCATGTTTTTGGCATTTAATTGACTTGACATAATTGATACCCTCACCCTCGACCTGGAAACGCGATTGCTTGAGATGAGGCAACCATTGGCAAAGAGAAACAGGGGTAGTTCCCTGTTTGTTCTTGGGTGCCTTAAAAGAAATTACCATTGGGATATATGTATGTACTTCAATGCATTCATATGTGGGACTGTACATGCATACATGACTCTGCCCAATTCGAACCAAGATGTGTTGGAACAAAGCTGGTTGCGAGAATTGATTAATTAGGCTATGGCGGCAGTGCCGCCCGAAAGGCGCAGAGTAAGCATGAATCATCGAAAAAATACAGGCTATGAACAGGGTGTGGCAAATATACCCTATAATCAGCTCAATTATAGGCCACACATGCGGACGGCGGACCGGGCGGATGAACTCCTGGTGTTCTGCGACACCTAGTTACCTACTCATATGTATAAATGACATGACCATTTGTCTGCCCAAGTAGTGATGTGCATATCCCGAAACTCCCCCTATACTTCCTGACTGCATGATGCGCCCCGCTAGCAAAACACATCGCAAGGATACCTGCATGTCGACATGGAATGGAATGCCCAACCCTGCTCCCACACATGTAGTGGCCATGTATATGCAGAGCACCACGAAAATGCAGCATTTCAAGCTCTATTCGTAACCATTCCACGTAACCATTTCATGCCCCAGCCCCGTCCAAAGCACGAGAGGTAGGGACATGCCCCTTATTTTATAGCCAATGAGAATAATTCAACCCTTTCGTGGGCTGCAGATTATGCAATTGCCGGGCCGTCTATGGTCAAAAATAGCACAAAACAGGTGGTATCATAACGTCCTTTGTTGTCAATCATGTTTTTCGTTTTCTTCCGATAGGCGTGGCCATGGTCATGCGCCCTTCCTAAACAGACTATCATGTTGAAACTTCTACCCGACTTCTAGAACTCCGGGAAATGGATATCATGCATGTCATCATCCATCTACCGTCCCACACCAATTCTCTCGTCTCGAGTTCGGACTATCCGTGCCTTGTCGCCAGGCAAAGGTTTCAGTTCGTCATTTGGATCGACGCCCGGCCGGTTCGAACTGGACATGGAGTCCTCGTCTTGATCCCGGACCCCATCGTTCTCAGCCTTCTTGCCAGACGAACCTGTCTTGCTGGAGTTCTTGTTCATGAGCTCCTGTTGACGGCGGAGCTGCGCTTCTTCGAAAGCAATTATATCCTCGGACGTTACTGTAATGGCGGTTGGCTTGCGGCGGAGCATCCTTGCTGTGCTTTAACAGTTGATATTTGGATCTCCAAGAAGTACCTAGGTATGCTGCGTCCGCCTGTCGTCTGGAACTCACACGAGCTGCCGTTCGTAGGATCTCAGCTCGATGCGGGGAAACGTGGGATCAACGGGTAATATTCTTGCTATGATGCTAGACACCTGCAGCTTGTCTATAGCAGTTATGCAAACCAACGGCCAGCCAGCGGATTTTTATATTAGATATTCAAACGGCCAGAAAATATTTTGTTTGGCTGTGAAATCTGAAGAAAGCAAAAGACGGACCAAAAAGCTTTCCTTATCGGGAAAGCTGTATGTTTGCTCTGTTTACTCTATTTGCACTGTTTGCCTCCATAACTAATGGTATTTACATATTATGTAATTTGCTGTTTAAATCCAGTATAAAATACCATTCCACGTGACTATTATTTTTGGTTGAAACTTTCTTGCGAAACTTCAAAGTTGAACAAGAAGCAGCGGAAAAGAAGCCAACGGCGGTCGGTGGGAAGATACCAATCGTTAGCAGGATCTGCAGCGAGTGTCAGACATGGCGGCCCAAATATTTCGACGTCCTGCGACGGGTGCGCTGCAATTGACCCGAAATTCTCTCGTTACGGCCCGGGAGTTCACATCGACATGCTCTCGCGCTGAAGGAGATAGGCCACCAAAGGCTTCTTGTAAGTAGAATTATGTCTCCATAAATACACATTCACTGCTTTCGTATGCTTATAATCCCTATCTAAAGCACCAAGGAAACCTGCTGCGTCTTCGGACGACTTTTCCAGCCGTCGAGGAGCCGCGGTGCGACGAGTCCAAGACGTGATCAACCGGACATCAGCTCCGCGAGAGGGAGCCTCAAAGCCAACAATCCGTTTCACATCCGATATAGAAGGCTCTAATTCCCGTCCCATGCGGCCAAGCGGGCCCCCAGCCCGCAATAACAACAGACCGGGTGGTCCAATGCTTTCAATGAACGCCGACAAACTAAAGGAAAGACTCAGACAACGGGGAGGTATGGGGGGAAGTAGAGGTGGCATGCGGTTACCACGTATGGCTACTCGGCAGGTGAAACGAAAACCAGTGAATCGTCAACAGATGGAGGAAATGAGGAGGCTAGCGGAGGAGCAATCGGGTGCGGATGACGCTGCAGATATGCAAGAGTTCATGGAATTCGAAAGGGAGTATCAAGACAAGGAAAAACACCAACCAGCCGTCCGCTACAACCCTCAACCATATACCGCTGAGAGTCTCAAGGAAACATGGCCAGCTCTGGCTATAAACGGAACCTCGAATACCAGCACCATCCGGGAGAAGCTCTCGTGGTTCGGTGAATCATATGTTGGATGTGATGAACTGCCTGAAGACCTAGCAAAGCGAGTCTACCAGGGTAAACGTGTGTTTTTCTCCAGCGAGACACAGAAGGCCGAGACCATGAAGTTTGTGAAGCAGCTAGCCAGTGAGCATGCGTCTAAGCTCAGCCAGAGGAAGGGAGAAACTGTTGAGCCCGTTGACGTGCAATTCGAGAATGTGAGCAAAAAGGAGAAGTCGGATATGATTTCCTCATTGATCCGGGGAGCATACGACCAACCCGTCAAGCTCGACGCCAATGCTTCTCCAATTCTCAAGAATGTCTTGAGAAACCTGTCGAACAACCACACCTATCACACTGAGCACACTGAACGGTTCATGGGCAGCCTCATGCAGAACCTCCCTCTCAAGAAAGCAAAGGCTAAGGCTAAGTCTGCTTAGCGGGCGCATTACGGTGTATCATGTTATATAGACAATTATTCATGTACCAATAACTTTTTCCATAGTATGAGTTTATTGATTGGCCTTTTCCCCAGGGAATAGCTTATCGTTGGTTCTAATGTACAGTAGAGCAATGGGCCGCCAAAATTCGATAATAATCCCCAACACCCGGTTGAATATGAATAGTCTTCCAATTACGCCTCCAGTGCCTTTTTGGCCGCCTCAAAGACATCTTTCACATCCTTCTGACCTTTCTCAGCAATCTTCTCCATCTGGTCCACAGCCTTTCGTACATCATCCGGCCTAGCTTTCTTAAGATCCTTGCCCTTCAGCTTCTTATTCAGGGCAGCACGTCCATTACGAACAATGTTAGATGCCTTTTCCATAGCTGCTTTGGCGTCTTTAACAGTCTGTTCTCGAGACTCCTTTGTTGGAGGCGGGATCGCAACGTTCAATTGAAGCGGGTTGTGAGGGTCTGCCTGGGGGTTCAGTGATAGATCAGAGGCTGTGATTGCAGACATGACCGGTTTGACATCCTAGGAATCAACATTAACAATCTGTCACGAAAGCCCAAAGGGTATACTTAATACACACATGCTCCTCTCCAACAAGTATCGACACCGATCTTCCTCCCTTGGGGATAACAGACGCAATTTCTCCCAACCTAGCAGTGTCCTTACTGCTTGAGCTTGCGCCTTTCTTTCCCTTCCCAACCTCAGCACCGCCCACTTTGTGCAATGATACTCGTAGATTCTCAATGGCTTCAGGTGTAACTCTTCCGCCGCCCCGGAGCTTAGAGAGGTCTTCTTTTAGTCTTGTAACGGCATCTTTGATGCTATCGTGAAGCGAAGAGAAGTCAAATGGGTCTTCTGCGCCAGCACCACCGGCGGCCGCAGCCTTGTCATTATCCTTTGAGCTTTCCTTCGAGGCTTTCTTCTTCAATAGGGCAGAACTCTGGGAGAAATATCGGTTGGATGGTTGAGTGGTTGCGGGCTGGAGGATGTATTTGCTTAAGGTGTGTATGCGGTTGTTGGTCGTGTGAGTGTAAATACAGCGGCGAGGAGAAGCGATAGGGAGTCGCTTATTTCGTAGCACGCTGCGCAGAGCAGTGCATTGTGCAAGCTGAGCCGTACTCGACATGATAAGGTATGAGTTGTTGTGTTGCGTCGGTCTTCTTGCCGTAGGTGAGGTTGTTGATAGTTTGATAACAGTCGAGTTTGCAAGGTTTTGATCTGAAGATCCGCCCTTTGCCAATATTCATGCGTTTTAGGCCACTCTACATCCACAACAGAGAAATTGAACTCAAGCTTCTACGATAACTACGTTGACTGATACTATTGATTGAAAAGGTTGTTGCTGGGATTGGGGTCTTTTTTGTAGCATATCCATTGAACTACCTATCGAAGCCTCAGAAAGAGTAGCATCCGGACGGACATAACAGGCATAAACACATAGGGAATAAGATAAAAAGGAAAAGGCGTAACCAGAGCAAAGAGGAAAAAGAGGAACAAAGTAAAAGGTCATCCCGTTTTTATTTAGCCCACAAAATTCAAAGACAAATATGAAAAAGAAGAAAAAGAAAGGCAGCGAAGAAACACAACACGATTCATTTTCGAGGTCATGATCATACTCCGTCGTCTTTTTTCTTTCTTTCTTCTTTCATCCCTTCATGCACACGCCGCGGCTGTCGCCGTCGTTGAAATGATAAACAAAACACATGTCATTAGGCTATGTCTTGCCGAGCATATCAAAAAAATCTTCTTCGCCTTTTTTTGGTTTTGGGAGGGTTGGTTTGGTGGTGTTAGGCGTTTATCGGGTGGACATGGCCTTTGTGATGAGTCTCTTCAAAGCGAGCTCCTTCTTCTTGAGGTCCTCGGGGGCGGAGTCCTCGACCTCGAGCTGGGCCATGGCGTCGCTGAGGGCGGACTCGATCTTGTCCTTGTTGCCACGCTTGATCTTGAGGGACATGGTTGGGTCGGTGATGATCTCCTCAACACGGGAGATGTAGGACTCAAGCTGCTGGCGGGCCTCGAAGCGCTGGCTGAAGGCCTCGTCACTGGACTTGAACTTGGCGGCATCTATACATACAATCGTTAGTGGTGTTGTTATTATTGATACTACGGAGTGGAAAGACAGGACATACCGCTGATCATAGCATCGATCTCGGCGGTGGAGAGCTTGCCAACAGCGTTGGAGATGGTGATGTTGGAGCTGCGGCCGGAAGACTTCTCGGTAGCAGTGACCTTCAAGATACCGTTGACGTCGACCTCGAAGACGACCTCAAGGGCGGCATCACCAGCCTTCATTGGTGGAATGGGGGAGAGAGTGAACTCTCCGAGGGAGGTGTTGTCCTCGCAGTTGGTACGCTCACCCTGGTAGACGGGGAACTGGACAGTCTGCTGGTTGTCGACAACAGTGGTGAAGGTACGCTTCTTGATGGTTGGGACGGTCTGACCACGGGGGACGACGGGGGCGAAGATGTTACCCTCCATGGCAACACCGAGAGAGAGAGGAACGACGTCCAAAAGGAGGAGGTCGCTGGTGTCAGCAGAGGTGGCCTTTCCGGAGAGGATACCGGCCTGGACGGCGGCACCGTAGGCAACAGCCTCATCGGGGTTGATACCCTGGATATTTGTTAGATGTGTGTACTAAAGACGTAAAGGAAAAAAAAAAAAACAGGGGCGGTGTGAGGCTTACCTTCTCGAGCTTCTTGCCATCGAAAGCATCGCTCAAGAGCTTCTGGACACGAGGGATACGGGTAGAGCCACCAACAAGGACGATCTCGTCGACCTTGCTCTTGTCAATGCCAGCGTCCTTGAGGACCTGCTGGACGGGCTCGAGTGTAGCAGCGAAGATCTTGGCGTTCAAGTCCTCGAAACGAGCACGGGTGATCTGGGCGTTGAAGTCCTCACCGTCGAAGAGAGAGTCAATCTCGACAGTAGTCTGGGTAGCGCTGGAGAGAGTACGCTTAGCACGCTCGCAAGCAGTGCGGAGTCTTCGGAGGGCTCTGGCGTCGCCAGAGAGATCCTTCTTGGTCTTGCGGGTGAACTCCTTCTTGAAGTGGTCAAGAAGGTTGGTATCGAAGTCCTGACCACCAAGATGGGTGTCACCGGCGGTGGCCTTGACGGTAAAGACACCACCCTGGATGTTGAGGAGAGAGACATCGAAAGTACCACCACCGAGATCGTAGATGAGGACGTTACGCTCCTTCTCGGACTTGCCAGAGCCGAGACCGTAGGCAATGGCGGCAGCAGTGGGCTCGTTGATGATACGGAGAACGTTGAGACCAGCAATGGCACCAGCATCCTTGGTGGCCTGTCTCTGGTTGTCGTTGAAGTAAGCTGGGACAGTGATGACAGCCTTAGAGACACTCTTTCCGAGCTTAGTCTCGGCAACTTCTTTCATCTGTATATCGAATTAGCTCTACTCCGTAAACCGGACACTCCCAATTGCAGTTGCAGGGAAGTAGATAGATACTACATACCTTCATGAGGACCATGGAGGAGATCTCCTGGGGAGAGAAGACCTTGGTCTCGTTGAGGTACTGGACCTCGACAACTGGGTTGCCGCCCTGGTCAATGACCTTGAATGGCCAGGACTCAACATCTTTCTTGACGACGGGATCCTCGAATCGTCGGCCGATAAGACGCCTAGTTGCCACGAATATTAGCATCACCAACCAAAAACATGAGGAGAGCATCTCTAGTTTTGCAATTGACATCTCTCCCGTTCTGTCTTCGGGGATCACTGCATGCACTCACTTGATATCGAAGATAGTGTTCTCAGGGTTCATAGCGGCCTGGTTCTTAGCGGCCTCACCGATCAAACGCTCCTCATCGGTGAAGGAGACGAAGGAGGGAGTAGTAAAGCTACCCTGCTCGTTGGCAACTATTTTTCATACGTTAGCAGACATCCTCTGCGCAAAGCGAAGCTGTCCCACATACTGATCTCAACGTTGGCGCCCTCATAGTTGGCAACGCAAGAGTAGGTTGTGCCTATTGAAATTTTCACAATTAGCCAATTATCCCGTAACAAACTACACAGAGCAGCCAGCCTTCATCTGCTCGCCGTTTCCTCGTCTGCTGGCTCAAATGTGGTGATAGTGGTTTGTGGTGGTGGTGATTTGCTGCACTGCTTGCTCGCCCTCGCTTGCGGTGCTCAGGACATCCCACTTACCAAGATCGATGCCGATAGCACCGTCGTAAGTTTCAGTAGACATGCTGGGCCACGAAAAAGAAAAGCGAAATCTCCTTCGTCTAGTTCTTTCGTTCTCTTTCGAGTGTCTCTCTCTCTGTTCTCACTGCTCAACGACTTAGAAGAAAAAGTCGGACGTTGTAGTCTTTCGTGGTGGGCGTTTGGAAGTAGAAAAAGAAGTCGGCGGTGGAATTTTTTTTATATGGAGAAAAAAAGAAGAAAAAAAATTAAAAAATAAAAAACGAAAAAAAGACGTTATTGTGTATGAAAATTACCGTAATTTACACTAGGCGAGTTAGTTCACGTGATATCAAAAAGCGGCTGGCGAAGTTGAAGATGATGAGAAAGACAGAAAGAAAAGACGAAGAAAAGATAAAGAAAGGATGCTGGAGATGATGCAGGTAGAGTAATTTACAGGCAGGAGTAGCCGCCGGGGATGCCATCCGCAACACCATAAACACCTAGCCAAAAGACCGAGTCATGTGCCTGCCATAGGAAAGGAAAGAAAGGAAGAAAGGGAGAGAGAAAGAAACAAAACCGCAAGGAGAAGACTAGGACCGTAAGAGGTTGATAAAAAGGATGACTCGCTCTGTCGTCTCACCGTCTCCCTTGCCAGAGACGCCGACGACCAGCTTGTTGACGCCCTCTCGCAGCCGTACGTCGTATGCAAACCGGGTATAGTCTGTGAACGGCACGGCCGAGCTGGTCGGCGGAGTAGGGTTCTTTTGGTCACAGACAGTAAAGTAGTGCTGTGTCGGGCGGCGGTGGGAAGTCGAGGCGATGATGGGGCTGAAGCTGATGAGGTTGATGCATGAGGGAAGGGTCAGACTTATGGGTTGAGAGGGGAGAACTGGTGAGCAAGGCAGGGAGATGTGGAAGGGCTGGCGGAGGGGGAGTGATGAGTGTGATGATATGGAGACCTGTGATATTAGGCCATTCCCGTATGCTAAGAAGAATGTTAATGTTTCTCCCCCTTCTCCTACGTAACACAAGCAAAATGGGATTGACGTACCTTTGTTTCTTGCTTGGGATAGCTTCTCCCAGTCCGCTGGCGAGAGCGGCGTGGGGCCTGTGCTCGTGCTTTTCGCCGGTTGTTCTGGGACAGCAGGAGCCGGCGTGGGAGTAGCAGTCTGAGATTCCGGTAGGCTCGGCGAAGGCTTCACTGCTGCCTCTGGTTTTGGCGCTGTTTCTCGCTCCAACTCTGCCTCTGCTCGCCGTGTGAGAGGCGTCCGTGACCTGAGTGAAGGCCCAGCTGTAGTGGCAGGGGCAGCTGGTGTACCATTGACGGCAGCAGTGGCAGGAGTCGGCGAAGCTGTAGCAGCAGCAGCGGCTGCGGCGGCGGGAACCCGTGCAGAGGTTGTTCTGTCTCGTAGGGTCCGTGTTGGCGTCGCCTGTACATTGTTGCTGCTCGGGGTAGGCACCTCAATCCCGTTTGTCCCTGCTCTGACAAGCTCCTGTTGCCGTTTTAGCGCCTCGGTATCAACTCTCACGCCAGCCATCTTTGAAGTAGCTGGAGCAGTGTCCGTCTGTTGTTTTTGTTGTTGTTGCTGTTGCTGCTGCTGCTTGCCAGGTAGTCGTAGCTTAAGCTTCGATGTCGTGGTCACAGGCGGTTCCGGCGTTGATGCGGCTGCTCCCAGCTTCAGCCGTATCTTTGGTCCACCGCCTCCGCCTCCACCGCTACCGCCGTCTTCCTCGGGTGCAGGAACGGTTTTCCTTGTCTCTGCTATCCGGGTATTTAAGAATTTCTCCAGCTCGCCAGCAAGAATGGCAATTTCACTCTCATCTTCATTGAATGTCCGTGCGTTGGTCCACAAATAGTTGACTTCGTCGATGAATGCTTTCCATGACCTAAACGGGTTGGATGCTTTGGGCTTTGAAGTCGTGGATTTCCGTCTGTCTGTGCCACGAACTGTTCGTAGAATACCTCGTAATGAGACAGGGTGATCTATTACATCGTAGTATTCCTTGTATAGATGTTTATCTGGGAGATTGATGAACGGGGCAAATTTTTCTTCGCCGCTGTAGTTTGATTTTGTTAGTTCATTGGCACTCGTAAGAAGATTGGATAGAAGGCAGCCAACTTACTCCTCGTCCTGCATGCGGATAGCTTCGTTCAGTATTGTTTCCAGGGCTGTCTGGAATTTACCTGCAACAGCGCCATCGGGGTCCTCTTTCTGGGCGTCTGCCTGACTTTGGTCACGATCAACCGCCGATGTACGTCCGCCCGTACGTCTTGAGGATCTCGTTCGTTCGTCTCGAGTTGTTGGCTCCGGCTCAGCTTCCGCTTCTGCTTCTGCTTCTGCCTCTGCTTCTGCTTCTTGCTCAGACTCCTCTTCTCCTTCTGGCAGCTCATCGATGAACTCTTCTTCTTCTACCTCATTATTCGGTAGTGGCGTAGAAAAGGGAACGTAGTTGGGATCTTTATACGCAGGGTTAACCTTGGGCATCTCCGCAACCACTATCTTGCGAATCCGTTCTGCATTGGAGAAGAGCAGAGAACTCTTTTCATTGTAGAATTTAGCATTGGCTACCATGCGTCGGAGATCAGCTTCAAGAGCGGTCAATTGGGTATATCCGTGATTCCTGAGTTTTTTCTAGATGCCAGATTATCAGTACGAATGCCGGTTGTTAGAAGTGAACAGGCGTGTGGGTACCTCGATAATATCAAGAGCAATAGGGAGTCGGATGGTAAGGTAGTATTCGGGATACTCTTCCTGTTGAATAACTGTCAGCGAACAATCGGCAATTGGCAGAAGTAGGTAAGAAGAATTGACAAACCCCGTCAGGAAGCTGAAGGAACTCGGTAGCGATAGGCTGTCCACTAAGCATGTACCGTCAGTACTGTGCGTATAACTAGTAATAGACGGCGATAAGCAGATTATAGCATACTATTTATCGACTGCGACCTTGATCTTTTCTAGTATCTCCAGGCCATGCCGTGTGGTTCGTTCGGGCGTCTCGTTGGTCTCGGGCGTGTAGATCTATGACGGAGACCAAGAGGCGGGCGTTAGTACATGGCTCTTCCAGCAATCAGTAAAGTCTATCAAGGATTAAGGCGTTCAATGATGCAGCTATGATGCGCCGGGCGCGAACGCCAGCTCTTTCATTTTGGCCTCGACATTTACGGGTAGACAACAAAGCTACAGGAGCAGCCAGCTTCACCTGAGCTCCGCGACTCTTCCTGTTGAGCAGGCACAGGCGTCAAGCGCGAAACTACCCCGGCTGGCGCAGCTTTGCGACCAACGCCGCGGGCGCAAGCATTCTCCCGATAACCATGAAGTATACCCGAGCAAGCCCATTGAACCGGATAACTAGTTATTTTGGCCACACAATCGACGACCAATTTCCCTGCACCTTCCTGCACGCGCAACCGAGATCCAAACAGACAGCTCAACTCACCGAGACTCTGCGCCGCTTCTGCTCTTTGAGGGGCCTCTCTGGCGCCCCGCCATTGTTTGCGCGTCGCTTGGTGGACATAGCTATCAGACAGGTTCCTGAGCTTAGCTAGCCTCGTGTTTCGATTGGGGGGTTTGGACGGAGGGAGGGAGGCAAGGCGAGAGGCTTCTCCGGCTGGCGGCGTCGCGGGGGCATCTAAGTCGCGCGGCAGACGGCAGAGCAGCCAGAAGTGAAGCCGGCGAATTTCTTCTTTCCTTCTCGACGGAGCGAAACTTGGAGTCGCAAAAGATGCGAAAGTCGAAGAAAGCGACAAAAGGCGTCGTGAAGCTACCGCTTTGGGAAGTCATGTGATTCTGCTGATAAAGAAACGACTAATCATGACTAAGGTATGACTAAACAGCATACCACATTTGATTGGGCAAAAGCTATGCAAAATCTTGAATTTCCATTGGACAACTCTGACTTATTACTCCCTCTGACTGGCCCCCTGAGTCTCTATATCCAGCCAATAAGCGTGTGCTAGGGCTTATTTGTTTACTTTCTTTTCCCCCTCTTGAGTCGCTTTAAGCGCGGGACGAACCTTTTCGACTTTGTTCTTCGCTTTTCTTCTTCCTCCCCTCGACTTTTGATTATCTTCAATAGATACACAGAGACACAGCGGACAGACAGCCATAGCGAGTGCCCGTTTTGTGCGACAACAGCCAGCGAGTTGGACTCCTCCCGTCCCAGCACTTCCGTCGCCCGCGTGAGCACCCGGCAAGTGTGCGCTTTTTGACCCCTCAGCCAGCGCTCTTCGTACTCTCGCTCGCTCAGTTACCACCTGCACCCGAGCTGCTTTCAAATACTTGCGCACTGCGCTCCTGTTTTTGACGTCCTTTGAGCGCCCATTGAGCCGTCTGCTTGGCTGATACTCGCTGTCGTCCTTCTATTGGAGCTTCCTGCGCAGTCGTGCGGACCGGCACCCTTTCAACCCACCCTTGCATTTGGACAAGCACCGCCAGAAGTACCCCCTCACGAGACCGCCACGGCACCATGGATATTGAGATGTCTAGACGGAATAAAAAACCAAGACTGCTCCTCGAGTCAGAAAAGCAGAAACTCGAAGAATTTGCGGATGGCATTCACTACTCTGCCAGGTTGGCCAGACCCCCAGTTTTCAGTATATATAGAGAGAGACACCATACTAACGAGCTATGCTATTACTAGATACTCCGACAGCGAGTATGAATACAGACACGTCCAACTGCCCAAGAACATGCTTAAGAAGATCCCCACCGAATACTTTGACCACTCCAAAGGAACGTTGAAGCTGCTGTGGGAGGAAGAGTGGCGGGGACTTGGGATCACTCAGGTACGGCCACCGCCATATTGTATGGAAGAACAGCTAAAAGGCAAGATACTGACTTGACTTGTGTGCAGAGCCTGGGATGGGAACATTACGAAGTCCATGAACCAGAACCACACATCTTACTATTCAAGTGAGTGTTCACCTCTCCTCTCCTCCGATTGCCCCAGGACTCGTCCGATTTCTAACTTCTGTCTAGGCGACCGGTGAACTACCAGCCTCCCGTCGCCCAGTAACCCATCCCGTCCGCCTGCCCATCCGCCCGTCTCCCACTTTATACTCTTTGCTCTCCGTCCATTTGCCGGCGTTTTTCCCATTGCTATTGTGATATTTTACCTCACGAATCTAAATTAACGGCTTCTTACTTCTCTCTACGATTTTACTCTCACCCAAACCTTCTTCTTCTTTCTTATTCTACAGACCTCCAATCTTACCGCCGCCATTTCCCAAGCATCGTGGGCCATCATATTAGCGAGCCAGATTCCTTTCAACTTCTCTCAAAGATTCCCTTTTTTTTACTACCCTTCGCTTAACTTTTGTTCTCAAAGATGAAAACTAGTTCAGAGCCGAATCTTTATTAAGAAAGATATATACTCAGTTTTATTTCAACTTTGTTCTGCTCCTACTCACACGGGAAGTGCAATTAATTAAACCCCAACCCTATTCGGTCTCTGACGTGTTTCTCAGCATCTCGGCTATTCACATCACGTTCTTCTCCACCCATTCGAGCCATTGGTCCTTCGTGAAGCTGCTACTGATGCTTCGTTCCTCGATACCCTTGCATCGGCTCTGTTAGCATCCAGAAACCCGGTAATTAATCCAACACAGATATTAGGCACGCAGAGATCCACTTACATTGAAGAACACTGTTGGCGTAACATGCACACCCACAACCCTGTTGGCCTATATATAAATAATTTACCAGCATCGTTAGCACATCGTTACATCCTCGATCCATCCCAGGCTTCTTCATGGGCCCTTCCTTACCTTGGTCATAATCTTCACATCCGCCGTCACGCCATTCCCGCCATTCAGCTCCCCGTCCGCACCCGGCTTATCCGATACGCGCAACAACTCCATCATAGCCCCTTCGTCAACACCCACTTCCTTACTAGCGAGCTTAGCAAGGCGTTCGTAGGTGTGGTTCCTTGTCTCGTTAACCACGTTGACGTCGAAGTACTCCTTCTGATGCTCGAACAGAGCAGCGCTAAACTGCTGGAACTTTGCAGGTGCTAGCTTGAGAACTGCCAATGCTGCTTCGATCGCTAGAGTAGATGATGGGTGCCATGGTTGAATTTGTGGACGGAATATAACCGTGAGGCGTGACGAAGCTGCTTCGGGTAGAGAGGGAAGCACTTGGCCGTAGAATGTTTTGAACAATTTGGCAGAGAACTGAGCAGTTTGGTAAGTAGAGCATTCCTTCTGGTAGATTTAACAGGAGCAAGGGATCACATACGGGGCAAACATAGTCCAGATCTATGGTTTGGTGGCTCTTGTCAGTTAATTGATCCCCCAGAATCTCGGTCATAAAACATACATATCTCAACGGTATGGTGAGCTCCTGCTGCACCAGCCATCGTAAGCCCGGCGAATTTAGGTTGAAGGGACATGTTGATACTAGTACTGTCTTAACGGACAGGTATCAAGTGTCAATTGAGTATACTTCAAGTTATCCTAGAGTAAAAGATCGTGTTTATCGGTTGTTTACTGGTTGTTGTTTGATATCTCGACCCCGCGAGGTTTTCTATAGTTGTATTTACATTACGTCATAGCCATCCATGTCATATAGAAATCCGTGATATCAAGTCAGAACTTTTGACCAACCATGTCCCTTAAATAACATAGTATCTATAGCTCTATCCATACAGGTTCCAGTTGCGAAAAGAAGGTCCTAAAAGAAAGAAAGAGGAGAAAAAGAAGAAAAGTGGTATATACCTAAGGTCCGCTCCAAACACCGTCTATTGCAAATGAGTAATAGAAGACAAACACAGAATTGAAAAGCAAATCATTAAGCACTATCAAGCATCTCTATGGTGCATAAGAGAGGCGACAAGAGCGTGATTCCGTCAAGCAAATGGAAACTAGTTTCGGCGCGGCACCTGCACATGAGGTATAACAGACCTCACATTAACAACAGCACCAAATTGATCCCCCTTCGGGTCGAAAAATGCATGCGTAAAGACATTGCATTGTCCTCTTGGTCCATTGAAGCATATCATTCCTTCAATTAAGAATACCCCGGGAGGTGGGGTTTCATACCGGCCAGGGGATTTTTTCAGCAGGAATAAGAACAATGACGCAGCGGCACGTAGATCAGCAGTGCTATCATTTCGTTTATATTCTCCTCTGGATGTCTCATCGTGGATGACAAGTGGCTGAAAGGGACCAGTGCGTTTGGCATCTGGCTTACCCTGCATATTGGGGTGATTTAAGGCTGATGTGCCTCCGCTGCTTCTGGAAACCCGGGATAGAAGGGGAAGCGTTAAAGGGTATGAGACCTTGAAGGGCTCTTCCGTTTGGTTCTGGCCCTCGGATTGGTCGTTATTGCCGGAACGTAGCCTCTTCAGGTAGTTCTCCAGCCTCGTGCGTTTTATTAGGAAATAGAAATGGGCAGCGCGTATGAATGTCGCTGTGATCCGAAATGGTTCAAGGACGTTCCATATCAAGTCACCTTTCTCTACGGGTAAGGATTGCGATGTCCATTTAAGGCCATCATCAGACAATTCTAATCTGCAAGTACTGTTAGAAAAGGATCTGGATGCGTGGGTGGTGTTTGTAGCAAGCTTACCCAGATCGCACATAGGTTGGCGGCGCTCTAAATGGAAATTCATGGCGCAGATAGCTATACCTCACTTTGAGAGGTTTCCCTACTCGACTGGTGATACGAAGGTCTTTTGAGAGTGCTTCTGATATACCATCTGCCAACTGGTCTAGATATCAAGTTAGCCCGTTGCCAAAGCCTGCCACGTTGATGTTTGCCAGCCCATCCTACCTTTAAGAGCATTCAGTGAGTCCGCATCCTTGGATAGCTTGATAAAGGTTTGCCATTCAGGATCGTTTCCGGCGTAAAATTCCCCTTCTACCAGGCGGGGCAGTCCAAGCGGAATGAATATTGGTTCATCCGCCTCCTCTCCTTCTTCAATGTCATCTTCCACGCCATTGGCGCCCAAAGATCTAGTGGACTTTTGGACCCTTGTTACATCTTCTTGAGGATCAAGTTCCAATTTATCGAGCGGTCTCAGGGCAACCTCTGACCAAACATATGTCCCTATGCCATACGCCGCGACAGTCCATAATGCTCGCCTAAATTTAGTAAACAAACATCAGCCAGTGCTCATTCCCAAGCTTGTATGCTCCTCCAGCCGCAATAGTATGAAGTGGGCGCACCGAAACCATATCTGCTTTATCCTCACTCGCTGTACTCGTATCAATCCAGATTGTTGGTAGAATATCGAGCGTCGTATCTGAAAAGGCACCAACGGACGACGGGGGAAGCCTGTCGCCCTGAAAAATAGACTCATTTGACCAGGCGTCTTCTTGTATATTTATATTTGCAAAAGCATGCTGAATATCTGGATATCAGACTTGACATTCGTTGCGCCGAGGTGTGCTGTTGGACTTGGAGGATGCTGGTCAGACCACCTCAAAAGCGCTGGCAGAGTGGGCGCGCGGAAGGACGGGGTATCGGCAGGAGTGAACAGCAAACGAGTGATCCAGATCACTGGCAAGAGGGTCGAGGATATAGCTGTTGAATGGATGCAGATATCCAAAGATAAATCTGTCTATCTCAACTTTCTGCGTCTTCCAACCTTTTTTTTTCCTTTGACGTCGGCGATATCTCGGTCACGTGCCTGCAATCGTTGTTGTTACTCTTGCTCTTACTCTTACGCACTTGATTGGTATTGTTGATTATTCTGCAGAAGAAGAGAGAGAATCGATCACGCCCGCCGACGGTCGTCGATAGCAACGATCCAGCAGATGAGATAGCTTCTGCTCTGCCTAGTGCTGACGACTTTGGCTGCGCAAGGTAGCTGGGAAACGACCAGCTGCCGCCATCAATACGATCGATACCAGGCAAGCTCCTGTGTTTAGACGACTTACACCCTTAGAGCTACGACTACAGGCGCCACCACGATGAAGAGTGTCTTTTGCAATCTAGCGGTGGTGCTGTCCGCATTTACAGCTACATCCTTCGGCCAGGATTACCTCGTTCATATGATCGAGGGTGGCGCAGGCGTGGAATCCTGGAAACCGCAGCCTGGAGATAATCGAGAACGGAGTCCAGATATTGCGAAACTGCTACTTGAACGGCGGTTGGGATGGCCTGAATCATCTTCAACTATTGGAGAAGCGGATGAAGAGACTATTCGGGAATTGAATCTTTTCGGGGGCCAGCAGGCATTGCCTTTTGCGGATTCAGACAAGGAGAAGGCACAGAAGCTGTTGTTGATCCTAGAGGGTGTAGACTCAGAAGACAGTAAGTGGATGGCTATAGTACCCTAGACTCGAAGAACTCGATGGATCCGGTTGCTAATTCGATGAATGTTTAGTCAAATCACTGGAGACAAAAACACCGCACGATTTTGCTATTTCAAATCCATCAGCATTCTACCTAGACGATTCGATATTATCTTCATTCGTTTCAGAAAAGTCACAGGGTTGCCATGATCCCAATACCTGTCTATATGGTGAAGAAGAGGCTTCATGCACTGGGTTTGTAGCTTTGAGAAGTCGGGTAAGTTTTCAATCCGATAGCTGTTTGTTTCTATACCGATTAGCTAACCATTCTCAGAGCTCCGGTGCTTGCCCTCAGGATGCTCAACTTTTCTCTGAGATGCCAGACTGTACATCAGGATCAGCCAAGATTCAGAAACTCATCGAGCAGGTTACTGCCGGCTCTTCTACATATAAACATACTTCCTTTGTCCTTCGCCTTAGAGCGACTGTAAGTCGAAACGCAATCCTGACATATATTGCATATCATATTCTTACAAGCTGCTTTCACTAGGAAACTCCCATTTTACGGGACGGGGAATTAGTCTCCCTCTTCAAAGCCCTTACTGCCCTTAGCTCTGAGCTCAATGTGGAAACTACTGTCATAACAGTCCCATACGACATCTACACCAAGAACCGCAAACAGGCACGCCCCCCTGCCGACAAGGCCAAGCTGAAACTTCACCAAAGCCTTTCAGCTGCTAAGAAGGTTGTCCGTGCTGATGCCACTGCCACCTCCACCTCCACGGCCAGACCATCTGCGACCGCCAATCCTACTCCCCCATTCCATCTGCCCGTATGCTATGCAAAGAATGAAACCTGCACCGAGCGAACTAACAACTGCTCGGGCCATGGCTCATGCTACCTGAAACGCACTTCGTCGAAGAATTCCACATCCAGTACCCAAAATGACTGCTATGCATGCAAGTGCCGCCGCACTGTTGTTTCCACCAACAAAGATGGAAAGACAAAGACTGTCCAGTGGGGCGGTCCTGACTGCTCCAAGCGGGATGTCAGCATGCAATTCTGGCTTATTGGTGGCTTGAGTGTGGTGCTTGTTTTGGGAGTCGCCTATGGTGTTGGAATGCTGTTTAGCATTGGGGAAGAGGAGTTGCCCGGCGTGCTGAGCGCAGGTGTTGCACCCCCCAAGCAGAAGTGAATGGAACGAAACCTGGATCTTTTCTATATCAGTCTTTGTTGATCTACATTTTGCAGTTTATGTGCGGGTTATTAATTTGCTTGTATAGTATTTCCTATACGTCTGCTATTCGGTTCAATCATATATATCCTACCCTATATCAAACCATGTCCTTTTCGTCCCAGGGCATGCACCAATATAATAATCTACATTACCAAGATTATTCGTTTGTGGGTACTTCTTAATACGAAAAAGTAAATGCAAGAAGCTAGAATTCTGGGGCTGCGTGAGTCAAGGAGATTGAAATAAGTCTATCATATACAGTATCACGTAAAATAGGTCATTCTTGCTTCTTGTTCCCATTAGATAGATAAGCTACTGGATATCAACTGGTAGAAAATCCCAGGGCATACCAATCAACTAATCATCAAGAAACCCATTGCACCTGAGACAAAATAAATGCAACGCCCCGAAGAGAGAAAGGAGAAAAGGAGATCAAAATATTCAGCAACCATACCAGCAAAGTCACGGTGTAAAAACACAGACGCAATAAAAAAAAAATAGACACAATGCATGAAAATGATGAGCGGTGTGTAGGTGGGGGTATCAGGAGAGTAAATGGGCAAGGCAGATAGGAAAATCAAGCGGTGCATAAAATCGAACAGCTATATGGCTACTATGGACAGTTTGCCGAACCAAGGAAGTATCGGCAACGTTCGATATTGAACAATGTTAAGGGAGGGAGGTAAGATGTAGTAAGTATAGGGCATCAAACATATGTGAAATGCTATCCTCGAGAGAGATATGGATAACTTCCTGGTAGTTAAATGTAGAACGCAGGAATGTTTGGTGAGATTTTGGATTGGTCGTTAGTCGTTCCAGCGATAGGTGAAGTGAATGGCAATAATCGGGTCATTGATGTGTCGTAGAATGGAGGATGAGATGAGGATTGAGTACGTATGGTACAGGGACGAGGGGTGTAAGTTGTCCAAGCTAAGTTTGTCTATCTTGAGACATGAGTAGCAGATTCCAGTTGTCTTGGTGTAGGAGGATCAGCTACGACCGAAGAGGTGTTTGCATCGCCCTGCTGCGAGCCGTTGGACCTATTTCTCCCAAAGGGGATATTCAGACGCGGTAGGCGAGATCTCCATCCGTTGGATTGTGGCTGAGTGCCATCTTGACCTGAGTCAGCGTTTGCGTGATCTCCAGCAACACGCAGGCCTCGATCACGATTAGAGCGGTTGTTTTCTTCTCCCGGAAGCATCGGCATGAATCTCCCGGCTAGAACCATTCTGGAAGCAAACGGGGGCATGCGGGCAGTTTGATAAGGTGTGTCACCATCACTAACTGCATTGTTGTGGTTGTTGCCATGCCTCCTTCCACGCTCGCGGCGCTCTTCTTCTGGAGCCTCACCCTCAGGCCGGGGTTTAGGAGTGAAGTAGTCGGCCTTACAAAGTGGACAGCAAGCACGACGGCTAGTCAGCCAAGGGTCGACACAAGAGGCATGGAATGCGTGTCCACAGGTGAGACCGCGGACATCGTCATCGTCCTCGATGATATCGAGACAGATGGCACAAGAGTCGCCAGGGTTTGCGATGAGTTCTGTGGTAACGGCGTGGGAGATGTGGTCGTCATGGTCGTCATCATCATTTTCAGGGAGGTGAGAGTCGGTATGTTTCAGGCTATGGTTATCGGTAGATAAACGCTGCGATGGATTCGTCTGTGTAGGAGGCTGCACAGTAGTCGATTTCTCCGCAGGTATGTGAGCTGCAGCGGGTACTTGGATGTCGGTCGATTTCCGCCCTAACATACTGTCGGGACTCATCGCACCGGAGCATTCGCCCCGATCCGTTGCAGTCGTCGTGTGAGATGTATCAATGGTTCCGGATTCCTGGTGTCCTCGTCGGCTTGTATGGGTTTCGATGTTGTTATCAATACCGCCAGCAGTGGGTAAGCCCGCTTCAGCCCTTGAAGCACGCCAGCTTTTGTACTTTGTGATGGGAAAGCGGGTGTTAACATCTTCCATGGACATAAGCTTCTTCTCTCTCCTCCTACGATGAGTCCTTGGGACGTTGACCATATCGATGGGGTCGCCATTATCGTCGTTTCGAGCCTGGCGATGCCGCTGGTTATACCGGAAACAGTATTTCACGCCAACAATAATCCTGTCCATCGGTTAGAGATTGACTCAAATGAATGTAAAATCTGATCAAAATAAAAAGAACGAGCGATAAAAAAGGAGCGTTGGGAATACCATAGATTAGTGAAGACGACCCCAAACCCGAGCGCAACAAAGAAGAGCAAGGGCGAGTTATTTGAGCCTGACGACTCGCCACCTGCTCCGGGTGTAGACGATGGCGAAGCGGTAGTCATGGCTGTAGGCCGTTGTGTAGCAGCACAACCACAACAACCAAACGAGTTCGATCGACGCCGTCGGTCGGTGAGGAAATGGGCAGACGAGCCAGCGAGAAAATATGTCGAAAAGTGATCAAAGAATCAAGCCTTCTGCAGAAACCAGAAGGTCAGGCTTGAGCATGAACGTAATACGCACCAACGTCCCAGGAGACGATATGATACAGCGGAGAGCGGGTCTCGACGGAAAGAGGAGAGCCAGAACAAAACCACTGGCCTTGACTGCTCTAAAAAGTCTGAACGCTGCGAGCCCTGCAGGGATAAAGGGGGGGATTATAAGTCAATACTCAGCCACTCGAGTGCAGGCTGGTTTTGATTCGTGAGAGGTCCGAGTATGGCGTTGGGCTAAAGCGAATCGTCCAATTCGAGGATTCAAGCCAGCCAGCCAGAAAAAGGATCGCCAGCAGTCTCTTTGAGGGTAGAGGGCGGAGAGGGCGAAACAGGCCGATCTTGGCGGGTTCTTCATCGATCGAGCAGTCTTGTGTGTTGTGGAGAAGGGTGCAGAAGTGTTGTTATGGAGTTGAAGCGAAGGGGCCCCAGCAAATTGACCATAACATATATGTCTAGACCCTGACGAGGCGGAGAGTCCCAGAGATAGAGGCGAAAAAGAGGACAATGCCCTGCTCAAGTGGCATATACGGGCTATTCTGCCCTGTTCTCCCCCAGCCTTCCTTGTTCCTTCGACTTGTCGAGTATGGAGAACCAACCTCTTCTGTCTGTGTAAAGAAAAAGTGAGACGTCAACGTAATATCTCACGGCTGGCCGGTCCGGGGTGGAGATGTACGCAGCACACTAGCTGGCACTTGCGATTTGGGTGTCAAGGATTAGAAAAGGACGAGTCTGCACTGCAGCGAGTCTTCCCGTCTTTTATACGCCCCCTGTCTCTCACTTGTCTCTCCCGCTCGCTCTCTCGCAGCGCAGCCGTTTTGTCTTTAATCTTTTGTGTTTTGTGTTTTGTGTTTTGTCCCTTGTCCTGCTGTCTTATCCAGCACGTCTTGCTTCCTGCAGTTATCAAGTCCTCGAGCGTCTGGTGCGAAATCATGCCATTTCCTGCGACTAGGCGACTGAACCGTTTCTTTTTCCCAGCGCCGGCGCCGTCCTGATCGCCATCAAACGCCTCTTTTCGGCGTTCTTCTTCACCCTGGGTGGCGTACTCGGATACCTTTTTCGGCCTCGAGCGAATACGGGTTACAACCAGGAGATGTATCCCAGGCGTATATCCCCCGCGTTTCAAAGTGTGATTCTGCGTGCTACTCGGGCTTTTGCATGTCTATCTTGCTACTTGCATCAGTGTAGGGAGAACGTAGCCGCCGGCCCAGGTCCTCATTGGCTGTGTACCTCGCTGTCTCTGCCGTTGTGTCTGTCTTTGCTTCTTCGCTTCTCCTGCACAAAGGTACGAGATGTACAAGTGACGTTCAAAGATGCCGTTTCTGGCAACTCTTTGGAATCTTTGGAGTCTTCGAAGAGTGCGGACCACGTGACTGTTGGCTTGCTCTGCCTTTAACTCTTTCTCGACGACATCACGAAAACGCCCGCTTGTTTGTATACAAACGGGGGCATATCAACATCTAGTCCGTACATAGATAGCTATCTGAATACCTGCGGTGGTTTTGGATGCCTCTCTCCTGGAGACCCGGATCATCCCGTCTCCGAAAGAACAAAAATGAAGGCAAACGAACCACCGTTCCCACTCTACAAACTCTGGGCGGGTGCTCCGTACATCTACCGAATGGCCGACGGCGATGATAGTCACGATGAACGACGAACTCCTGCCGAACGGACATCAAAGGGATCTCTGATGGGGTGCGGAGTGTTCCGTCTTTATATAGATTCTCTCTAGGCAGCCCCATCAGACAAGACGAAAAAGTCTTTTATATCCTCAAACACCAGGCAATACGAAAGCCAGTGCCTCTTATCTTAGCTGGGATATGATGATAATTAAACCAAATACCCTGGTTCTCCCAGCCCAATGCCGCTGGACGTGCAACAGCTCCATCCTGGATGGAATTGAGCCTGAACTCAGAATCATATTCTGGATATTCTGCATGTTCAACAAGAAAAAGAGGGACTTGCCATCGCATCTCGATCACGACGCCACTAGATTTATAGTTACGACGATCTAGTAGTCTAACCTATTAGTCGCTTAATTAGCAGTATCACCTCAATGCTACTGGTGGACTTCGCTTAGGCTCAGTCCTTTCGAAAAAATGGCACCCAAGAATACGGGATGCGCCCAAGGCCGAGGCACCGGCAGATGCTTCCTGGCACTTGCCCATATATAAACAGGCTCGACCGTCTTTGCGGTTCCTGTCGATTGAAAGCCACCTCAATACTAGCCAGCCTTTTCTTCCATCCTTGCCAGAATGCGTCTCATCAGTTCACTCGCTGCGGTATTCCTGGGCTTTTGCGCCACAGCCGCTGTTGCTGAAGAGCCAAAAGTAAGTGTTTACTTCTATACACCTGGCTATCAGACTTATCACTTATTTCTGCTCTTGGCCTAAATATTTACTAACGAACACTACAAACAATAGGTTGTCGGTTATTACGAGTCGCCCAATGGCATGCGATCTCCTTTCCCAGTGACCGTACATGCCGGCCAGTGTGATAACTTCCCGGCTTGGGTGAAGTATGTATACTTAATGCCAGGATGAAATTTCACGTCAAAACTAACTGGTATCACCCAGAGCCGCCGATATTCCGACCGGTTATGACTGTACCTTCTATTCGTACGTTTACCATTCACCGTTTCCGAGTCTAACTACGTTCTATTTTCTTCTTTGTATTCAACCTCCACTCCTTGACAATTACTAATTGGACATGTTAGGCAATCCGACTGCAACGGAAGAATGACAGAACACTTCACGAAGAACGTCTCTAGATTTGATTACGAAGTTCGCAGCTTCATGTGTAAATCTGTCTCTGAGCCTACTCAACCCAGCTCGACTCCCACAGGCACGCCAACGCCAACGCCAACTCCTACTCCTACTCCTACTCCTACTCCCTCGTCGTAGGCTGACACTAGGGCGAAGGCAGATTTACAGCCTGGACAGTGAGGGGTTCGCACAGGATGAACAGACTATAATGCTTAACCCCCGATAGTTGTGGTGAACATTCAGTCTGACTTTCACGGAACACCGGATATGGGACAGTGGCCCTTACCTACGTTGATCGTGGGGGCTTAGTGATTGTGTATATGAAGAAGAGGACATTAGAGGATAGATACACCTAGTACATAAACTGATAATATACGGACTCAAAATTATATATAGATCGCCAGATTCACTGAGCCTCATTGAGTATAAGTAAAACCCACTTCTAGAAGATCTTCCGGTTCACGACCAGGTCCCGGTTTTGAGTATACGAATTTTACTCTGGTCCAGATTCAGTCGACTTTGTGCGCGGCTGCGCTTATTTTATCCGACATCTTAGTTAACAAACAACCCACGAATCACCATTCAGCAACCGTCCAAATCCATCAATCAATTCTACAAGCTGTTTCTACCGACTGATACCACACGTGTGTATTGATAGCCTATCTTTACTGATAGACATGAGTGCGCCGCAGCCGTCCACTCCCGCAGGGGACAACTCCAACCCCATCGTATTTTTTGATATAACGCTCGGAGGTAGTTACTTAGATTGCAAACCTTTCCACAAGCATTTCGTTCTATTAGGATGATTTTCTTACTGACGTGATATATAGGTGAACCACTTGGACGTATTAAAATAGAACTGTTTTCCAAAGTTGTACCTCGGACAGCCGAGAACTTCAGACAGTTTTGTACCGGTGAGACGAAGAATGCTCGTGGCCGCCCACAGGGGTACAAAGGCTGCAAGTTCCATCGAGTTGTAAGTCTTCCATTTGTGCTCAGATCGAGTTTCAGACTGTTTTATTTACGGTTCAGATGCTAATGTATTCGTAGATCAAAGATTTCATGATCCAAGGAGGAGATTTTATCAATGGTGACGGATCTGGTCGCGCATGCATATATGGAACAGGCTCGTTTGCAGACGAAAATTTCAACCTCACCCACGACGGACCGGGTGTGCTTAGCATGGCTGTACGTGTTGATTTCTTTTTTCCCATTTCTTATCATCCTTGGTGACACCACTCTAACTGGAATATGCTGGGTGAAGAATTCTGGACCAAACACCAATGGCTGCCAATTCTTCATAACTACCACAGCCACTCCATTCCTCAACAACAAACATGTTGTCTTTGGACGTGTGGTAGATGGTATGGATATTGTGCGTATGATAGAGAATACGCGAACTACGAGGGACAAGCCGAATCAGGATGTTGTGATTGCGCAGTGTGGAGAGATGTGATGGGGGATGATAGTTTGGTCAAATCAGGCTACTCTAAGGCGCCGGTCATTGGCTAAGTACGGAAAGATATAAATATCTCCCTGTGTCTTTCTTGAGACGGGAGACGGTGAAGGATGGCTGAGCCTGCAGCATGGGATAACTACAGTTAGAAGGATGCAGCTACCCGACATATCACACGTATGTATACGACATGACACATATCGTGCATTATCTCAAACATTTACGAGCTTGATTTGAAAAGCTAGATGGGCCACGGCTGGGGTTGTACAGAGTTCGTATGAATGCTTATCTACACTGTTAAATGGCCGTTGCATGTTAGCGCTTTTTAATGAACAAGGCATCAAATCTACGATGCATTATCTTGATATTTAGTGACTATATGAACCCCCACCGATGATATGATATACCCTTTCCGATGAAGTTAGAAACAAAATGCAAAAAGAACGGTAGAAATGCAAGTATGCTAACGAAACGTCAACAGGGGCGAGAAACCCAATCAGAGTTTGAATTTCTCCAGATATTTTGTGGCTTCATCCAAAGCCTCGTCGACTTTGTTGACCTTAGTGCCGTTGCCGATCGCGACGGGTGCCTTGCCTCCGCTTTGCCTCCTACGATGCTGGATACGGCACTGGCCCATTCATTAGCTGATGCACCCTTGGTAGTAAGGTCCTATTAGAAGGTACGTTAGTGGCAAGTATTGATGTTGTAGCAGGCATTGGCAAGGGAACATACGGGAGTCACGTAACATCCGTGGGCAACCTTGGATCCATCGGCGGCGAAGACGTACAGCGCTTTACCGCTCAATTTTGTCTTGACATGAGTCAATGATTCGCTAATTGCCTTCTGGTTTGCAGAGATAGGCAGTTTGATAACCAGCGACGGGCTGTCCTTGTTTTCTTCAAAGTATGTAGAGATAGTGTCGATAGCAGTCTTTACCTCAGCCTTCTGAGCGGCCTTCTGGGCATCCGTAATCTTTTTATGGATTTGGGTGAACTGGTTGCGGTATTTGGTCTTCTCAACGGCAGAGATTGTAAGCTGGTTAAGATCAACCTGTAGGCTCTTAATCTCAGCGTCCCTCTCGGGGCCGGCAGACATCTTTTCGAAGCGGTTGAGACGTTCACCAAATTCGCGAGCAACACGCTGGACTTCATGTGCATCTTCGCCCGTTACGGCGATGATACGGCGAATTCCTTTGGCAATACCGCTCTCTTCGAGAATGACAAGGTCCTTGATGTCACCAGTCTTTTGGACATGAGTGCCACCGCAGAACTCGATGCTGACGGCTTCCCAGCGGGGATCCTTGACGTTCTTTAGAATCTCGTCAAGCTCGACACCGACGGATACTACACGGACAGGATCGGGATACGTCTCTCCAAACACGGCACGCACGCCAGTGATTTCACGGGCAGTTGAGAGAGGCACTTCCTGTGAGTAGACAGCACAATTCTGACGGATATAGTCAGTAGACATGGATTCAATCTTCTCCAGGTCACTGTCTGAGATAGCGGATTTGTGGGAAAAGTCGAATCGCAGCTTCTCGGCAGCAACAAGAGAACCTTTCTGGTCGATACCATCACCTAGGACCTCTCTGAGGGCAAAGTTGAGAATGTGGGTGCCGGTATGATTGTTTCTAATTGGCCATCGACGCAGTTCATCGTATTCTGCAATGACGGAGTCATTGACGGAGAAGTTACCGTACTTGATGAAGCCAGTATGTAGAACGTAACCACCGTACATTTGGACGTTTTGAACATCTAGCTCAGCCTGACCATCAATAACGATCTTGCCAGTATCGTACTCCTGACCACCCTGCTCGGCGTAGAAGTTGGTCTTGTCGAGGATGATGCCAATCTGCTCATCAGCGGGAATATCTTTAGTTGAGTCAATGACCTCCTTTCCATGACAGATAGCCTTGATGTTGGCAACAATGTTTCCCTTTCCAAACTTGGCATCATCGTTGGTCTTTGGCACACCGTTCTTCTCAAGCGTGCTCAAAGTGTGAACAGTTAGTTTGAGAAGATCAGAGGCAGCTTTGGCTTGACCCTTACTGGCCTCCTTGGCCTTGAGACGTGCCTCTTCAAACTCAGCGTCGTCAATTGTCAGTTGTCTCTCTTCTGCCATTAGGCGAGTAAGGTCAACTGGGAAGCCGAAGGTATCGTATAGCCGCCAGACATCAGCACCATGAAGCTTTCCGGCACCAGAGTCCAATGCTTGCTGAGCATAGGTTTCAAACTGGCGTTCACCTCGGTCAAGAGTTTTGGCAAAGGAGACTTCCTCTTCGTCGAGGATCTCCATGACATCGTTTTGTTTTCGTTTGATTTCTGGAAACATGTCGCCCATCTGTTCTACGAGGGCGGGGACAAGCTTTGAGAAGAAGCTGCCAATCTCGACCTGCATGTATTTTCTGGCATACCGTACACCTCTTCGGAGGACTCGACGGACAACATACCCTCGTCCTTCGTTGTTGGGTGCAGCTCCATCGGTAATGGCAAAGGTGAGTGTTCTAAGATGGTCAGCGACCACTCGGTAAGCGGTATCTATTCCGTCGACATCCTGAGCACCAAAGTTACCGGTGTACGGCCGAGCACCTGTGATATTTTGAATGGCGGCAAACAGAGGGGAGAATACATCGGTATCATAGTTCGATGACTTGTTCTGGAGGATTGATACCAGTCTCTCATATCCTAGACCAGTGTCGACGTGTTGGTTGGGCAGTGGCCGTAGGGACCTGTCCGGCTCTCGGTTATACTGTATAAACACGTTATTCCAGATCTCGAGCACATCTGGGTCATCCTGGTTAACGAGATGGGCGGCGTTTCGACCTCCAATTCTGTCATAATGGATCTCACTACAAGGTCCGCAGGGGCCCTGGTCTCCCATCTCCCAGAAATTGTCCTTCATGTCACCTGTGAGGATATGGTCATCTTTCACACCAACACTCCGCCATATATCTCTTGCCTCTATATCGGGGCCAACGCCGGCCGCCTCGTTGCCTTCAAAATAGGTAACGTAGAGTCTATCAGGGTCTAAACCGTAGACTTTGGTGAGAAGCTCCCAAGAAAATTGGATGGCCTCCTTTTTGAAGTAGTCTCCAAAACTCCAGTTTCCCAGCATCTCAAAAAAGGTCTATACCAGAGAACATCGTCAGCACCAGCTCGCCTACCACCGCAGCGAGGCCACTTACATGATGATAGCTGTCCTTTCCAACATCGTCGAGATCCTATAGATCCATTAGTATCCCCTCGTAAGATTTTTTATGTACCCCCCCTTTTTTATATAGATATGGGTAATAGCGGGGTCATACATTATGTTTTCCACCGGCACGAATACACTGCAACCAAGCCAGTTAGCAAATATATCATCTCAAATATACGTAGGCGAGACAGACCTTCTGCGAGTTATGCGCACGTTTCAGCTGAGCAAAATCGGAATTGGGGTCGACGGTGCCTAGGAAGATACTCTTATACTGGTTCATCCCCGCGTTGGCGAACAGCAGCGTGGGATCCGACAGCGGGACGACCGAAGACGACGGCACTGAGAAGAAGGTCAGCCAGCAGTTCGCAGCAGCTCGCCAGCCCGAGGGCCATCGGTCCAAGCATAGCAAGCAATCAAGCATCCAGACAGGGGAATACCGTGAGAGTCATACCAAACGTGTGGCCGTTCTTCTTGAAGTAGTCGAGGAATGTGTCACGCACGCGCAACGCCGGCCATTCCACCGTCTCCTGGCCGGCGGGCGGTTGAGAAGAAGTCGAGGCAGCCATCCTGAGCGACGTCCAGGTCCAGCGATGCGATGAGCTGCGGAGGAAGCGGTTGTTGTGGCAGCGGAGTGGGAGAGTCGAGCTGGCGCTGAGCGTGCGAGTCACACCCAAGAGTGGATTTGGCGACCAAGCAAACCTTGCGCCCATCCAAGCGTCGCTTTCTTCTTTTTCCTTCTACTTTTCTCTCGCGTTCGCTCTCCTTCTTCTGCCGCCGTAACGCACCAGGACAGGGCTATATAAGACGGAAACGATGCTCCTCGACGGCGAGAGACACTGAGAGCCCTGTGATGTCTGATCAATGGCGCCAGCAGCGGCGGGGAGAGTCGAAAAGCGTCGCGGGAAGCGAGCTGCGGAGGAAGAGCTCGACGGTGAGAGACGACTGAGGAAGAAGTTCGACCGGCTGCGACTTGGTATGATGAAGCTGCCTTCTTCTCCGTGTTTCTGCTCTCTATCTGCCTTATGCCTCTGTCGATTGACGTTTGGATAGAGCGTTATGAGGCAGTTGAGCTGCTGGTGTTTTTCTTTTGCAGAGTAACTCTAGCTGTTACGGAAAAGAAGCCTTGGAGGCTAACAGCTTGGTTGTTTTACAGACAGATTATCCGAACAGACACGGCTTACGCCCGCGACGACGACAGCAGCAGCAGGAAGATACGCTCTAGAAGCTCATAGACAGGCAGAGGGATGTGGGAGTACCGGCTCGCCGTCTAAACATACGTCCTCGCGGGTTAGCAATGGCGATGGGATGCAGGTTGACGACACCAAAACACGAGTATATATCACCGATCTAGAAGAAGAGATCGCCGAGATAGAAGAGGAAGAGAGGCAGCAGGCGTTAAAAGTAATGATGCCAGAGATGGAGAAGCAGCTCATGTCGATCCCTACGTCGGTGCTTACGCATAAACCAAAGGAGGAGCGGAACAACGCGCTGGTGCTGTACCGTGTTCCGGCAGCGTTGGGAATACCGGCTGAGCAGGACAGTGTTCGAGCAGCGATGACGGACGTAAGAGAGCGAGCAAGAGAGAAGATGGCAGAGAGCTACAACGGACAGGCGGAAGGGGAGAGAACAGCACCACCGGCCATGTCTGGAGACGGTGAACAGTCGCCAGGCTACGATTCAGATCCCATGGAGATCGACGAGAGTTAGATCACTCACCCACACCCACATTCACACCCACACTCACACTCACACAATGGCTATATAATATATGGTATCTTCATGTAGCAATCATTAGTTCTATAGAAAGCTCCCGCCCGAGAAGCGCGAGTTAAAGTCAGCAGCTTTATTCAGCATTTCCCTACGCTGGGAATGGCTGATCTTCGAGGGCGCTCTGATATCCTTCTCCTTGTCAAAAGCTCTAGCACTAGGGTCGTCCTTTTCTTGCTCTTCAGTACTGGCCTTGTGCTGAGAATATAGTGACTTGTTCCTATTCTTTTCCTGTTGTTCCACATCTAGTTAGCCGGCTGCTTCAAGTGTTATGCAGATGTCAGATGTAGAGACTCACGTTATATTCACGAACATGCTTCGACATCTTTTCTGCTCGTTCAGTCGCCAATGCCTTACCAGCATCCGGTTCAGATGCAGCCGATGCAGCAGCCGGCGCCTGTATGCCCATGACTTCATTCTGCAGACGCTTCCTCTTCTCTTCCACGGTTTCGGTCCACGTATTTGATGGGCCTCCTGCCTTTGAAGCAGCCGGCCGAGCAGGGTTTCCCGTGTTGAACTTTCGGTTCTTCAGCTTAGTGGGATCCATACGGGCTGAGAGGTCGAGCTGATCGGGTGGCTTCAGCATCCAGTCGTCTCGCTGGATTACTTCCGGCTTCGATGCTGGTGCACTTGGTATAGGCTGTGTGGGTGCCTCAGGCTTTATGGCAGAGCTGGAGGAGGCCGGAGGAGGCAGGGAGGGTCCGTAATCATCATCACTCTCGTCTTCTTCATCGTCTTCGTCTTTATCACTGTCTGGTCGTGCGCTGGGTGGCATCATTGGTCCCATTACTCTGGCCTTCTTCGGCGGCGTGTCTGGTCTGGCTGGTCCGATATCTCCATCTTCTTCGCCTTCACTGTCAAGTTTCCGCTTCGGCGGCATCACTGGCCCATAATTTCCTCCCATCTTGTCTTTTCCTCGTCGTCTTCGTCTTCGTCTTCGTCTTCTTACTTCATCTTCTCGTTCTCGTTCTCGAACCTTTTGATATACACTAGCACGTGATATATCACGTGGTAATTAAGGTGACTTACATAAGGTTATTCCAAAAAGGAAATTCAACGTCGATCTCTTTTCGCTTGAAATTTCGAGTCTTTTCGACCTTTTCGACTTCAAAAAACACGAAGAAAAGACGAGATCAACCTGTCGAGCCGTGGAGGATCTCGTACAATACGTGCTGACCGACCGGTAGCTCCATAGGTCCCCGATTTGACTGACCGGGTGACGCATTGCGGAGGAGAGATGGCTGCCATCCTGCAGGACAGCTCTAGCTCCCGGATAAACAAACAAACAGATACGGAGTACATATGCAAGTGCCAGCGAAGTGACGCAGGTTGCCACAGTCCGTTTGACAGACAAGAAAACCACCATGTAATCCAACTGCCGGCCAAGGTTGCTGTCCAAGGACTTGTTCTCCGGATGGCCCCGCGAGCAACCAGGGTTGAACACTAGCCTGTACCCCGGCCAATTCGCTAAGCCGATATTGGGTCGTTCACTCCGGGAATGGAGTGAGATGCTTGTGATAGCAAAGCTGCTGGGCCAGGGATCGTCCTTCGGGGCATCCAAATTCCCTCAAGCCTGTTTACTCTAGGCATTGTGGTGCCTCCTGTGGCGGAGACGTTTACACGGGATACGCTACTAGGTAGCTTCCAATAGCAGCTTTTCCTGTTCTTCCTTTTTTCGCTGCGGAAGAATAAAAGAATGAGCGAAGAAAATCGCCATCCGGCTTGGAAAGCTTAGCTCGGATGTCGCTCAAGATCGCAATCTAAGTATACGGGGTTACCTTCATATCGCTTAGCTCGTCCTAGGGAAACACGAGCTCAAAGTGCAAGCCTACGCGGGGGAATGGGGGCACCCCTACCTTTATATCTCCACCTTTGGCCGTATATCCCGGAAATTGGCATGATATCCAACACGAAGATATGCCTGAGCACTGAGTTATCCTAGCAGCTGTCAAGGAGGGGAAAGGGAAAATTTTCTTTTTGGTCCTTCTGGAAGGCACTATATTTACCATGAGGATCATCCCTAGTTATGCTTCTCTCTTTTTTCCCTTCTCCTTTCTGCGCGCCAGAATCAGGTCACATTGATTCCTTTCTTCAAGAGCAAGTCGTGTGTGGTTAGATTCCACCTTTACTCTTCGAAGATGCGCGGACTCTCTTATGCTGTCTTGGCCCTCGCTGCCATAGATGCTGCTGCAGCTGCTAGCCTTCCTTTCCTACGAAGCTTGCAGCATGTAGGCAAAAGAGACCCGGCTGCTCGCAACCTTCCAAACTACGACTTCTCTGGAGTTCCTCCAGTTGGCACCGTGCAGAAGCGCCAGGCCTCTCACCTGAACCACAAGACAAAGAGTTGGTCTCCCTCACTTCAATTGTCCTAGAGTCATGGGAGCTTCTACCTAATATCTGCCCATGAAGGGGATATTCCCGCTCACGGAATCGCTGAAAGTTTAGGTAGCTAACATTCTTCCAATACAGAGTATGCTGTCGATGGAACCAAGATTCCAGAGGTTCAGTTCGACATTGGTGAATCATATGCCGGTCTCATGCCGATTTCGACCAAGCGCGATGAATCCCGCGAACTTTACTTTTGGTACTTCCCATCTGAGAACCCGGCCGCGAAGGATGAGATCACCATCTGGCTCAATGGAGGCCCGGGCTGCAGTTCCCTGGAAGGTCTCCTCCAAGAGAACGGTCCATTCCTCTGGCAATACGGAACTCTTTACCCAGTTCCTAACCCATGGTCATGGACCAAGCTGACCAACATGGTCTGGGTTGAACAGTGAGTCGCTAGAATCTATCAAAAGTCATCTATACGAGAGCTTAACTGACAACAACTTACCCAGGCCTGTTGGAACTGGTTTCTCTCAAGGAAAGCCATCCGTACGATCTCAAGAAGATGTTGCTACACAATTCTTGGGATTCTTCAGAAACTTTGTAGATACTTTTGACCTGCACGGCAAGAAGATCTACATTGTTGGTGAAAGTTATGCCGGACTTTATGTCCCATACATTGCTCACGCCATGTTCGAGAAGAAGAACAAGCGATACTTCAACGTCGAGAGCACCATGATCTTCGATCCATCCATCAACAAAGATGAAATTCTTACTCAGGGTAAGGCAGTTGCCCTTCCAATCACTGTTGTTTCATCATTATTAACGAAACCTTAGTTCCCGCCGTTCCGTTCGTTGATCACTGGCAGGGTCTCTTCCCTTTCAACGAAACTTTCAGCAAACACATCCACGAAACAGCCGATAAGTGCGGCTACACTAATTACATGAAGGAGCATCTCGTCTATCCTCCGAAGGGTAAACTCCCTGCCCTTCCGAAGGCCACCCCCGAGTGCGACCTCTGGACCGCCATCTTTGACGCCGTCTCTCTCGTCAACCCATGCTTCGACGTGTATCAGGTTGCCACCACCTGTCCACTACTGTATGATGTTCTCGGATACCCAGGAAGTTTCGAATATCTGCCTGCTGGAGCAAATGTCTACTTCAACCGCACCGACGTGCAAAAGGCCATCAACGCTCCCATCCAGAAATGGACCGAGTGCTCTGAACACCCCGTCTTCGTCGATGGAAAGGATAACTCTGAACCATCATCCTTCACCATCATCCCCGATGTCATTGAGAAGTCTCCTCGTACTATCATTGCGCACGGAGATCTTGACTACGTTCTTATCAGCAATGGCACACTACTTAGCATCCAGAACATGACCTGGGGTGGTGCACAGGGTTTCTCCGAGGAACCCTCTAAGCCTCTTTTCGTGCCATACCACGAACGCGGTAGCCTAAGCACCCTCTCTGGAGCCGGTGTTTTGGGCCGCCACCACACAGAGCGAAAGCTCACCTATGTTGAGCTCTACCTGACTGGCCACATGGGGCCTCAGTACAACCCTTCAGCCTCATACAGAATATTGGAATATTTGTTGGGCAGAATTGACGACCTGTCCAAGTAAGGTGACGGGTGTTGACGGAAGCTCAGAAGATATATGCACATTTAACAAGTTATGAATATGTGTATAGGTTAATTATTCTAATAGAACTAATGCCAATGATATAATGATAAGTATCTCTCCAGCTGATTTATCCTACCAAACCAGTCAACTAGCCGATAGTTTAGCGGTAGTGAGTATATATAAACTCCATCTTTCTTAGCCAACAAACTTATAACTAAACCGGTACCCGACGATAGTTAAATACAACCCGTTGAAGCAGTGTTTACCAGACAACCGACCGCTCTTGCGTCTTATATTGGTGGCCACTTGGGTTTCGGGCATTTTGAGGGTTATACGTCCCTCGTGGGCCCTCGATGATTCCATGACTGTTATGGCGATTGTTATTCCACTTTTCGTACGTTGGATCACTATACCCCTGAGCTGCATCCTCTTCTTCCTGCTCATCTCGTACAACTGGGTACACATGGCTTCGTCTGCTGGCAACCGCTGTTCTCCGGGGGTTTGAGGGTTGGTACTCTTTAAAACGACTCTCCGGCTCGCGTTCCAGAGACTCATAATCCCACTGCTGTTTTGGTTGGTATGTCCGGTACTTAGCCTCGAACTGGCGCCGAGGCTTTGGAACAAATAAGATTTCTGTATGGCAAGTTAGCAAGACTAACCAAACTTTGGATCTATAAAGCAATATTGATAGCTTCCACTCACCCGAAGGGGCCCTTTCTGTATTCACTTGAGACGGCCGTCGTTGAATGCTGGCATTTCTGGAGGGTCTCGTTGAGACCTGCCTCTCATAGTCCGGGGCATCATACCAGCCGCTCCCTTCGTTATTATCATCTCTGCGCGATATAGTACGGCTATATTCCCTTGCAAGGCGGCCATTGTTCCAAGTTTGATATTGAACATTTGGCGGATCTTGCGGTTCATCGGACGCAAATCTGCATACCTTTGCTTGAGGCGGCCGTGTGTCCCTTAAGGAGGAAGATAATTGACGTGGCTCTACACGGCGTCTATCTCGCACTGGTGAAGGCGAAGGAGTCGGAGATCTAGGTCTTCTCACCCGATCATTACTATCATCCCAATTCCCATTTGCCGGTCTTGACCAAGAGCTGGCGTCTTTGACAACAGCCTGATCAGCTTGTCTTAATGCCGATGACTCTCTGTGGGCATAAGATCTTCTAGCGCTGTCGGGCGGAACAACCTGCACTTCATCAAAGCTCCCGGACTTATAAAAGGTATGGAGCCTAGGGTCTCGTTGGTAGCAATGGTTATGATGATGATATTGGTGGTGGTGGTGATGGCGACTGCGCCTATGGTAGCAACAAGAGCTGCATGTATCTCTATAGTCAGGGAGCGACTGATAGCTCTGTTCGGCACAGCAGTGTGGGCTGCTAGAAGGAGTTGGAAGGCCGTAATCGTGGGAATTCCCCCGACGGCGGAATGTACATAGGCCTGGAGGATTCGGACAAAAGTGGAATATATTAGGAGAGGACTCTATCTTCGTAACAGGGACTTGTGGCTGTGGATGCGGAGGGGGAGGTAGTACAGGAGGAGTAGGATTTGGAGGTTCCTGAGCCTGGGTAGCCGGAGGCGCGGGAGCTTGAAGTATCTGGGGAATTGGAGATGGTTGAGTAGGATGCTCCTTGTCAAGAACAGGCCTGGATCTACTACGTCTCCTTCTACTGTGTCTTCGACCTCTTCTAGGTCGCCTCTCGGTATCGTCGCTTTCAGTAGTGCTCTCCCCACTGGAAGTATAGGTGAACCTGCATTTTCGGCATACGCTGGTGGGAGGTATCTGGCCTGGGATAATCGGATGCCGATACTGATATGAAGGAGAACGGTACCGTCCACAAACTGCACATCTGTGTCTTGTCTCTGCTGCTGGAGCTGCGTGGGCCCTGGAGTAGGTTGGGCTTTGCGGCTCGAGAATAGGGGATGGTGCTGGTGGAGGAAGAAGAGCAGCATCACGATGATACAGATTAGATATTGCCGGTTCAAATTTTCTTGTAGCCAGTTGGTACTCTCGCCCATAATTATGCGTCTGAGCTGGGCCGTCCGTCAAAGGTATGGGTTGGTGTGTCTCCTTAACCTCAACTGGGTCAACGGGGTGAGCACCCGGGCTGTATGTATAGGGGAAACTCCATGAAGAGCCGTCTCGGTTAGGCAGAAATGCATCGGCGAGTATCGACTTTGTCGGCTTGATCTTTATCGGACGACGAACGAATCCGACTTTTCCTGAGGCGAGTTTCTGGACATAGGTTGCCCCTGGTTCCATCCTGGGTGGGATTTCGGAATACCTTCAACTGTTGTTAGACGCAATAACTCCGGCTTCTTGGGCATATTCACGAGCAAACCTTTCTACAGCCATTCCAGGTAGCCACTTAGCGAGAGTAGCCTGAGGGAGAATGACGTGTTCTCTCTATTCGAATAGGCAGAGTAAGGGAGTCAATACACGGTATCATGGACAACTTGATATCAGGATAGCCATTTGGCATAACAAATATCGATAGTAATAATAATTAGAGTAAGAATAGTAGCAGCAGCTTGACACTAGCAAGCGTCCAGCCTGCCGTTCAATATATCAAGCAGTATCGAGCCGGAAGTCAAGTTGTAGGGGAAGCAACAGCTGGCGCGAGAGAAAAGAAAAGAAAGGCCCTTTTTTGCCTGGTGTAAAACAAGATATATAAACTACATCTTGTTTTTGGGTATATTGTCTATTATAATAGTCTTCTATAAGACGAAAGGCGAAATATGCATGCTCATCGATAGAGTGCTACTGTGTTGGTTAAAGAGCTGGCGGCATTCGCCTTTGGCATCGTGATGGCGTTGCGGATGCGCCGACAAAGCATCGCGATTTAATCAAGGGAGCTTGAGGGAGATGCCGTGAAAGTGACAGCTACAGGAAGCAAACGAAGACTCTGCTGTGTTCTTTCAGCCTGTTGATTTGCTGATATCCTGCTGATATTGCTATCTATGGCTGGCTGTGCTGGGCAGTTTTAGGATTTCGTGAAGTTCAGAGTCGCTTTTTTCTTTTTGGCGATGACAGCAAATTTTCCGAGTTTGATATTTTCAACACACAACCAGGTATCCAGAATCTACTGCAGATATATCGCTATTTTGACTCTCTATTCTTAAGGATAGGAGACTTCATGGTGTTAAATGATCGATAACTTATCATACAGATAACTTTGGCTTTGGATGTCTGAAAGCTAGCCACGAGCTGATGGCCAGTGAAGACAGCTGCCGCGCCTACAGGAGAGTCGATAAATGATATCGAATATTCCTCTTCTTGGGATATATATACCCTCCTTGAAGATAAATATATTGATGGGTTCATAGATGCAACCCATGAATGCATACGATCTTTGTTGTTTACCATGCCTTTTCTCAAATATCAACTTGGAGCTTGAACCAAGCAAATAACCGCTGATATGGCTATTGAACATGGCCTCTCCCAGACTTTTGTTATGGATTTCCAGAGATGAAAATGCAATACCTGGTTACAATATTCAAAATCCCTAACCAGATTCTTCCTGATGTCATTTCTTTGCAGCTGTCTGAGAATACCCCAATACCACAAGCATGCATAGACAGCCAAGTGAAATGCTGCATCTCCAGCGTGACAGACAGGCAATATCAATATCAAAAGGCCGTCGTAGTCATCGCCGAGAGTGCTCTTGTTTATATATAAATCTCCTGTCCTGTTGTTTGTCTGCCTGTCTTCTTTCTATCAACAAACATCTTTCACATCAGATATTGACACCTTTGACCCCATAAGAAACAAACCTGATAACTCTAAGAGAAAGAAAACACCCATAATGTCTATATTCAAGCTTATGGTAATCTATTTTACCCTCTTCTGGGTTGTCAATGCTGCTCAGCTCCTTGACCTCGACTCACACGGCGTCATCCCAGGCGCGTACATCGTTGTGATGAAGAATGGTGTCTCTTCTCATCAATTTTCCTCTCACGTCCGTTGGTTGAAGAGAGCTCACCGTCGAAACCTGGCCAAGCGCGTTGCTCCATTTACAGAAGGACTCAGCTCTACCTGGGATATTGCAGGATGGCAGGCCTACAGCGGCAGCTTTGACAAGGACACCATCCAGGAGATCTTGAACCACGAGAATGTAAGTCATCTTATGATAGCCTGAACTGAATACATTACGGCTAATCCAGTATCCAGGTGGAATTCGTTGAACCAAATAGAGAGATGAAGGCTGCCTCTACTATCAAGCAGGAAAATATCACCTGGGGCCTTGCACGTATCTCTCACATGGAGAACTTCAGCCATGACTACGTGTCTACATATGGAGAAGGAGAGAACCTCACCTTCTATGGAATCGATAGTGGTATCGACATCCATCAGTCTGACTTCACTGGCCGTGCTCGCTGGGGTATCAACGTCGCAGACCACATAGACATCGACTGCATTGGCCACGGAACTCACACTGCTGGCACAGTTGCCGGTCAGAGCTTTGGTATCCTCAAGAAAGCATCTATTGTCTCTGTCAAAGTTCTTGACTGCTATGGTCATGGTGATACAACCAAATACATTAACGGGCTTAACTGGGCTATCAACGATGCCAAAAAACGCGGCCTTCTAGGCAAGTCCGTCATGAACATCAGCCTCGGCACTGGACGCTCTAGAGCTGTGAATGAGGCCACAGTACGTGCACAGGAAGCAGGAATCTTTATTTCTGTTGCTGCCGGTAATAATGCTATAAATGCTGAGTTCCTCTCGCCTGGCTCTGCCCCTGAACTCTGTACGGTGGCTGCAAGCACCAGAAACGATACCAGAGCATACTTCTCAAACTACGGAGCGCTCAGTAAGTTTACCTACGCCGCTGTTCTTGTACAAAACTCGAAACTCGTTCTCGCATTTGATTCCATATAAAAGGGGCTAACATTTTTCATCATGGCAGTCGACCTGTTCGCGCCAGGAGAGTACATTCGGTCCACTTTACCCCATAACCGCACCGGAATCATGTCTGGGACTTCTATGGCAGCTCCTCATGTCTGTGGTATTGGTGGACTTATCATGGCTGCTGAAGGTCTTGCTCCTGAGCAAGTCTGTCGCCGCCTCAAAGAGCTTGCCAATCCGGCCATCAAATATGCCGGATTCAATACCACTGACAAGCTTCTTTACAACGGCAGCGGAGCATGAATGAGGAAAATCTTTTACGTAGCCTACATGAGCTGTCAATTAAATAGTTCCGGAGCTAGTGATAGCATAGTAATGCAATACAGCTATGATACATGTTGAACTGAGTAATAATTCTCTGGGGCCCATGGAGGGGAAGGGTCTGTAGTGCAATTACCAAGTTCCACCAGAGTCATCCTGTGCAGGTTGGGCATTCCACGCAGGGACGTCATTGTTGCCCTTGGAACTGCTCTGTTGCTGTTGTTGGACATTCTGTAGCCCAGCAGTAAGGGAAGCTGCCAAATTATTATTCTGCGGAGGACTCTGAGGAGGATTAGTAGCCCTATTATTATAGCCTGTAAGTTTTGATGGAACGGTGAAGACCTCTTCCTGGGCTGGAGCATTATTCCAGTGCGAAGGACCGGATTGTGAACCATGGTTGGAGTGATTAACGCGGCCATTTTTGCTCCCCAGTGGACTTTGATACTGAGCTGGCGCATATTGCTGGGCATTTGAGCTGACTCGCTGATTTTGGGCTTGCGGTGAGCTGGAGGCCTGAGGGTGACCCTGAGATGGCACCACCATTGGTTGTCCAAGAGTCTGAGCAGCCAGCAGTCCCTAAATGACCGTCAATATACAATATACGTATTAGACTGACAAAAAAAAAAACGGCATACCTGAACGTGGAGTAGCTGCTTGAGGATCTCCTCTCGAGGAAGAGACTCCAAAAGTTTTCTTTCAGCTTCAACATCTCGCTCAATTGGCTTGCCAATCTCCGACTCAACGACATCTAGTTAGGCGTAGGTTAGGAGTGAGTCCGGTGGTAAGATTTGCTAAGTGATTCACTTGCCTTTGACCCGATACTTGAAAATAAATTTTGCGTACGGCTCCTCCATTGTATCAAGGTATTGCGGGACTTTAATCTTGTGGGAATACCTTGAAGATCTACCAACCTGAACTTGATGAGAGAGTGATCGTTCTTGGGCAACTTGCTCGGGAACTGTATATAATGGGGGCTCGCTCGCTTCCTGGCCCTGACAGAATGGCGTAATCAGAGTATGAACTCTTTGGATGGGCGGTGGAGATTTCCATATTGGACCCTGAGCTTGGACTGGGATTATTGGAGGAGGTGGCGGAGGCGGCGGGCTTGATGGACCAGGCTGAAAGTTATTATATCCATTATTTGGACTGGGAATAGCAGCAAATTGCCCATTGTTATTGTTTCCGTGGTTGTCGTTTGAATTATTGTTTGGCCAGCCAGCTGCTGGGGCATCCCCATTACCCGATGCTCCACCCTGTGCCATCCAGTTTTGTCCATTCGACTGATTGCCATTGTCCCAGGAAGTACTCTGCTGCTGGCCTTGGGCATTAGTGTCGAAGTTGGAATTGCCTTTGTCCCAGTCATCTGTATTGTTATTTTGTTGATTCCCTTGGTCTTGTCCCCAATTGTCGTTTGTAGCATTGTTTTGATTGTCTTGGTCGTTCCAGCCAGCTGAGATATCATTGTTATTCCCGTTCCAATTCGAATCGCCTTGATCATTATTATTATCCCATGATGAATCATTATTGTTTTGATTGCTGTTTGAAGTATTGCTACCACCAGCATTGCCTTCACCATTGTCTGTATTCGTTGTTGTGGTATTATCATTAGGATTGGGCTCTTGGGTTTTCTTTCCTTGCGTGCGATTATGACGATGCCGACTATGATGGTGGCAGCGTCCGCTAACTCGTTTATTGTCAGAGATTATATAGCAGCCGTCGTCTGTAGTATCGGCTGTAGCATCGTCTGTCGCGCAGCACTTGGTGTTTGAACATTGGTGGCAAGAATGGCCAATGTCTGGTTTCACCTCCTGTGCCGGTTGAGCTGAGTTGACATTGAGGATAATAGAAGGGGCACATCCACGGTTACCGCTATGCAATTCTTCTGATACTAGATTTTGACAATTTTTTGGCGCTTCTGAAGATATCTTCCCAGATGCTTTCCGAATCTTCCATCCCGTACTTTGATCTTGTTTCGGCGTTTGGGACAGAGACCGTCTTGGCTTGGAGCGGTGTTCTCGAATGTAAGAATAAGAGTTATCAGAGTCCTCAACTTCTTGCCTTGTGATGCGATCAGTTGGTCTCCTTGATCTGTAATATCGATATCCTCGGCGGATGTGATCTGAACTTGCGGTTGATTCTGTGTCATACGACTCCCATCCATTCTCCCAGTCTGACTCTTGCTCCGGCTGAGGCTGATCTTCCCAGTGAACCCGACACCGGGGTTCTGGCCTAACAGTATTTGGATGGTGCCGTCTGGATTTTCCACAGTTTATGGAGGATCGGTGGCCTTGGCGACGGTCACGGCTCTCATGTGGAACTTCATGGTCCTCGCGAGCGCAAGATTCGCAGCAACGTATATCATTTCTGCGGTGTCTAGAATCATTTGCTCCGTCAAACAATCCTCCCATAATCCCACAACTTGTATCATTTTCCTTGGCAGTAACAATTGGGCTGGGTAGGCATTCATCACTTGAGATGCTCTGAAGGTCTGCAGTGTGTCCTCTATACATCAGTTTTATGTTCGAAATCTCATAAAATGCCAATGAAAATTCGTATAGAGCGGCCTTACCATCCAGATCTGGCCCAAATGCCATAGCTGATTCTGGGCTGAGAGAGCCTTCAAGCGAGGACTGATCATGCCGCGACTCACACCGAAGGACAACCACACATATTTCGCCCAAGTTATCGAAATGGGATTTGTTGACTTCTGGCATACCGGGCATAAGTTGTACTAGAGAGCATATTAGCGATACATTGGGTATATATATTCATGAGGAGCAGAAACAAGAAACAGAGTATCAGATATGTTTACCTTTTTGAAGTGGCTCAAATCTCCATGGCCTTCCAATCCAACTCCCATCTGCCAGGCGTTCTTCTTTCTGGCGGACGCAGAAATTGACATCTTTAGTTCTTGTCTTACCTTTAAAATATCCCTTTTTCACGACTAAATCATCTCTGTTGCGATTGCATTGGTAGACGCCATCCATGTAAACGAACATGGCCAAACCAGGGGCAATATAACCACTGGAGGTGAGGCGGATGGAAAACGGGGTCGAGGCGGGTTGAACAGGGATGAGACATTCAACAGACCCATCTCGATAAGTAATGCCATATTCTTTGAATGGTATGCTACAGTTAGCCCATTCAATATGGCAGGTTAGTTGTTTTAGAGTTGGCATGGTGCGTATTGTTGATTTCCTAAAAATAAACAATAATTTGGGGAGGAGAGTGAGAGAACGCGGTGGTGGGTATTGTTTTGAGGTTTTAAACCATTATTCGGAGCCACTAAAATCCATGTGGCGGAAGTTACCGTGAATATCGGCTGGCCAAATTTTTCACTCATCCATGAACTCTGGCAGAGGTATTCATTGGACTCGGGAGAATGGTATGTGTCTCTAGGTTGGAGTAGGCTGGACACCACCTAGAGAGTGACATATACGTAAAAGTAGGGTATATCAACAGTCAGAATAAGAAATAGTTCCAGGACTATTTACCAGTATCTCCTGTGCCTTGGGGTTGTAAAGTTGAAGTTGAAGTTGAAGCTCAAATCGACGTTGGAATTGACGATTTCAACCAACCGGTCACCTGACTCTCAGCCTCATTCACTGACCTCTACTCAGGACGAACATGAAGGCTCTAGGAGTGATTTTGAATTATGTAGATTGAATAGACATGGAAACAAGAATTGATATTGGATGCCACGTTACATTTTAGGATTACCAAAAGTTCCATGCCGTTCTTTGGCTGATGTTACTCTAACCTCACGGACCTCTAGTCAACTCGATACCCATGCGAAATCCAAGCCTTCTTCCTTCGCTCCTCGCAAGGGTATACATCTAGGCCTTGGAGTAATACTCCCTTTCGCTGGCCGAGCTAACTATAAAGCAAAGTGTATTGACGCCCGTCGGCTTCTTTTATAGTGTACACATGTTTGGTTATATCTCCGCTTTGTTCATATTCATCTACCTCGGCCATAGTTTAGTTAACTACCCTTGTAGCTGGATAAAGTATACGACGGGGACAGCTCGGCCGGGGTATGTGCCCCTCATCAATCCTTCAAGCACTCGGGTGGCTAGGACGAAGACCGAGATACGTATTTACCCCTCTCACCGGCCATTTTCAGGGTAGAAAGTAGAGCTAAGGCTGCAAGAGAGATAGAAAAGGTGAACTGCACATGTCGGTGTTTGGTACTTTGTTTTAGCTTTTCGAGGCTTCCTCGACCTGTAAAGAGATTTTTAGAGTCAGTTTACCCCATTTCGACAGTATTAAGAAACGCAAGGTCATAAAATCATACTACTTTTTTGTCTGTCAATTCATCACCAAGAATAGTTCCTGTAGTAGAGAAAATAATATGATCCCAGTACATAAACTTTCTTTTTTCGATCTTTTCTTCACACTTGTCGGTCAACAGATTTGGTATTTGACCAGACTTCCCGATTGGGTCTTATAAAACGGTCCAGTCCCATCCACGGAGTATTGATAGGGCTTTCGCCGGTGTACAAGAATACGTCATATAGGAAGCCACCAAATAAACAGCCAAAGAACGGAGCGACCATTGGAACCTAAGTATAAAATATCCGTCAACGGTAAGGTTCATATTCAGAAGGTGATAGAAATGGAAATAGAAGTAAGAGTAACTCACCCAGAAATAATATCCTCCAGCAGACCATACTTCATGTCCATATCCCAGGAAATAGGACATCAATCGAGGCCCAAAATCACGAGCAAGATTGATCGCATACCCAGTTTCCCATCCGAAGCAAGCACCAATGCCAAATATGAGGAAGAACAGCCCAAGGGGCATTAACTTTCCCGCACCAAAGTTCTTATCATCGGCCATCGCGTAGATGCAAAACATCAGAATCGTGCTAGCAATGAATTCTGAAAAGAATTGACCAGTTTTAGTCAGAAATGGAGCCGGGTATGTACAAAATATGCCGGCTGTGGAGGTGTCCAATCCCACGGTTCGGATGTCGGGTCCGCCTTCGAAGATGGTAATAGCAGATTTGTAGTTTGCATAAACAATGCCGGCTGCGCAGAATGCTCCAAGGAGCTGAGCTAACATGTAGATAGGGAATTTCCTCCAAGGAAACTTCCGAAAGACGCAGTTTGCGAAGGTTACCGCGGGGTTGAGATGACCTCCAGATATCCCTCCAGAACAATAAACGCCCAGCATGACTCCGAGGCTATTGGAAAATTATCGTTAGAAACAAGAGATAAATTCTCGAAATGTTGCCTGTTTTTATTCCTTGTACTCTTTGTCCCCAAGTAGAAAAATGCGACTCACCCCCAACCCCACGATATCGATTGATAGTCTCCTTTCTTTGATTCACTTAGGACGACCTGGGCAACAACACCATCGCCAAAGAGAATCATGATAAATACCCCAAAGAATTCAGCAAAAGGTTCGCGGAATTTGGTCCGTATTTTGGTCCATAGTAATTGTCCGGCGGGTTTGGGTACATCCTCAGGAACCAAATGTGGAGTAGAAGGAGCCTGCAGCTTTTCAGGAAAGCCGTGGATAGTGGAATGAATTCCGATTCCATTCAAAGAAGGGCTATTGTGTCCCCTTTCGGTGCTTCCTTGAGAGATAGCCCTGCCATTCTCACTATGCAACGTGTGGGAGAAAGATATCCCATTTTTGACTGGGTTAGTTGGCCAACTCTCGTTCACTGCCGGAACATCCATGTATGAAATGTAGGTAAGCTGACGGATGAAAAGAACCACAAAAAAATAGAAAAGTGCTAGGGGAGAACGGCTTCGCTAGAAGGAGTAGATGATCCGCAGAAGGGAATAATAACAGCTGCACGAGGTTCTGCAGATTTTCTCCACGGGGAGATCAACGATCTTATACAGGTGCATGGACAAAAACGTAGAGGAAGGATCCTGGTATACTGTCGGCATGGCCGTTCAGGACTTGTGTCGCCTTAGCAGTGCCATGCTTTGCCATGCCGCGATCAACTTCCGTTTTTAATAAAGGTGGCACAAATTTAGCCATTAGGATCGTCCTTTGGTCCGGCCATGAACCTGTTCAGTGTCCTCCGTGCATCGTAGGGTAGCTTTCAATGTGTAGCGTAAGGGTCGGCCGGAACCGACCAAAAAGTATAAAAATCAGGTATATGACAGGCGAATCCTTCTGCAACGAAGCACGGAGTCGCAGCAACAAAGTTTGTGCTGCATCAAGGCTAAAATCCAATTGCATGAATCGAAATACCAAAACTGGCGTCGGGCTTGATATCCAGTCCAGACTGCGCATGTTAAAGGCTGCGCTAGTCTGACAGGGGGTCCCCATGCCATCAAGTTGTCGATCACGCCACTCGTTGGTGGACAGCGACAGTTGTGATGAACACCTCCGCAATTTTCTCCAGCTTGATAGACATCTGGATTCTGGGGTAATTAAGTTGTGGAATGGGAGTTACTTCCATCGAGTTATCAAGTCATAGAAGTAAAGTAAAGCTATGCTGGGGTGGAAAAAGTGCGAAACTCTGGTTGCTGGTTCATCGGGAATCCCCGTAGTTGCCGAGACACTTTAACTAACGCTGTTTCGTCCGCCGACCCGCGGTATCACCAGCAGAGATATGTGCCGAGATGCAATCGGCCAAACTTACGTGTAAGCGATGCAGAATGTCCTAGGTTACCCCAAGTACGGAGGCCTAGTAGCCTGCTTGACAGATAAGAGGCACCGGCCTTGTCCCGCATGCATATTTTTCCCCTCAATAATTATTATTGTATCCTTTTCGCCGCTCTTACTCCGAAAGCACTGGTATTTGGCATGAAATAAACCAGTTCAATGGCTGCATCTGGAAAGTTGTTCGTCGGATCGATAGATCAGGGCACAACAAGCTCCCGATTTCTCATTTTTAACACAGACGGAGAAGTGGTTGTTTCGCACCAGCTTGAGTTCAAGCAGATATACCCGCAGCCAGGGTAAGCGTTTGGGATACTCCTATTCTTTCTTTCTGTTATTCCCAAACCGCTAACCCATACATTGTAGATGGCATGAGCATGACCCAAATGAGATTGTCGAGTCTGTTATTGCTTGTATAGATGGCGCCGTTGCCGATTTCGAAACCCAAGGGCATAAGATTGATTCCATCAAAGCAATCGGCATCACTAACCAGCGGGAAACGACGGTAGTATGGGATAAGGAGACGGGCGAGCCGCTGTATAATGCTATAGTCTGGACCGATACCCGTACACAGGGCCTTGTGCGCCAGTTGAAAACCCGCCTAGGCTACAGAGAGCTGCAACCAATCTGTGGTTTACCGCTGTCCACCTATCCGTCCGTCGGTAAGGTGCTATGGTTGATCGATAATGTGCCTAAAGTAAAGGAGGCATATGACAAGGGAAAACTTGCGTTCGGCACCATCGACACCTGGCTTATTTATAAGCTCAACGGCAGTACCAAAGCAGATGTCTTTGTAACAGATCCATCCAACGCATCGAGGACTATGTTTATGAACCTTGAGCGAGTGGAATATGATGAGAGGTTGCTTGACTTCTTCCGCCTTGATCCTTCTAAGATCCATCTGCCTAAGATTGTGCATTCTGCAGACCCAAAGGCTTATGGCAAATTGGCCCTCTCTGCTCTTAAAGGATTTCCCATCACTGGCTGTTTAGGAGATCAATCTGCGGCACTCGTCGGTCAAAAGGGATTCACCCCTGGAAAAGCTAAGAACACATATGGCACTGGCTGCTTCCTGCTATACAACATTGGCGAGAAGCCGGTAGTATCAAAGCATGGCTTGCTAACAACCGTGGCATTCGACTTCCGAGGTGGTGAAGATGGAAAGCTCACATATGCCCTTGAAGGAAGCATTGCTGTTGGGGGGTCGAGTGTCAAGTTTTTGGTCAACAATTTCAAGTTCATGGACAGCTCCAAGGATTTGACGACCTTGGCGGAGACTGTACCAGACAACGGTGGATGTGTGTTTGTCACAGCATTTAGCGGGCTCTTTGCCCCGTATTGGATCGATGATGCGAGAGGAACTATATTTGGGATAACGACATATACCCAACGAGGCCATGTTGCCAGAGCGACCCTTGAGGCGACATGTTTCCAGACCAAGGCAATCCTCGATGCCATGGAAAAAGACAGTGGACATAAGCTCACCGAGCTCGCTGTTGACGGAGGAATGTGCGCTAGCGATTTAACGATGCAGGTATGTGCCATTGTCCCGGTAAAAGCTTTTGCTGTACAGTCTGAATTGCTAACTGACAATTCAACAGACGCAAGCGGACTTGATCTCTATTCCCGTCAACCGCCCTAAGATGCGAGAGACTACGGCACTTGGTGCCGCGATTGCAGCTGGTATAGCCGTCGGGGTATGGAGCAGCATAGAGGAGCTCCAAGATGTCAACACAGAAGGCCAAACAACCTTTAGCCCGAGCATTAAAAAGGAAGACGCCGACAAACGGTTCTCCCGCTGGGAAAAGGCTGTGGAAATGTGCCGAGGTTGGGCAAACTAAGGGCATTTCTTAAGACCCTAGGGCTTAATCCCTTATTTGTACTTATACACTGCCCGGTTTAGTCCCATAGACGAAAGGGAATACAAGCAGCGATACGTTGGGTGATTTCTACCCTTAAAACTTGACTACCAGCGGTGATAACCACGGAGCCATTGTCAGGATGCCTGGCTTCATCCAACCAGGGTATACAGCGAACTCTGATTGACCTTTGGTCCCTGTACTTGAAGGGCAAGAAAGTTGTCCATCCTGTCACGGGGCAATTCTGATTAAGTAGAGGTAAAATGTGAGCAGGCTTGAAGACCGTTTTGGAAACCAACTTGGAAGAATAATTTTTGTAAATTTTTGCGTAGTCCGCGTAAATTCTCGAGTAATAGGCCCTAGAGATAAATTGATTCAAGTAATTGACTGATGTATGGGCATGGAGTGAGTTGAAATTGACGTCCGAAACACTTATATACAGAACATTAGTTACATAATCATAGGGCAACCCTGGTCACGTGAATAAAACTGTCATACTTGTTAGTGGAGCCCAGATAAAACGCACTACGCAGATAACTGCACGCGATTTGAGCCGCACTTCAATCTACGTATAAGAAGCAGCCCTATTGGGTGGTTTATTTTGGATATAAGCATAAGAATTGATGACTGAGCTTATAGTGCCTAGTAATAGCCTTTTACGTCCAAAGAGTAGCTCTCTCGGCAAACCGCATAACGAACACTTATATAACTATGGACATCAATCTTTGCCAGGCCCATCAGGCAAGGAATTGCAGGCACCATAGATCGGATACCCAATCATTCAGAATAAGGATATAACTAGACAAGGGACCCTGTGCGGGCAAAACTATTACCTAGTGGATTGAGCTAATGTCTATCCTACAGAGGTAATCTTTGTTAAGCCACATATGCTCTACGGAACCGACTGATATTCTTCAGACAGCTTGACAGCATCCGTGGAAATGGCGGACCGCCGTCCCAATGCGAAGGCGCGGCCACGGATAAAGGTGACATGGTGGCTAAGAATGAAATGTCGACTGCTACGCCAGACTTCGCCGCTTAGAATTCGTGGGAGCCTCACCGGATACCAGATCCAGCAGATCCGGATCCTATTCGCTATGCAATACTCGCTTGTATTACTGAGGCATTGGTACTAGCGCTAAATTGGCGATTAAGCATTGGCGTGCGTAGGAATGGAAAGCATATTCATCGCCAGCATGGAAGTGATCCATACCCACCCTATGACCCTCTGTTCATGCCATCATGGGTGAGAGACGTACCAGCTGTGACTACTAGCTACCTCCGCTCAGTAATGCCAGAGAGCAAGCTTGACTCCGACGGCCGACTAGTCCTGATAGATGGTGAGAACGAGATATTTCGAAAGAGAAATATCATTGCGTCGGAGTACAGGTTCTACACCATTTAATGTTGGTAAAACGGACGCTTTTTTGTTATAGATATGCTTATGTATCTAACCGCTCCTTATATTTCACTTTTGCAAATGCTTCTACCTAGTGTTTGGACCCTCTTATGGCCGTTACCCCTCGCAGCCTGCTATATAATGTCATTGAGGCCTGGGTTCTTGATAGGTTTGACTTCAGAGGGCCACTGTGGATGAGACCCATTCATTCGGAAGTCCGAAATAAGTAGAGACTCCACTACTATGTACGTGTGTATATATGTATACTTATATAACTACTGCATCCCTGCCTCGGTGTGGTATAATTATCCACCCATTCTTTATATTACATACATATAGGTAGATGTCCGGGCTGTTCTATAACCTCTAGGTGCATGGTACCTGCTGGTGTCCATCTCCTGGCTATGGTCCCTCTCTGTTCTATACCCCCCACCCCACGGCGGAATATAACTTCCATGTTATATCACTTTGAGAGAATGTGGGTTATTGTTAGTTGTGTTAAGTCTAGGGCTCCGATATTACCCGAGTCATGCCAACATTCGAACGGAGCTGCCGATAGGTTTTTTCATATTTTGTTTGTCTGTTATTTAAGATAGCTAACAGGGAGGAAAGTCTTGAATAATACCATTCACACTCTGCGCTCAACTAACACCTCTCGCCAAATTACCGCATAGAGCTACCATGGGCAACCCGCCTAAGGAATGCACTCCAGAGGAGGTTATCTCCGCCATCGAAAAGTACCGCAAAGTTGTTGCAGAGGATGCTTACAAGTCTCTAGAGTGGCTTATCCGTGAAGGCGAGAAACAGGAACTAGGACCAAACTGGGAGGATGCGGATGAATCTTTGATTATTGAGGGGCAGATGCGTTCGTGCGAGCAATACCTAGGCTGCGATTTACCTAATTTCAAACACCCGCGCGAGTTACTATCCCGTTTTGACGAGGTCATTAAAGAATCCGGTTGTGACGGTGTCATAGAGTACCAAAGCCTTAAGCCTCCTGGCGTGAGCGCCGATATGAGAACCGAAGCACATATCAGCATCCTCGAGAAAGCTCTTAAAGACAATACGCATATTTCCGTGCCCTTCCCTGTCTCGATCCCTCAAGAATACAAGACTCTGATGCGTCACGTTGACTCATTATTTGGAGTAGGCTTGCTCCGCCAGCGTTCGCCGCCCCTTTGGGCTGGCTGTACGGATTCCGAAGCCAGAATTAAACGACGTGTGTTAACAAAAGAATATATAAAGGATACACTGAGAGAGATGTGGCTCTATAACTATGAGGTAGCTGCTGGGTGGGAGACTGGAGATTCTACAGAAGGCTATATCTTTATTATACTCTGTCGAAATGAGAAAGAAGGCAAACTATGGCGCTGGCGGTATGCTCGGGTTGACTGGTTTATGGGGGAGAGCGAGGTATTTGATAGTATTCCAAGTTTCCTGGAACACTACGCTCAAGACGTCCCAGAGCCTATTAATGAATTACATTGGCTTGTCCCTTTGGATAATCACCCACCATGCCCACGAGGAACATCCCAATCACCTTGAAGTATGGAGTCTGTTTCCTTCTTGCTGAATCAGTATATTTTACCGCATGTGTATTTGGTTTATAGTACTAGCTCTACTCTAAGAAAGGCCCTTACACCATTCATATTTTTATTCTATCATCATCTTTGGTTACTATCCCTTGTTAAGCTAGCACCCTCTTTCAGTTTCATAGAATTGATATATCATTGAATCGGTAATAGTATTGATTAGATTCTAGTTTCGAGTAGGCGTATTAGCACTAATGCGCTCACAAACACAGGAAGTTGTGGAACGTACATCATCTGCTTTAAGAATACCTGTGTCCATATAAGCCGTAGCGAAACAAAAGCCATTCCAGCTATAGAGCCTATATCGACGTGGCCCTCAGGCACTAGGTGACCTTTCCTGCTGCCCTTATAGGTATCCTGTGGGCAGCGACGGCGATATATATACAAAGAGAAATGAAACGTTATAACTAGTAAGCAAAAATATTCCTTAAGAGCGCCTAGGCGCATTCCCGTAGGTTATATAGGCTTAAGTAAGAGTAGTGGTGTATCCTGAAGCCTGGAGTATAATGCTCGGAATTGTGCGAGGTTGTAGGTCGCCTGGAGAATAGAATAACCACGAAAATAGAATCGTATAATGGGGGTAATATAAGAACGAAAGCTGTCAAAAAGAAGGCCCCATTGACGGTTGGTATTCTGCAGTGAAGTCATCCCTAGGGGTAGTTTATTTGAATTTAGTTAAACGATAAGGCAACAAATAGAATTCAGATGCGCTATACATACCTTCAATAACGTACATTCTCGACGCGATGTTATTTGCTTCAAAAGTACAAGCCGCCTCAAGCTCTAAATTAAGTTGCGCAATGATTGTATCGTTGCTGCCTCCATTATCGTAATCGGGGAATGTTCGGAAGATCGATGCTAGATAACATTTGTGTATCGGGTTATATAGCCTAAATCCATTGTCGGAAAATGGATCATATTCTAAGGCCCATAGGCAGTGTTCTAATTCCTTAACAGATGTCCTAAACCGATCATTACTATATCTTCTCAAAGTTTTGGTACCAGCGATAATACATACCCTACTCGGAGCCGTGAAAACTCTTCTTTCGTTCTATCAGAGCCCACCTCTAGTTCTTGATCAATAATTGACTGTGCTCCTGACTCTACCCCAAGATAGTGTTGATCAATTTCACTCTAAACAACGACAAACTCATGATCCCGCAGATAGTCACCAGAGAAGGTGGATTGAGTATGCATATGTTCATCCTCTAGTCCGACTCGTTTAAAAGACCAAGGGTATCGTCGATTGAATTTGTCTAAAAAGAATGAGCGGTAGGACGGCAATTTTCAGGAGGCGGGTTGAGGCTCTGTTCCAATATCAGGTCGAGCCCTTTTAATATCTTTTTCGTAGGCAGGTAAGGTATCGAAAACTCCGTAATCCTGATTCCAGACAAGGTGGTCGCTCCAGAGGAAGCCTGCTTGCGGTAGGTAGAGACTCATAGGGGTCGAGGGCCTTAAGGAGTATAACGGCACGGGGTGGTCAAAGAACGATGAGTTAATTAAGCGACTATCCGGGATCAGATCCCGACGAAAGTGCGCTGACAGAAAATGTAGGTTATAGTTCCCGCCTGCTGCCATATCCGACGCTGGGAACACGGCGCCATACGTAATAGTAAAAATTAGGATAGGCATAAGACATGATCGAACCAAAATGAGAGCCGCACACGTAAGAGTTTTCTTCTATACTATAAGTTAGCATTAGTCTCAAGGCGTCTGAGGCTTTCTTCGTACCACTGATTGAGTCTGATCTGCAATATTTGCGGAAGTAGAGGAAAGTCGATGCACAAATACATAGCCGTAGCAGAAGCTTGCATCGAATGTGTTGCATCCTAGTGAGAAGGCAATTACTGGAAGAGCCTCCATGACTCCAATTATAGATTCAACGCTGCGAGATGTAGAAGACACGTCGCGGATATAAAAGAAATAGGAGAAAACAACTAACATAAGACCTTCTGCGATAGTGTTCGACGTCCAAAAAGGTAGATCTACCTTGGTTTTCTAAGATACGACCAACCACCCGATAAAAAACAAAGCGAACGAAACATAGCCTCTAGAGAGCACCGTACGCAAATAAAAGCTACCCTTTATCAATAGAGAACACCAGACCGAGAGGCTAAGAGCATCGATGAGCGGTGCCCATGACTTGGCATACCGGCTCACAATGAAGGATAAAGGGGGAATTAGTTCAATGATAATCTGGCCCCGAGAAATGAACTCATTGAAAGCCCCATGGATCCTCAAAAGCTCTCGATCTTGGTCTAACAATTCTGACGAAACCGGGTATATTGACAGAATGGCAAAAGCATAGAGAAGAAGTAAAAGAAAGGACTTCATTGCGAAAAAGCACACTAAGTTGGACTGGCTGCCGGGGATGTGACATTTTGCATTGCTGTATAGTCTGGATGGCGAAGAAATATCCGTCTGTCTAAAAATTTATCTGAACTTCCTCTTCGCAGGGCCATCATCTAGAAGCCGGGCTAATGAAGCAAGCAGAAGCTAAAGCCCCTTTCCTCGCGCAGCCAAACAGCAAGACAGCCATATTGTCAAATACCCTGTAGTTCGTCTAATCTCTTAGACCTCTTAATATAGAGCTATATCACCATTTCACTCCTTATAGTAACTGTGAACTCCGGTCCAGCGGGTTTCAAACAGTGGGTATCACTGAAGTATGATATAGGGCCATCCTGGGCCGTGGGTAGGCAAGGGGCTGGCGGATCAAGCGCTCACTTCCGCCAACAATAGTATGTGGAGCGGGAGCCCCTATGCTGCCGCCGTGCCAACCTGGACGGAGCCGCAGTGTTGACCGTACGTCCTTGAAGTCCAAAGGAACGTGAAAAAGAAAGGTCGTTAACTAACTGGCGTGGCTGCTTACGTAAAGTAACTAATACCGAGTTGATGTTAGGATTAGTCATCCACTTGTTGTTACAACTCGCCGTCTCGGCTCATGTTCCAATAGAACATGGGGCACATAGACCTTTTTGTCCTATGGTCCTGTGGTTCATATCCCAACAGTTGAACTACCAAGATATATAAGCATACAGGGTACGGAGTACAATATTGGTAAAACTGGTAGAGAGGAGGAATATAGTGTCAGATGGGGCCTTAGGACACTTGCCGAAATATATACAGGCGTGGATGTGCTAGGTTGTGGGTGGGGGCCGCCTAAAAGATTTCTGGCCTAGTTAGTTACCTAAGTGTTGTATCCTTAGGAGATTAGGCCCTTTTTTGTCTCTTGTGGTCCAACAACAAACCAACGAGTTACCGAGTTAACTCATTGGTTAGGTAACTGCTAGTTATGGCGGACGATAACTAATGACAGAAGTTATATAACTAATAGTCAATTGAGAGACCAGCACATACGACCACAGGAAGTGGAAAACAGAGCTTCCCGTCCGCTCAGCTGTACTTAAGCCACTTGCCGGTCGGTTAGTAGTTGGGTGGGTGACCACCAGCGAATCCCGACTGTCGTATGTTTTTGATCACCCATTTTTTTTGCTGCTTTTTGATGCTTTCTCTCTAACCAACTGCTCTATCGAGGAAAGCGTCATCGCCGCTTTTTCCCGGCTTCTTCGCCTGCATCACCTGAACGATGTACCTGGATGTACCTGGAGTCACCCGGATTCACCCGAAGCCGCAACTCTATTTTTGTGCTTTTTATACTCTGTACAACCTGACTGTCCAACGCTGTCCAGCTGCCAGCTCTTTCGAATACTGTCCTCCTTGCCTTTCAGCCTTCGGGCATATATACCAGTGCAAAGTAAATGTTTCCACCTAACGGGGGGTGCATCTTGGACCAATAACTAGGTGACGCGGGAGGGGAGTCCCAGGGGACTGATATGCAGCTCCACGGCAGAGTCACATTCAACATGCATGGCCTGCCGTTTCCATGTCGGCCGGGGAGAGCGCCCTTGACGCCGGGTGCCCTTAAATTAGGATATCCTGTGGATCGAAGGTAAAGGGCTTCAAGGACTTGCTTCGAACATACAATATATAGATATATGTATATAGATACATATATGTATAATTATATATAAAGAAGAGAGGAAACAAACGGACGAGCAAGATGACCGTGACTCCTACGAACCTCCCTGGGACAGCCATCACTTCGACAACCGCTACCACTGTCAAGAATACGTTTAAATTGCAAGCGGTGGAGGAGCAGACGACCGACCTGCTTGCAACGATCCGCCACATCCTCGACGACGTATGTGAAGCTCAACGACTCCGCCAGCTCAAAGGGCCGAGGCTGGATGCTGGGGAGCGCAGGTGGATGGACCGCATCATCGCCGAAACGAGTGCCACCGCGCGTGAAGTCGCTCTTCTGCTCGAGCCCAGTCGTGTCGACCGCGAGACACTGCAAGGGAAAATCCGTCTCCGTACCCGTCTTCTTTGGGTGCTCAGGGACTCACACAAGCTATCTGACAAGTATGCCCGCCTCATGGTTTGCCATCAAAGCCTTATGTCTGCCATCACCACCCTTCATGGCCGCGCCGGCCCCAGTCCCCCTGTGTCGCCTGTTCCTGTTGCTGCCAGCACGACGGACGACCTACTCCCGCTGTCACCACTAGAACGTTCGTCTAGCTGGGCGGTGGAAGTACAGAGCAACATGGGGATTGTCTCCCCGCTCGGCAGTGATCTGAATGAAATGCTGGTTTGGAGACGGAGTAAACATAGTACTGGTGGTGCAGCGGATAGAGGCTCTCCGGCCATTAGTGCTTTGGCTGAATTGCCGAGTTCTGGCGATATCACACGGTAACTTAACTACTCGATTATTTAACCCTCATAGAGCTTTTTACGGAAACCAATTCTCCTGCATAACATCCGCAGCTCTTCTCTAGCTGAGCCATATCTAATCAAACTGGGCATTTACTTATAGGAGACGATAGTAGATTCGACCATTTCCTGCTCAACGTGTAAATGCTGCCCATTCTCATCAGATACCTTTACCATTGCTGGAGATATACTGATTTTCCCCACGGCTGCTTTATCCCAGATAAAGTCAAACCCACACGGCTGTTCAAAGAGCCAAATTCCCAAATCTGCAGCGTCCTCTACCACACTAGTTAAGTGGCGTATCCGTGCTGACTCGGGATACTGAAGGCTAGCATAAGCTTGGAATGCAGCTGTGAATTTCTTAACTACTCGTGAAATTTTCTCGTTTCGTGTAGCTTTATAAGCTTGCTTCTGCGTTGCTGATACTCCTCGATAGCCGTATGCGGATAACATTCTCCAGTGAAATTGGACCTGGCTTGCTGCTACATCTTGGGGGGAAAGAAAAAAGATTAGCTCTCATGTCTCCCTATTCTGCCGTAATAGAAATGTATATTACCTTGATATGATTGTAATTCCCCAAGAAATGTGAATGCAGCATATAGAGGCGGAAGGAGTGATTCTTCGTTGGAATGGTGTTTATATTGAGTTGTATGAAAAACAAGAGGAAGGATGGTCTGGATTAGGCAGTGCTTAATGACCGGTACCTTGTCCTTCGACTGGGCCAACATAGAAATGGCCGGCGCAGGAAGAAAAGGGGAATTGTAGGGGCCGATGGTCTCTGAATCCTGAGTTAAGTAGGAAGGCTCAGCATTCAACGAAGAGTTGTAAGAGTAGTAATTTTCCACATGTAGAGCAATTTGCTCAAAGGCAGTTAAAACGCGGCTGCGAACTGCTTGATCATCAGCCGAGTTAGGAATGTAGCTTCCCAAGTTCGATTTATCGTCATGTAAAGTGCGCGAGAAGAGCGTATCCGACTTATGCTGAGTACTAGGAAGTGTGAGTGCGCCACTCAGGTGGTTACGGTAACCATTGACCTCGGTGTCATGGTTATCGCTCTGTGTGCGTTTGTTCTTGGGACCAGCCCCCCTCTTTGATGAATTCCGATAGAAGCAAAAGTACGCGACCAAACAGGTCAGGATGGCACTGCCAATGGTAGAGGCAACTATTGCACCAGCTAGTACTCCATCACTGTAGCCACTGCTGGATGCAGGAAGCTGGCTAGGCCGCGCACTGGCTGTTGGATATCTAGAGGGCGTCAAAGTGGCCGAGCCTGTTGATGTGTCTGTGCCATTGCTAGACCCGGGAATTTGACCAGAACCTATTGGCGGTGTGCTCGATGGACTCGTGGTCGATGGACTCGTGGTCGATGGGCTTGTAGAGGAGGATGGACTTGTGGTCGATGGACTCGTGGTCGATGGGCTTGTAGAGGAGGTTGGGCTGGTACCTGGAGTTGGAAAGCCTTGAGGGGGAGAAGTCGTAGGAAGACCAGGCATGCTAGATAAAGAAGAAGCGGCCATTTTGCGAAAATCCAACCAGCGAATCCACGGAAATACTCATGCGCTCGAGCAATACCAACGGTGAAATGAGCGTCAGGTCTCTGCGATGTTAGGAAGAACAGCGGGTGAGCGACCAAAATATGTATCCGGGGTAAGCCATGCATGGCATCGGGGGCCCTTTTGATTGAATGCCAGTACGGAGTACATGGGATAGTGATCGCCCTTGTCGTTACGATGTCGACCAACAGTTAAATAGTGCGTGTGCTTGCTACTAATTGGTCGACCTGTACGGGATAGGGGCTTGCAGGGCCAATTTTCACCTGCAGCAGGGTGTTTTCAAGGGTATTGGGGGAGGGGGGCGTTTCCCGTCAATTGATAAAGACGAAGCCCCCCTAGCCGTCTGCGCAGCAAATCTTTATGCATCTGCGGGTGTCAGGAGCTCCAGCGAGTCAAAAACAAGAGCAAACCGGACGAGAACTGTAGTTATTCATCTATGGAGATAGACGATTGGATTCCCGACATCGTGGTGGGAGTGGATTTTGGTATGACTTGCACTGGTAAGTTGGTTAGTTATATTTAAGTTAAATAGTTAAATAAATATGTGACCAACCAGGGCTAACTAACGTTCATTATGATATTAAGGAGTTGCTTACTCGTTTGCTCCAGCATGGCCATCGCCCAAAGCCATCCAGCATTGGCCTGGAAAATTGTTCAGCGAGCTCGCAAATAAAGTCCCGACTCAGATAGCATACCGTCATGCGAGCGGCAGCGACGCTCAAAGCTGGGGATTCCAGTGCGAGCATGAGGATAGCGGCCTTGACGTGAAAGAATACTTCAAGCTGCACTTATATCCACACCATCTGGACGACCAGCCAGATGCGCCCAGCCGCGAGGAGGCCCTCGTTTGGTTTCGAGACTATACCCGCTGCATCTATCAGCATGTTATCTCGTATTTTGCCAGCATATTTCCCAATTTCGGCTCACGTCGCGTTGAATTCATATACAGCGTCCCAACCACTTGGAAAGATCCGCGCATGAGTGCTGAGATTGTACAATACATGCAAATAGATTCACCGAACCATAGGGTCGTCATTGGGTTGACGGAGGCGGAGGCGGCAGCGGTTTATGCATGCAAACAGCATTATGAGGTGAGAGCAATTTGGTCGAGCAGTAATAACGCATTTATTACCGCTGGATACTGAAAATATAAGAGAGAGAGAGAGATAGAGAGAGAGTAACTTACCTCCTTGACAGAAAGATGATGTGATCCTCATTTGCGATGCCGGTGGAGGGACAACGGTGAGAACCTTCACTAAATAGTCAACCAAAGGCAAGCAGATTGATAGCTAACAGCAATGGCAGGACGTCAACGTGCTGAGGGTTATATCGCCAGTTGGGGAACCTACTAGACTTGAGCCCCTGGACTATGTTGAAGGTTCCGAGAGCTCCCTATCCAAACTGCTCAAGCATTGAAATAAATTAACCACATTCCAGGAAAACCTATCGGCTCGGTATTTATAGACAAGAGTGTCCACCAACTGGTATCGCAGAAGCTTGAAAAGATCCGCCAGTTTCTCCCTGCTCCGCCCCGCGTTATTGCATGGAGAATGTTATCTGGCAGGTTTGAACGGTTCAAATGCTCGTTTGGCACAGACACGACGTGGAAGATTCCTGCATTAAAGCTGGATGTTCCCTATCTGAACCCAGGGTCAGATTATCCTGACGCAGGAATATACAATTCTCAAATATCTATTTCCAGGTACACTCCTACCTTCTATTTCTCGATTTAACCCAAATATTATTTCTATGCATCGTTTTTTATGTATCCGTTTTTCTTTATCTGTCGAATTTTGTCTTCGAGGTGTTACTAATAGCTTCTCAGACAGGAGCTCCAAAGGTTTTTCGACGTAAAGCTTACCGAGATGTACTCCCTCCTCGACGAACAAATTGCCCGCGTTCAAAGAATGCATCCTCTGAAACGAATAGTTAGTAGATTCAATTGTGCTTCATTCCCCTCCCTCTTGTTAACATTGGAAAGTAGTCATACCTTGTGTTGTCTGGGGGATTTGGCAGCTCACCTTATGTGAGAAGAGGGCTTCTGGAGAGATATGGAAATGAGGGTGCGGTGCATGGCATTGAAGGGATGCAAATTCTCATAGCAGACGAACCGTAGGTTTGGGCTCACTTATTCTTGATGCATAGGTCTGTCACATTGGTTCTAACTCTCTCATCGATATTTAGGCAGCTTGCAGTAGTCGAGGGCCTAGTAATGGATCGAGCTCAACAGCTCAAGCAGGGAGTTGTGACCCTTGGGTCTCGGCTGTGTCGAGTGAGCTACGGAATCATATGTGATAAAATGTATGAGCCTCATAAACACCTTGGGGAGCCAGTACGGTACGACGAACGCGACAAAACCACATACGCGCTCAATCAAATTGATTGGCTCATTGTTCAGGTGCGAAACAGTCAATTCTCTAACACCTTAGCCTAGGCTGACTGACATATTTGACGTTTACTTGGGATTGAAATGCTAACTGCTGCACTTGATAGGGCAATCCCATCCCACAGGCAGGGGTAAGCAAACAATTCCAGAAGAAACTTGAGCCGATGGAGTTAGACAGGCCATGGAAAGTCAAGTTTGTCATGTCAACTCTGCCCGCGGATCAACTTCCCCGAAGCATGTTTCACGGCGGTGTTAGAACTATTTGCGAGGTTGATATCTTCATGGACGCTGTTGATAAGAAGCAAAAGAATCATCGTTGGTATAATTTCAAGCCTGCTTACTGGATAATAAAAGTTATAGTGAAAGTTGTTGTTGGACCTGCAGACTTGCAGTTTCAGCTATGGACCAAAGATGGGCGAAGGATAAAAAGCAGCAAGCATGAACCTATCAGAGTGAAATGGGAGCCTATTGTGCAAGAAATGGAAGGTTAACTAGACCCCGATAAACCACGTTCTAGTACGATAGTAATTTCAACCTCAACTTTAGAGGGCTGGATAGTTATAGACTTAGAGTGACTGCCGTATGTTTTTGATTATTTTTGGTTGCTTTGTCTCATTAACTAGTCATTCTTATTTAGTCTTTCCCTTGTTTCTAAAGATGACATTGTCTTAGACACTGTTAATCCACCGACAACCCTACTGGTTAACAAAAGCCGAAAAGAGACTATGTCTCAACGCCACCATATAACCGCTAAGATAACTACCCACTATGGCCCTGGTCCAAAGAAGGCTACCGATTCTACAATACCAGCCTGCTATTCTAGTGCATCGCCAGCAGATTCTAAAGCCTAGCCAAACCAGAGTCGGATAGCGAGGAGCTGCAGCTATCTCCAGATTGAAATGGCTCTTATCAGGAAGTCATAGTAGGACCTCTGGTGTGCCCTGTATAGTTACCCTCTATGTCCTCTTAGTGCCCCTTTTCTTTCTGCTTTACATCGATAGTTGGTAGACCAAATACTCCGTACGACATAGGCGATGACATCGACTATGAGGCAGTAGGAAAAAGTATATCATGTATATCATACACCCATCTTCCTCGCTTCATAAGTTTCTAATGTCATCCCGCCGCCCCTTACAGCCAGACCAGACTTCGTTATGCGCGAACCGTGGATCAATAATATCGTAATGATAGAGGTACTGCGGGATACTTCGGTAACAATATTGGCTCCTCTCTAGAGGAACGGCATGGGGCCCTATGCATCAATCTCAATGTCTATCGCCCTAGTAACTATGACTTTCCTTCACCTCTATCGAAATAGAAAATATAAACAGAGTACAGCTCTATAGTAGTAAAACTGTCCCTGATCCGTCAGCGGGGAGCTCCTACAAATAAGACAGAAAGCCTATATCTACATACAACTGTGCGCGAAATTTATAAAAACCAGACAAATAACATCCTGAGATTTCGTTTAACGCATGCCGATTTTATATCTGATTATTTACTACTCCAATATTTACTGAAAAATATCTACATAAGTCCTACTCGGATTTAGAGTGCCCTGACGAACCTAGCATCCCTCTAGTCCAATTAAACAAAACTACACACCGCCCAAGAAGATGGCCGAATGCCAACGGCAGCCCAAACTTATACCATGTAAGAGGCTGCAACAACTCCACCGCTGGCACCGGCGTCATAGCATGACATTCATCTAGTGGAGGCAGGTTCTCAACTGGATTCTCGGTGAACTTCCCAACAGCCTCCAGAATAAGCCTTGCAGTATCTCTAGGTTGGCTTAAAAAGGGCGAATGGCTGGTACGAAGCTCCCTATACTCTACACTCGCACCCACGTTCCTAGCCATACCAGTCTGCATTCGTTGCACATATATCGGCAAGCTCTTATCGTCTGCCGCACCAATATACCAGCACGGCACATCCAACCAGCCAGAATAGGAATGCTCTCCTCCTTCAAATAGAGATTTCAGGCTGTGACTTTCAAGCTGAGAACACCAGTATTCCGCTTCTTCTGCTGGTACGTCATGATAGAATAGTTCGCGTGGTGAAGCGGTAAGCTCGGCGAAGCCAGTTTCTTTGTTGACACGGAAAAATGGAAGCGGGTATCCAAGGAAGGGATCCATAAATGCGAGGCCAGTAAAAGTGAAGCCAGAAGTAATCAGTATAAGACCGATGACGTATCCCGGCCTTGTTGGAGTGTCTTGTGGTCGGGTAAAACCCTTAATGGCACTGTTTCCCACCATGCCGCCGTAGGAATGTGCCAGAACTACAACATCACGGCCCTGGGTCGTCTCGTTTGATATAGCCGTTCGTGCGGCATCGAGGTCATCTTTGAACGTGGCTTCTGGGTTCCCTTTGGTTGATGGGAGAGTCACTAGGACGCATTTGAAGCCGTATTGTTCGGAGAGGATTTTGGTGACTTTTTCAAAGCAGGCGGCTTTGTGCCAGGCACCAGGTATAAAGACGAGCGTTGGCAGGTTAGCCATCGCAATATTATGCTGGTTGATGTTGATAAGATCTATATATGTACTCCGTATAGATCCATAACTCGTATTATATCGGAAGGATTAGCATGGAGGTTACGTCGTACGGAGTACACGATGATTGACCAACCTGCTGAATAAGCAAGATTCTAAAAATAATAGTGACATAATCTGATTTAGGGCTATTCACGTGAGCGGCCCGGGCACCAGGTACAAGGACATGTCGAAGTCAAAAAAGTAAACGCGACAGCCAGATATCAAAACGGAACTCAAGCTTCTATTAAAAAAAGATATATACTGTCTAAACAACAAAAAGGGACACCATCAAGTCATGAATTAAAAGGAGAAATCGGAAAAGCAACGATACCCATCCCAAATCTTGTGAAGTGGAAAAAACCAGCAGAACGATAAGGTAAAAAAAAGGCGCAGGAGCCGGATCAAAGGCTAAGGGGGAATCAAGCCAAGAGAAGCAAGGTAAGCCAAGCAACGATAACGAACAAAGCAGGGTGAAAATGCAGTAGGCAAAATTATCCAACTCGCTGAATGGGGGACGATGTGGCACAAAGATGACTGGGAGCAAGGCAGAAAAAGGCAGATGGGGCGCCCCTCTATGTCGCAGAACTAAAACAAAGTCGAGAACTGGGAACTGACTCGGTGGACTGTGATGGCTGAACTGGGCTCATCTCCATGCAGGGATATGTGTGGGTGCGTATGTACGTATAAGCCGCAAAAACCGTGTCACGCGACAGAAGCGACGAGGCAAGCGCGGAAGGGAATAAAGACGAACAACTAGAGGGTACGGGGAATAAGAAAGAAAGGAAAAAAAAAAAAAAGAAAGAGGAGAGCAAGGCGAGTCCAACCAAGTCAAGGATCCGGGTTCCGAAAGTTAAATGAAGGAAGCAAGGTGAACTCCATTGAGCCCAAAGTGAAACGAAACATCCTCTGACACAAGGAAACGAGGGAAATAAGGCAGTGTTCGGGGGTGGAGGCGAGGTTAGACAGCCCAGCTGCCTCTTCGCTCGGGGACACCCCAAGAGTCGACCGCTCTGTCAGCTCCGGAACGAGGCTGTTGCCTCGCCCATTCATGGATATACAGCTTCAACGCATTCCAACGCACGCACCCGGGCGTGGTAGTAGTGGTAGGAGTGGTGCAAGCACCAGTTCGACAATCCGGTAGATCGATGTAGCCCTTCGCATTGGCGTGCTGGTCATCGCTCCGGAGTGTTTCGATAGCGATATTTGTGATTTTACTTAGCTCTGCGTCAAAATCGCGCGCTAAGCATGGGTATCCCAGCGATAAGTAATTGTATATCTGCGTAACAAAACTATCATTGAACTCCGCTTCGATTTCACGCTCAAGATCGGGATCGTATGGCTGGACGAGAATGGCGGGGGAAGGTGATGAGGTGACGGGAATAGTGGCGAGTGAGACAAGATCGGGGGAGATCTCTTTCGAGGGCCGGATGAGAGAGCCCAAAGGTGTAGATGTTGGGGTGGGCGGTAGAACAATGTCCATTCGCTCGGGAGCAGGAGTAACAAGGCCGCTATTGTGTAGTGACGAGTTCTGCGAAGAGCGATCACAGCTTGTCTGGTCACCGGACTTTCTCTTACAGGTGCCGTTCCAGAGCCCGAGTCCACCGCAGCCCGACATATTTGTATCTGCGGTCCATAGTCCACCCGCATTGCAGGGACCTGCTGAGTTTCGGTTTTGGCTCGTGGCTGGCGTAGGCAGGTGGTCGTCTCCTACCAACGTTGATTTGGGAGACTGACATCGAGTGAAAACGATGTCGTCTCCCAGCATCGGCGGGCTCGCGGCTTCACGCATGGGCGCGAGATTTACCCCTTTCTGCCAGCCGCCAATAATGTCGTAACCGCCTGTTTCAAAGGCTTCCCATTCATCCTTGTATCGTGCGGCAAGCGCAGCCGCGGAAAATTTCGATGTATGGTTAGCCGCAAAGAGGCGTTCCCGAGACCTCATCTCTGACTCTTCCTTGTACCGTCGCATCTCCTCCAGCTCCCAGGCGAGATCGGCAGTAGACTCCCGGCGGAACCTGGACAGGTCAATTGACAGCTGTCTAAAGGCGGTTTCCATGCTGTCGTCATCTTCTTCGGAGTTGCTATCCTCTCGGTCGATGGCAAAGTGGGAGACAGGCTGGTAGACCTGCTCGTTGGGGAAGGCGGCGAGGGCTTGGTCCTTCAACTTCTCGGAGACCAGGCGAGAGTGAAGGTTGTACATGTGACTGTCGGGGTAGGAGCCAGTGTAGGAGTCGGGGTAGTGAACCTGCACATTCTGATGACCGCCTTCGTTGGAGAAATTGGTAGGGGAGGTGGAGAGCGATGAGGTTGGTGATTCGCCGGAGCCTTCACTGCTGGTCGAGGGAATGGCAGGTAGGTTGGGGACCTGGAACGACTGTCGTCTGCTTCCATGGCGTCGAGATAGGCTTGCGTATGAATATTTCGATTCCGAATCCGTGGCTCGAAACCGAAGCGTGTTCGTTGAGCAGACGTTGCTGCTACCGTAATTCTGTCGAGCAGGGCTTCCTGCAGGGTTCTGGCGGAACGACCGTTTGCCGGTCTCAATCAGTTGGGGAGTGAACTTCCGCGGCGATTGTGACGTCTTCGTTGCAGCATCCCTCGACTTCTTTTGTTGCTGATCGGCATCCCCTAATCCTGCACGACCAGCACTCCCACCAACGCCCCTCTGTTTGCCCTTGTCACCATCTCCGTCTTGCTTGACAGCTTTTCGGCTGGTCTCCGTCGTCGTCTCAATCAACTGAGGCCGGAACCTGCTCGTCCCCTTTGGCGCTGTTGTCGACCCATCCCCTGCCTTCTTCTTCCCGTCCTTATCCTTGGCCGTTGTGCGCGAGGATGACGACGACGACGACGACTTTGTGGTCGACTCTATGAGCTCTGGAACGAACTTCCGTTTCGGCGGAGGCGTACTACTCGCTGTCGAAGCCATCAGGTCTAGATAAAGAAACGAACCACCGCTCAAGCCTGAAACCGGGATGTACAGCGTGGTTGAAAAGCGAGCAACCCCGGAATATATTTAGGGCTGTAACTGCTGTTGGACAAGATGACGAAGACGGTCGTCCGTGGCAATGCGATAGGAGTCCGCCGGGCCAGCAAGCAAAACCATTTGAGTCCACGAAGCAGGGAGAGCTGAGGTCGCGCAGTCGAGGTCGAGATCTCAAGGGGGCGAGGGCGCGAAGTTGTATGAAGTCGAAGAGTCGAAGAAGTCGAAGTTCGACAGGACGAAAAAAGACAAAGAAGGCGAAGAAGGAAAAGAAAGTTGCAAAAAAAGCAAATGCAAAAAAAAAGAAACGAGAAAAGTGAAAAAACAAGGTGGCCCGAGTGGAGACAGGGCGCAAAAGGGGTAAGGCGCATTCTGGTTTTCTGCCGCGGGCTGTGATTGGACGGCGTGTTAAATAAGCAGGAAAATAAGGGCGCCTGTCAGACGGAGTAGCGCGGTCACATGCAATTCACGTGACCAACCCCTGGCCAGACCCGCCCAGCCCGTCTTAGTGCGCGCTCACCGCTTCCGGGAAGGGATGACTAACGAGATATACTGACACGTGATTGGCTTATCGCCCGTCTATCTCTCTTATCTAATGTGTATGTTTTATACTACGAAGTGAAGTAATAACATTTGGCATATTCTAGAGAGTGAACAACAACAAGACAGCAAGCACGAAACGAACAGGAAGCGAAAGAAGATTTGGTAGATAACTGGGAAGAGCATGTGAGACAGAGACGATCAGAGGCTCGGGCAGCGTCTTCAGTCGTCGTCGCTGTCGAGGTCCTCCGACCGCCAGATGTGCCCTCCCTGCGCCGAAGACCGCTCATGTGCGTCCTCCGAAGCCGCTGGATCCTCGGAAGGCCGCGAAAAGGTGCTGTCTTTGCGAGCTCGCGCATGCACGATTCCCGGGAATATCGCCTGCGCTGGCATCGAGCTAAAGCCGTGTTCCTGTGGCGTGCCACTGGCGGTCTGGGGCTTGCTCGAGTGGGCGTACGACTCTACATCGGACTGCGAGGGATGGCGACCGGGAGTGTGAGCAGTCGCTGCTGCTGCTGTACTTCCCTGCTCTGGAGGGCCGCTGCCAGGGCCCCCGGCAGCGCTGGGAGACGAGGTCTCGCTGTTTTTCAGGTAAGAGAACGAGGGAACCTTGGTTAGTGTCTTGGGAGTGTGGGTGTTGTTCGGTGTGGCGGATGCATAGCGGTCGAGCCTGCATATATAATCAGCTTTCAACACACAAAACAGCAACACCCCCTTCTCAACAATTTATTGCACGAAAAAGAAAGAAGGAAAAGAAGAAAAAAAGAGATGTGAGGGAAAAGGATCGAGGATCGAAAATAAAGAGCGGTGGGGCTTACAGCGATAGCTCTCCTGTCAGCGTCTCATATCTAAACGCCTCTCGTAAGTCCGGCACGTTACTCTTTGCCATGTTGTTGCCCTCCAGGCCGGGGAGATGGCATTTACTCCCCAGCCAACGCTGTTTCAACGCCAACTCGAAGCCGCTCTGGTCTACGCTGTGTTTGGCCAACTCACACATGTCAACAGCACTAAGCTTGTAGATCTGCGCGGCAACGGAATATTCTTCGATCAGCGGTTCCTTCGTAAAGGCAAACTGCAGCGGGTCGTCAGTGGAGAGCGAGATATTCAGGCCCTTGCGGAAGTAATTGGCGCACGGGTTCTTATCGTAACTCAGAAACAGTGCGTTGTTGCTCAATGGTGACATGGCGATCGGAATCTGGTCTAGGTAGAACAGGTACTGCAGCAGCGGCACTTTACGGAGCAGAATTCCATGCGAGATACCCTGGCAGCACAGGAAGGATGATGCAAGATGGTCGGGATCCCCAGCTTCTCCACAGTGCGGGCGGAGCACAAAGGTGTTGAACCCGCGCTGCTTTCTCCATGTGTTGAGTGATGCCATGTTTGCAAACATGAAGTAGATCCAGTAGCTGTAAGGCGGGTTCTGCTTGGTATCCCATTGCTTAGGGACTGGGAACTTGCGGTACAGTCTCCTCTCTGCCTTGCTCTCATCGTCAACGCTGTCGAAACCAACTACGCGCTGCAGGAAGATGTGCAGTTTCGGATGGCTATTGGGATCCTGGGTGACTTCGAATAGCGGCTGGAAGACGTTGCGGACAATATCTTCAAAGTTCTCTATCTTACCGCTTGACTTGAATACATCATAGAGCCGAGGTACCTGGATGAGCCAGCGCACGTTGGGGGAGAAGAGCTTGTTGTCGACAACCCAAGCAGCCAGTTTGTCCCACTCAGCCAGGGAGTGGCCGTAGATGGAAATTCGCCATTCTACCATCTGGTATTTACTCGACTCAAGGTCAGACATTACTTCCTTAGTAATTTCAGCCAAATATCTTCCTTTGATGTAGTTGTCTGTCTTGAGGAAGATCTCTCGTAGACGTGACTCGCCAATAGGGTTGTATTTGAGATTGAATTTGTCGAATCGGTGGAACGAATCCGTATGCGCCTAATTATGTTAGCAAAAAGGTAGACAAGAAGGTTGAAATTGGCCTGAACGTACATGCATGTCCAGAGTATCGATACTTAAGTCATAGGCCGTAAGGTTGATACTCTCAAAGACTTCCTTCAAGGTCAAGTGTTTCCCATCTCTGAAAAGCACCACCTCGTCTGGGCACTTCTTCATTTTACTCTTGATGAATCTGAGCAAATGCTTCTGGTTCATACATGCCGAATGGTGAACGTGGGTATCAACCTTGCGGACATTGTAAAAGTCTCGATGTGGCACTTTCTTACTGTCTGCAAGTTCCTGGTACTCATTCAGCAGCGTATGCAGCTGGAACTTACCCTCCAAATAAGATAGACGCTTGAATGCAAATGACTTCACAGGGCCATCTGTAGACACATCAAGTACGCCGTCCAGGTCCATATAAAAATCACGAATGGATGGGATCTGGATGACAGGCTGGTTCAGGTCACAGGCGGCTTTGGTCTCATAAACCTGGTAAACGCTGTTGTCATCCAACTTGAAAGTCATGCTCGATGCTTCAGGCAGCGGAAGCAGATCGTTCATGTCAAAGTCTTCTCCAATATCTTGACCAGGCTTTCGCTTCTTCTTGGCCGAGCTCGCAGGCGGGAATCCATCTGATTCACCTGGTTTAGACCCGCCTTTCGCAGCCATTATGAAGCTACTGGACATGCTCCCGGTTCCGAGTCGTTCTTTATCTTCTTCCCACGCTGGCTCAGGTGGGGGAGGATAAATGACCCAGCCGGGCTCATCTCTGGGGTTGTCACCTGGCCGTTGGAAAGAAAGACGCATGTACTTATGTCTAGTATCCAGCAGGCTCTGGATCTTGCGGCATATGGCACTTAATTCAGCCGTAATTGCCCCGTCATTAGACGCATAGCCTCCAATTGCGTACGGTATTCCTGTACCAACACTCATCCCAACATTACCTTGAATAGCACTGTGCGAAGAAGAATTGCCAGGCATGCCTACAGTTGGGAGGACATGAGCTCTAGCGGACCGCTCGGCGATGCTAAAACTGCTGTTCTCGCGGCGCATCTGCAGCGAGTTTGCCGGAGGAGTCGATGTCACCGAGTACGATGGCCCTGGCAGCATGCTGCTAATCGACTCATTATCAAAATTACTTCCAGATGTTGGGCCGTTGCTGGGCAGGACGGGGACCGATCTTGGGGGCATGTCAGGGCTCTGGGGGAAGTCGCCATCTACACTGCGGGAGGCAAGCTGATGCCGCTGGTAGAACAGTCGTGCCTCCGCATGGCTCATTGACTTCTCATAAGCATAGTCATAGGTTGCCGTCCGTGTCTGACGGTCTCGAGGGAGGATAGGCTGCTGGGATGCAGTACTGGAATCAGGCGCATCGTCCGCTGGCGGGGTTGGCGCGTTCTTCTCCATGCTTCCGGCGACGGCTCGAGATCGCAAGAGGTGGCCCGTTTGTGAGTCTGGTGTCGTTGATCGAGTGACTGCGGTAGAATCAGGCTCGTCAGCGAGATGTAGTTGTAGTTGTAGTTGTCGCAGTTGATGGATCGAGGAGTCATGGTCGTAACTATTTGACTATCGGGGAGCTCCGCATTGGTCGTTTACTACTGGCTCAGCCGTGGCACGTCATACAGGTGGACCAGATGGTTAACCCTGGAGCAGCATCAGATATTTTCGATTTATTGCCTACGCAGACGAGCTGTCTTGTCTTCTTGTTTTATGCATCGAATCATGGCGAGGCAAGCTGGGCCGTCAGGTATTTCCCGCTGTCCGCTGTCCGCTGCTTGTGTGAGTGCGAGTTACTGTTGATGTACGAGCTCTATGCTTCAACCTACCAAGACACGCGACTAATAGAGAGACTCAGGAAAAAGGGATAAAAGTAATTATACATATTAATTTTTGGGGTAAATGACAGACGAACAGCCTCCGTAGCCAGCAAAAAAGAGGTCACATAACGGCGTAATACCACAAAAAGGAAACTTCGACAGAGCCGAAAGAACATCACTTAACAAAGGGGGAGAAGATGACAGAGAAATGAATAGATAGGGGGAGACGAGCTTGAACAGAACTGCCAGGTTCAAGGGGAAGTAGGCCATTGTGGACTGCCCGCTTCCTGTGAGGTATCTGCACCACTAAAGCCAGGTATCATATGACCTAGCACATATGTAATATGCCCACGTCAACAGACAGAGGAACCAACAAATGTAGAAATGAGCGTTACACTCATCTCTAGCATCCTCAGCCGGGACAGGATGCTCTCAAAACAATGTAGTTTTTGTTAGGTTTTCGCAGTCTCAGAGCATTGGGGTGGAGCAGGACGTATGAAATCGAGATAATCGTACAAGAAAATCCAAAAAAAGACAAGTTAAAAAGCAAGCAAAGAAGTAAACTGATTGAATATCAGGATACGTCCCTCGTGGAAAACAAAAAGCCGTCAGAAGAAAATCAACTTAAAGAAAATAAATCAAAACATAAGACACAACAAGGCGGTTGCAACAGAATCAATTCTGCAATGCTAGACCGTCAAAAGAACAGGGGAAGCGATCACTCAAAATAAGAGAAAAGAACAGGTACAGTACCCGTTCTTTAATATGCTGAGTAATAGGGTGGAAGAAAAACACCAAAGCTCACTGAAGACTGGCCAGATAGAAGAGATGGAACAAGTAGAAATCTTGTTACCTATACCTGGCACGGCGTGAACCAACCGGAGGGCCTTCGGGAATATCTCGTGCGCTTGGTCCATGATAATAATGCTGGGGTTGTTCGATAGCAGGATATCGGGAATATTCCATATCATAGTCAACGTATTCTGGTGGAACGCCACGATGGATCGGACGTTCAATGTAGTACTGACCTGCGTTCTGTGGCTCGCGAGCCGCAACACGCACAGGGACATACTCCACAGCACCTTCATAAGATGGCTCGATATACTCTTCGACGTAGCGGTACTGGCCTTGTGTTGGTGCTCTGGCGTAAGAGGGATGGTCAATGGGAATACGTTCAACATAGGCTTCCTGCGGATGGGACGGGGCTATGGCGGTGGCTCTCTGTCTCGCTCGAGGGCTACGGTTACGGTAGTACTCTACCGAAGCTCGTTCTTGTGGTAAGGGGGATCGTGAGCGTGGTCGAAGAGACTCTTGCCTCTGAGCTTCGTACCGTTCGAACCTATTATGCGATCGTCCGACTCGAGCCTCCGCTCCACTTTTCACGTCGGTAGTAGCTACACGTCCTCGGCCACGACCTTCAGTCTGATCGGGCGTGAGAACGTCTCCGCGAACTGAAGGGGGGCCGCTATGCATGTCGAATGCTTCGCCCCTTGGGTCAAATTCACGATATTCACGCCCCACAGCAGGACTCTTGCCTCGTCCAGTCCAGCCATTAGATTTTCCGCCACGGCCTGGCTGGGCTGCGTGGCCTGCTTCAACACCGGCATGTGGATTGGCTGAAGCACGCCATTCTCGCTCCTCTGCAGCGGTCGATTTGGGCCATTTGCCTCTAGATTCAACTTGTGTTTGCGGATTGGACCCTCGCGAAGTTGTTCCAAAGTCACCTTGATCCTGACCAGGCACGAAGTTATTCAAGAAATGCTCGGCTGCATTCATCTCTTCGGTAGGAGAGGGGCCCTCAATCTTGGCCTCATTGGACTCCGCGACCTCACCATCTTCTGATACATTTCGGCTTTTAGGGCGGTTTGTACCAGGCTGCGATGGTCCACCGCCCGCTGCTGAAGGTACCAAGGCTGCACCACCAGATTTTGCAGCACGTTGTTTTCCATGAGATGAATGTTTCTGTTGCTGTTGACGGGGGCGTCTACCGTCGGCCTGCATCTCAGCATCTTCTCCAGGAGACACTTCCACCTGACGATGCTTCCCTTGAACCTTTTCACGAGATCCAGCATTGCCACGAGGAGCCCGAGCGTAGGGATCCCCTGCAGTTTCGATAAATGCTGGCCGGTGGGGGTCATACTCGTCATCGCGCGGGGGTTGGAAGTGCTTTGAATCATCTGGAGATTCAACAAATCTCGGGAAGTCATCCACGGCAACCTCGAGGACTGGATGGTTGACTGACTTCTTACCTCCGTGACTAGCAGCGGGGTATTTTGTATGTTCACCAGTCTTCGATTCAAAGGTACTATGGATGTTTGGCTTCATCACAGCTTTCACTGGCGCCGGCGCAATAGGTGCAGTGATTGGGGAAAATACCCAGGGAAAGGCGGAAGTAATCAGGTGGAACTTTGCTTGATCCATGCCGGGAGCTTGACCCAACGAAGATATAACGGTATTGTCTGGCAATAGTAGCATATGCACCTTCCAATCAGGCTGACTGCCATCAGGCGCCGCTGCGTCAATGTGAACTGACTGGAAATGGCTGAAGAGAGCCGGAAGATGATACATTTTCCGGTCATTTCGGGAATCATGTTGACGAGAACGACGTGTGCTCACCATATCAGCACAGGCTTTACAAACCAAGCCACTGAGATTTCTAATTGGTTTCATTTGAGGATGAGAATTCAATCCATCGGAGAAAAGCGTGAGGGCCGGCTCTTGCCCGAACTTGTCCACAAACCGAGTAGTAACATGATGAATTACAACGTGTGCTCGCACATTGTGGGGGAGATCCTTGATTCCAGAGGTGCCATTCCAAACACTTCGGGCATTTTTGGCGATTTCATCTAGATGCGTTTGGTACAGCCCAAACGATTGGCTACCTTGATTTGGCTTGTGAGCACCAGCTGGTGGCCTTGAATGATGCGCAGCAGATGGGTATGGGGGATTGTAAGGCCCGGGTGGGTGGCTTGGCCCGCTGTAAGGTGGTTGGTATGGTGGTCCTGGATGCCTTCCTGGATCTGCTGGAGGATAAGGTGGCGGATACGGCTGGCCGGGGAATGGCGACCCATATGTAGGATTTGGTGGCGGGTGTTGCTCGTAAGGACCCGGAGGGTAGGCTGGCTGTTGAGGAGAGAACCCATAGCCCGGGGGAGGGGGAGGGTAATATTGAGGAGAAGGTGGTCGATAAGGACCAGTCCCATAGGCATAGGGTGTGCCATACGGCGTTCTATTGTATGGGCCAGGGGATGGCTGTGGGTTTGTGTATCCCATATGTGGCTGGCCACCATGCGGACGTGGCATGGGATACATGAGCAGTTTTGCAGAAGCAGGATCAGGGTTGAAAGGAGGACGTTCAGGCCATTCTGCTCGCCAATGAACAACAACGCTGCCTAAACTGAGGACATTCGTGTGTTTAGCAGCATAATGCTGAATCACACCTTCGAAGCCGTAATATTTGGCATTATTGTCACAACCATTGCACAAAAACAGCTCCTTTTGAAACTGTTCAGTGAGTAGTTTGATTTTCGTGTCAAATATAAACTTCATGTTCTCTAAGATGATTTTGCGTCGAGGAGGGCCGTTTGGAGGATCTTCTTCAATTGGCTTCCCTTCAGCACGAGCACGCGCGTCTTCTTGGGCTAAATCTTCCAAGAATCTCTTCCGAACGTACATAATGACGTCGGCTGCAAACTTGGGGCACTTCTCTTTTGTGACCCCTTCGCCTCCACGCCAACCCTCACGGATGATCTCGTCGGCATAGCCGGCCATCCGTTCTTTGATTGGCTTTTGAACGTCCTCCCATTCACGGTCAAGTAGTTCCTTGGCCTCCTTAAGTTGCGCCTCTTGATGGCGCCGCTCATCAGATTTTGCTTGAAGAAGTGCGTCATGAAGCCTGCGCTCATTTTCACGACGCTCAGCAACCTCGCGTTGAGCTAAAAGACGAGGTTTCAAGATTTCCCAATCTCTATCAGTAAATGGATGAGTAATCTGGATCGCAGCTGTAAACGATTCCATATGGTTAATAACCTCGGGGGCAAGGGGCGGATCAAGCTCTGCGCATCGTCTTTCGATTTCGCTTCGACGGCTGGCCTTTGCCTCGTTGATTTGACGAAGGTTACGCTCTCGTGAAAGTTGGGAGTTCGGTGGGAGTGGGAAACCAGGCTGCGCACCAGTGCTGCGGGGCCGACTAGTAATGGTAGCATCTAAAGGGCACGCCATCAGCAAGAGAGACATAAATGTAGCTATAACGCCCTAGATATACGTAGGCAAATAAGAAGAGCTTGGATTGATGATATCAAACAATCCGTAACACCCTTCAAACTAGAGAATAGGGAGTGAAAGGAAAGTATGTAAGGATATAACTTACCTAGGTTAGTGGCTGGAGCACTGCCGCCAAGACTATTACTTGGTCGATGGCTCCCGATAGGAAGACGTGTGGAAACTGTGTCAGGTGCCTCAAGCTTTGCAGGTTGTGTCTTGGTGCCATTAGACTGTACTTGCTGTGGTGACTTAAGACTGCGAAGGCCACCCGCTAATTCCCACTGCTCCCACCGTGCTGCGTCAGCAATCTTGTCTTTGCCATTTCCATCAAGGCCTTTCATCCATTCCTCAGCAGCCGCAGGTCCTAAGGCTTTGACTTCCTCAAATCTAGATTTCAGCTCCTCAACCTGAGATTTTAGAAAATGTTTTGTAAGGACCATGCCGACAGGAGGTTGATTTCCCCGAAGTGAGACGGATGAAACATAATGCAGCGATGCTGTGAAAAATGCAAATGGAAGAGCAGGGACCAGGACCGAAGGTAAAGTGGAGGAAAAGAGAAGGTCCATTTCCTAACATGTACGGTTAGCTTTCAATTTCGCGCAACAGACGCAAAGATGTGAAAAGAGCAATAAAGCAAGACTTACTGTGTCACAATTTGCTTTTAAACACTCCCCGCATGATCGAACGGCTAATGGCCAAATGATTCTAACTCCAGTATCTCCCGGTCCACTTTCAAAGGGTGAAATCTCTGGTGATTGAACAGATCCGGTTTTATTGCAAAACTGGCAAGAGGTTCCGCGGATAAGCTTCCACATATCCATTTCAGACAGAGGGGTTAAAGGGCGTGGCATGCTTGAATGGAAAGACTTTCGTGAAATGGACCAAATATGAACGGGATTAACATATTTCAGTGAGCCTGGAGTTGCACGGCCAGTAGGCAACTCGGACTGACCAGTGGTAAGCAAAGCTTTAAAAGAGCGGTTAACTTGCAAGACACGTCCAAGTGAAACAGGCGGGAGAAAAGTGAAAATGTGCTGCCATATTTCCCTTGGTAATTTGGATTTATCCTCGGGTATGGTATCCATAGATAGATCTGCGGAATAGTCCGACTTCATATCATCTTTAAACTTAACACGCTTTGTGCCATCCACGAAACTCGATGGCGAGTCTGTTCGGGATTTAACACCAAAATGACGGCTATCATACTCTGAAGAGTACGGAGCATCTGAAATCTGGGTCCCTGCTGGATAGTCACCAGCTGCACCGCGTTTGCGTTTCCGGCGAGACTGGGTACTGTTGATGGCAGAAGTAGTTTTCCCAGCAGTGGATGCCTTCTTGCGGGTCTCCAGACGGTGGCCGCGTGAAACAGGCTGGCCGGAATGAGAACTTGAGGCAATAACATCACTGTCATCTTGTCCGGGTGTTCCGGTATGGGACTTATTCTGTGAATTTGAATCTGTGACATCTTCAGAATATGGGTCGAAAGAGGAAGAACTTGAGCTCCCAGGCGAGCTCAAAGACACTGCCATGGCTAACTATGTAGCCGCAGGGCAAAGAGCTAGCTCAGGCAGCGAGATATAGTATTATGTTCCCTCTTGTCCTCTCAAGGGTCTTTTTTTTTTCAACTGGACAATTCCAGTACTTTTTCCTCAAGGCAGCGAGTCCGTGGCGATGAATCGACACATTCAAACAGGTCTAGAGAAAGAAAGAAAGAAAAAACACGTAGAGATGAAAAGAGACAAATGGACAATTATAAAATGGTCCTTAACTGGGGGGAAGTTATGTTTTTGCTGATTTGTTCACAGGCATTCCAAGATACCCTGGAAACAGAACAGTGAAAGGGTGATTGTCGAGATGGGGAGATAAGAAGAGCCCGAGATGTATCACTAGGTGGCGCCTCCGCCTGCCACTGAAAGCACGAAACAACGAGTATAATGAAGGGTTGAAAGAAACGCGGACGAAGAGAAGTTGAGGATGATGAAGACGCGACGTTGTGAAGTTGACGTTGAAGATCGAAGTGTGAAGAGAGAAAGAAAAAAAAGGAGGAAACTGCGAAGTTTTTTGCAAGGCTGCGCACAGGCCTCTTTTACCCTTTTCGGTCAGCTTAGTGGGGCCGAGCTTCACTAATCTGGCCAATGATAGAGGATATTAAAACGTCACATGAAACGGTCACGTGTATACATGCGACTTTGATAAGATGAAAGAGGACGACGAAGCTCAAGTGATCGAAAGGACAGGAGAAGCTGGGGAGGTGATATAGACGGGTTTAGTATTTATGGGCATGCGAAGGTGTCGTGACTGTGCTACGGCGATGGCGAATCACAAGGGCCACCGGGGCTGAAGAGGCTGTTATTGGTTGATCGAGCTGAAGATTATACTTGCACGGGCTAACTAGCCCATCTATGCTAGATATGGATGACCAGCCAGCCTCGATCGTTCGACCGTGATAAGGTGCAGGATCGAGAAACCCCGTCATGAAGCTGCCGGAGACCCTCCTGAAGAGTTGACGCTCGTTAACCTGGCCTTTTTCGCACGCCTCTTCATCTCCCGCTTTGAGAGTTGCGGTTCGTCAGAAGGCGTATTCTGGCCATCAAGACCACCCGATGAGGCTTTCCGCTTCATGCCGCTCCCATCAGAGGCACTAAGAGAGGCGGTGACTGGCTTCTTTCCTGGTTTATTGGCCGGCTCAACCTTCTTTGTCCCAGCGTCATCGCCTTCACCTCCGTATACCACATCCACTGTCCCGCGGAAGCTCGTTCTCTTTACCAGAGCCATATCCACCACTTTCCTGGCCTCCTCACTTACCGCCTCCTTCGCCCTTTCAGGTTTCATCCCCCAGACACATGCGAGATTCACAATATCCCATGGTGCTCGGACACTAAGAGCTTGTTTCGCTTCACTGGAGATAATGATCCCTCTGCCCCGCGCGGCGCGGATCAACGATGCTGCATTTGATATTAGATTTCTTCTCGCTTCCATCCCGCTACCCGTCACTCCGGGTCCATAACATATTTCTAGCCGTACACCTCGTGATACTGCTGCGGAGAGGGTTTTGAATTTAAAATGGTAGGGTAGACGTGTAGATAGGTCGAGAGATATAATATCACAGTCGAGGCTGTTACAGGCTTGCGATAGCGCTTTCTCATTCACAGGGCGTATAGCAACTAGCGAGTATGATTGTGCTAGCGTTGCTAGACGCTGGTTTTGCGTGGCATCCGAGAGCGTAATGTTTAATCGAGTGAGTATAGTGAGAGATGTCGGGACATTGCTTGGTAGAGGTAACGGGGATATGGTTGCCGGCAGTTTTCCTGTTATCGACTGTGAAAGTGCCACAGTAGTATACCCCACTAAGAGACAAAGACAAGTATAAGCTTGATACTTGCCAGGAGATGTATGTTGTCTGATCATTTGGTGAACTTACATTCAGACAGGAACCGCAAGGTGTTAGCAATGCCTGGTTCATTGGGTTCATTATAGGGAATATTCAAATCGTAAAATGTCATGGTGGATATGAGCCCATCCAACCCTCCCGTTCTTGACTAACGTTATATGGCGGATTGGACGCTCTAAAGCTGTGTACTTCATAAAGCTCGAGTCGCGATCGCATAAAATAAAAATGAAAATAAATGGATAAAATCGAGTCACATGATAGCTACAATCTAATCACGTGACTTATTAGCTTATATAATAAATTTAGCTCAGTCGTCCAATGAAACGTTAGGCCATACATAACCTACCTTTTACTATTGTATTCATTTGGCTATAAATTGCACCTATCGCCCACCCATGTTTCCATGGGGCAGGTAGGCTTTGTTGTCCCATAGCACCATGGTCCAACAGGTTCCCATCATATCAGGTCTACAGATACAAATGAACATAACTAACAAAGTAAGTAGCTTCTTCAGAATGCATCGGACGTGCCCATGCGGATATATGAGGTGTTCCGTTCCTTGATCTCGGTTCTAGGTAATAATTATCATCAAGCATAAGACATCTAGCGACGTTGACACTACCACTTCATTAATAATTGCAGCCTTGGCCAACTTGCCAATACCCCCGCCTAACGCCGTTCTATGTCCTCGTCTTCGAAATCCGGTAATGAACGGAGAAGTAACTGATTACCCTCTGACAGGGAAGCCGTTAGTGCCGTCCTCGTCTTCTCAACCGCCATGTGTAAGTCCCACATCGGGCTCAAGAAAAGAGATTGCCGCAGAGGAGGTAATGTTTCCGGCGGCCGAATGAACGGACCAGTTTAGCTCCGTTCGGAGGCTTAAATATACCTAGGCAACTCTCGAGGCATAACACTTTTAATTGGATCACTTCTATCATCTTAGTGTACTCTGGGCCATGAGATCCAATAGTGCGATGATATGAACGATAAATCATATGTTAGACGTTGGATATGCAAGTTTGACAAGGACTAGGCTGTATATGCATATATATGTGTGTGCTTGGTGTGTGCATTTGAAATTCGAACAAGGGAACCGCTGCCTCCCCAACCAGGCAACTAGTTAAATCAAGGTTAGTCAGATTGGCCGAAGCTAGGATAAGCCTTTGTCTTTCTTCCCGGTCCACACCGTACGTAGTTGGATATGGCTAGTTTTTATCGAAGGAATATTGGAGGTCCAATGTATACCCCAAGAACGAGAGATAAGGTTCACGGATACTGAAGGCTACGTCAGACTTTGCGTAATCCAACATGAACCATGAGATTACAAGTAGCCTTGGTGCCGATGCCAAAATTATCCTTGCTGAACGCAAAATCACCAGCCGTAGCATCCTTGATCTTGAAATCAAATCTCTGAACTAGAGCAGCAAGGAGCAAGTACATTTCAGCCCATGCAAGACTAAATGACTCAGTGTATCAGCCAAAATTAGTCCAACTAAGACCATGCTTTTTTTTGAAGGATCTTACTTACTGCATGCCGAGACATATTCTCGTTCCTCGTGAAAATGGGGCGAATGTTGTGGTAGACCTTTTTGCTGTTGCATCCATCCACCTATTGGGATTGAAGGTCATTGGATCAGGATACAACTTTTCATCGGTGTGCATTAGTATTGTTGTCATTCCAACGGGGGTTCCGGCAGGAATACGCCAGTGCTCATAGAAAAGGTCCTGGTCCGTAATGCGTGCCGCTCGAGAGCCAACTCCAGGACTTAGTCGCAAGCCTTCTGTCAAAACAGCAGTGAGATAAGGAAGTTGTTCCAGATCCTGTAAAGTTAGAGGCCTGTGGTGTTGGGTCGAGGCTGCATTGATTTCATCTCTGAGCTTTTGAAGAATTTCATCCTTACTGTAGACATGGTATAGGATGAGTCTTAAAGTGTTTGAAATTGTTTCAAAACCTGCACCGGTAACGGTGGCCACTTCTTCAAAAACTCGATCAAACGTTTTGTCAGCTGGCGTGAGATCAGAGTTAGCAATTGCGTATATCAAAGTGCCCTTGGTGATATCATCGGGTGAAGTAGACGTTGCTGCGGTCAATGTGGCTCGTGTATCTTGTTCAGATTGCTGCTCAGATCAGTATTACACCCGACTATATCGGGCAGCAGTGAATGGTAACTGACCTGAAGATAACGAAGGAACGACTGGGTGTGTTTATCTGCCATCTTTTTGGCCCATTCAATTGGCATCGCCCTCATAGAGGGCCCGAACCAGCGTATATGCTTGGTCGTGCGCCAAAAGACACCAGCACCTTGTGACGCGAGAGACAATCCGATTCCAAAGTCTTCCACGTCAAGCTCATTGTAATACTTACCGACAATGAGCTCGTTGGCATTGTCTCGAGCAAAGGCACTGATGGCTGCCCCTAAGTTAAAGGTGGCTCCTTCAAGCGACGCAATGCGCTGGGAAAGTTTCTTAATATTTTTATGCAGCAGATCATGTCGAGCAACAATGTTTGATTTTGAGAAAAAGGGAGCAATGGCGCGACGGCGGGCTTTATGGGCATAATGATCTTTTGAAAATAATCAGAGATGGCCACACCTGTAACACTCAAGGCACAAGAGAAATACCTGCGCCGAATATAGTTGACGTCTTGGCTCCAAAGGCATCATATGTCCAGGAATACTTGTCCCAACGTCCATCCGAGCGATAAAGCTTTTCGAAAAATACTGGATCAATGACATGTAGCTCGTAGGGACTAATACGAATAATGGGTCCTATTGAATAAGAATCAGCATTAGCACTCTTGTGATACCGAGCTAGGAGAATATACCTACCGTATTTCTTGTGTAATTCAGCAATCTTCGCTGTATACTGGCCACCAAGAACAACATCATAGTAAGCCTCATACCAGCGCGAAATAGCTGCTATTTTAGGGCCGGGGAATCGTGCCAAAGGGTGGAGGAACAGCCGGTAGAAGATTAGAGTTCCATAGTATGCAATCACTGCTCCGACAAACGCAAGCCAACTAATGTTCATCTCCATGAAGAATAGTAAGTCTTTGGTAATAAAAGGAGCGAAAAACAGATATACGGAATATACACTTGAAAAGAAAGAGTTTTAATACTTAGGCACAACAAAACTGCCGCATAGATGGAAAGCAAAAATGTCAAGGCAACAGCGAACGTATCTAGATATTTATAGGGACAGCGGGTCCAATTAAGCATGGGCAATGGCAGATGGCACTAGTCCTAGTTTGTTTTAGCTCCGCAGGAGCCCGAGCTAAACTGCACAGGCCAACTTTTTAACACTGAGCCGTTGGAAGCTTAGTCTCCACCGAGTATTTAGGGGCAAATGGACGGCTGCTGGAAATACGTTTTTTTTAATATATTATTGTCTATTTAATTATCAGCTATTTGTAAAAAGCGAAATGTATCGAAGTTTGTTTTGCAAGCTAAATACTATAAACATGCTGTCGATAGCGACAAGTTGGCAAAGGCTTGCCTAACTTCTATGCCAGGCAACGTATGCTGAGCACGTCGGCTTTGCCCAACGAGCTAATGATAAATCCTGGCTCCAGTTACTTACATCAGTATCGTTGCGTTTAAGGGCAGTTCTGACTACCAGAACTCCCTTGTTGAATATGGTGGCAACGGGAATCATTTGAACTTTAGGCCACCCGGGGTGACTTTGGCTTTAGGACAGGCCTTGACTAAAGTTGGCCGTCGGTGGCATAACAATATCGCACAATAGTTATCGGTTTATCTGGCGTCTTTTGATTCAGTAGATACTGTGGGATCGGGATGGAGCGCTCGAAAAGTATTAATGATACCGGCGCCGCTAGAGATAAGTCGGCGGATATCCGACTGCGTAGGCTATGCGAGGGCATCAAGAAATCGAGAGTGAGTTTCATTAAATGCTGGATACACTTGAAAATTGCGGGTATTAACAAACGTGTCGTCAAAATCAAGAATCATGAGAGAGGTCATTTTAAGCGGCCGGCCATTTCTTCCGAAGTCACTATTCGTTGAACAACTTACCCATCAAAGGTTCTCACAGCACTGGATGTGGAGCTAGCCCAGTTATGCGATGGGTGAAGTAAAACATAAATTCAGTCAATAAGTTCTCTTACCCAGCCTTTTATGCGTTATATCAATTTAATGACACTATTCCTTGTCCATTCAAACCTTTATATTGACATAAAATCCAGTAAGGGCCACTCTGGCGGCGATGAAGAATAATACGCATCCTACCATCATAACGCCAGTGAATACCTGTAAACCCCAATAAGTGCCATTCTGACTCAAGATTGCTCCTGCAATAGGGCTCCCCGTAAGAGTTGCAATGCTAGTGCACGCAAATAAAACACCTTGACGAGCCCCTATTTTGGTCACATCGGCTGAGATCTGGCTTAAGAGAGCTGGTACCATGCCCACAAATGCACCTGATGCGAATCCATATAATAGACGGAAAGAAATATAAACAGCCGCGGAACCAGGGTTAACAGTTGTTCCCGGGATCCAAAAGCCGAGTATAACGATAGCAGAAAGCACACACATCATAATCATTACGTTAAATCGACCCCACTTATCACCTAGATAGCCCGGAAGTATTCGACCAGGGAGACTAAAAATAACAGTCAGTCAATTCAGCAAAGAAGTGCAGGGCGTTGAGAGATGTCGGTTCACCTTGCTGAATTCAATATAGTCAGCAGATAGGCAGTCAAACCAGGGTCCATGCCGGCTGCCTGCGCTTCCAGGATGATATAGTTAATAGGGACAAACATAGCAAAACACCACAGCAAGACACCAGCATAAGCAGGACAAACGGTAGTTCTGTAAATGGATTAATGTAGTCATTAATTGTAACTGGCCGGGGAACTGGAGCTATCCTTGATCAAATGGTTAGGTTAGCAATAACTAATAGGATAAAAACTAAAAATCCAGCAATCCGAAGACTCCATCCGAAGCCAATAGTAGGTAATAATCTAGATAGTATAGTTGGGAATATAACACCGCCCAAGGAGGAGCCACTCGAGACAATGCCGAAGGCTAGGGCTCGTCGCTTATAAAACCAGGTGGCGGTGCATGAGAGTGCCGGATAGAAAACTAGACTTGCACCCAGGGGGCTGCAAATACCCTGAGCAAGGAGAAACTGATAATACTTGTCAGAGATTGATGTCATCATGAGCCCAAAGATATACAGAAATGTCCCGGTGGTGAGCAGCCATTTCGGCCCATAGATGTCGAATATTTGCAGCCAAAGCATTAGATTCGATACAGAGGCTGCTGCATACAGGGTGGAAGGTATACCCGTCCAATAACTATCCCTGCCGCGAAGAGGACAAAGGGCTCCAATGAGAGGATCCAGGCGACGCTTAAAGTTGAATAGGAGCACAGTTGATGAGATTGGTAATACTCTTGGAACACTCCGATGGCTACGTCCACGCATCATTTCAGCATACAATGTCATCAATAGCGGGCAGGAAACAGCGTGCTTGCCGTTGACCCAGCCAAAGCCACAGAAGATGCAACACCAGGCGCCGGTAACCACAGTCCGGCATGGAGTCCTTGGTCTGTTCAACCTGCAGAATCAATTCGTGTCTCTCTTGCTGCCACTCCCGTTCCTGGCTTCAATTATGCGGAAGGATCTGTCTCCATGCTTGCTTTGTCTGCGGGTATGGGCTGCTATATGCACCTTGAAGGTTCGGTGGCATAGAAGGTGTTCATGGGTATATCAGCTCAGCTGTGAGCACAGGAAGAACAGAAAGAAAACTTTCAACATGGAAGAAATGCCACAAAAAACATCGAACTAGTGTTCTTTGTCTCGTCTGCAGATTAGGGTAGAGTTGCAGTGCAGGCAGCACACGACAGACAATGAAGCTTGCTGCAGCTAAACAGCTCTCGTCCGTAACCCCTGCAAACTCCGGCTCAACAGTGAGTTGGTTACATGCTAGGCCAGTTATCTCGATAGCGGGAATTGGAAAATTCCCAATCCCATACAGTGTATTTACCGCTAAATGTCACATAAAACAATCTTGTTGGCCAGCTGGTGTAATTTCAGTGCAATTGAGTGGGTATACGTAGTACGTATGTTTAAAGGCATCAGACAAGGGGCAGGGAGCCAGAAACGCCCTTCCCTCGGCCACCTCCGTGGCTGGATGGCAAGGGTCTGGCTTTTTCGTTTGTCAGTTAAATGGACGGAGTTATAACGGGGGCAAGTTTGCCCGAAAAGGCTGGTAAACTAGCATAACCAGCCAGCTAGCTCTACCCTATGCGCATCACAGGCTTTCGATCCTGTATAGCAATGACGAACGACCTATATTGTATAAACATCTATTGGACTAAAAAGCAACGCTGCTTAGTTAGCAGTAGCAGAATGAGGATACAGTAAGTATTTAACAACATCTTCCTCATGAAATTGAAGTCGAAGTATTTAGAGTTTTCCTTACCATTTCTAGTGAATTTCTCCGAAATCGGCAAATAATATATCCGTGCAGGACAAAATGAGTGTGGTCCGTGCACTGAGGGCTAGAAGTCCCGTGACCCGGTCGCTTGGGAGCTGCGGGCTTGTGAAAGATTGTTGACGCTGTTTGCTATTTTGCGAGCTGCAAGCGTTCCTTCGAGCTCAACGACAACGGCGCCCACGAGACCAAGTTCTGTTCCCTCCCTGTGATAATTACTGCAGTGTCTTTTCTCGTGCTATCTACCTAGCAAACGGCCTCTCGTCGAGTTTTGAGTCTCCTCCCCGCCTGCTCTGCATCGATATCACGCCCTGAGTGGGGTGATCGCAAACCGTCAATATGGCACGCGTTTACGCAGACGTGAACCAGAAGATGCCCAAGACATACTGGGATTACGATAGTGTCAATATATCCTGGGGAGTCCTAGAGAATTATGAGGTTGTGCGGAAAATTGGTATGCGATACCCTGCCCGCCCAATCTGCTCTCATCTAACCACCAACACCCCTGTCTCAGCCTGCTAATAATCGTAAACAGGCCGAGGAAAATATTCAGAAGTGTTTGAAGGCGTAAACGTCGTTAACTACCAGAAATGCGTCGTTAAAGTCCTCAAGCCGGTCAAAAAGCGGAAGATCAAGCGAGAAATCAAGATTCTCCAGAACTTGTCTGGAGGTCCTAATGTCGTCGCGTTGCTTGATGTTGTTCGCGATAGTCAAAGCAAGACGCCTAGCCTGGTCTTCGAATATGTTAATAACACCGACTTTCGAACACTATATCCCCGATTGACAGATTACGATGTCCGATACTACATATTCGAGCTTCTCAAGGCTCTGGACTTCTGCCATAGCAAGGGAATAATGCACAGGGATGTCAAGCCGCATAACGTCATGATTGACCATGAGCGGAGAAAGGTAAGGCCCATCATGTCAACCATACCTTTCGCTAGTTTACTTACACAAGACCCTAGTTGCGACTTATCGATTGGGGACTTGCAGAGTTCTACCATCAAGGCATGGAGTATAATGTCCGGGTTGCCTCCCGATATTTCAAAGGCCCCGAGCTCCTTGTCGACTTCCAGGAGTACGACTACTCTCTGGATATGTGGTCCCTCGGGGCCATGTTTGCCTCTATGATATTCAGAAAAGAGCCGTTTTTCCACGGCAGCAGCAATGCAGACCAGTTGGTCAAGATTGCCAAGGTACTTGGAACGGACGACCTGTTTGACTACCTCGACAAGTACAACATTGAGTTGGACCCCCAGTATGACGAGATTCTCCAGCGTTATCAACGCAGACCGTGGAACTCTTTCCTCAGTGCCGAGAATTCGAGATTCATTAGCAACGAAGCCATTGACTTCTTGGACAAGCTACTCAGATATGACCATACAGTATGTTTCCTAGGATATCGTTCCCTACCTATATCGAACTGATAAACTAACTTAAACGCCCTAGGCCCGTCTAACTGCTCAGGAGGCGATGGCACACCCATATTTCTCCCCTGTTCGTGCTGCCGCCTCTACAAATGCCCAAAGCAACACAGGATCTGCCTCAAATGCCTAAACTCTTTCTTCTCATTCCAATACCCAACCTGTCGCCTTTTCTCTACTCGCCAGCTGTTTGATACACCTCATCCTTGACAAATGTCAGTTCCCCCTCCGACGAGGCTTTCATTGGGCAGAATAACCCCAACCATCTATTCTCCAAATAACCAGGACCACTAAAATCGAGTAATCATCTTTGGGAGTCATCGGCTGGTGCAACTTGTTGCTTGTTCTTTTTCTTTTATTAGGTTGTTTAGCGCTATTTTATGCATGAGACGCCCACAATGAATGAAACAGATAATGCGACTAATATCTCGCTTACAACTCCCGAACTCTGGCATTCATTCCCCCATACCCTTTTCCCCTTGCCTCATATGTATGTTGTACACATCCTATCCAAAGAAGTGCTCGTTCATATTTTTTTCTATTCAATCTATCAGATTGCGGCTCTCTAAAACCTAATCATAATAGAGAGACCCTAAGCTTCCAAGTCTAGCAATCAACCTTGTTGTATAGCGATATAGAGTACTAGAGGTTGTATGTCCATGCACGGATGTGATAGTCAACAATCGAAGGAAGAACATGGCTTGTAGTCGTTCTTTCTGTGCACAACCTCAGCTCGGTTTCAATGAGCATACTTTCATCCATACAAGTTATACACTTGCATTTCAGTCAAGAGAAAAGTACAGTTGATCTCACTGATGATGCTCCCCCTCGGTTACACTCCCTAGTTTCCTGGCTTCCGGCCGATGCGCTCATTGTTATTGAGCAGAAATTTACCTTGGTGACCCGAATCCCCTGTTTGGAGGTCAAAAAACCAGAACTCCGATATCTACGCTTTTGGATTGTGCTTTAGCATCTCTTCCCGCCAACTGTGTTGCTCTCAATCAATGATGTTAGTTACAATAGATGACGTACATAAGGGCGAACGGAATGGTCTTTCGCGCCAGTGACAATCAGTTAACGGCTGAAGATTTATGGTTCTATGCCCCCTGTCGACATATGATGACAGGCTTGAATGGATTTCTTCAACATATTGGAAAGAAAACATCCTCGTACCACTCGTCGGTAAAATTCCCATATCTGTAATGTAAATGCACGTTGATTAGGCTATGTTCCAAGTGTAATCCGTAGCTTTGTTTACACCCCAAAGCCCCAAGATTCCATATGCCCACTTTGGAGTCCTATTTCATTCCCAGACAGCTTCAGGTGCGCGATAAAGGTTTAACCGTATTATACCGTCATGTTCTCCAAGTCCAATCCGAGCCTGGCCAAAATGAGGTAGCAATGGAAGGCCTCATGTACCTTTAACTTCTTCTGTAGCAAACGCCTAGACCTATAGAGAGCATGTCCAGGCACATATTCTTAAAGAATGGGGTCCGGGACGGCTTGATTTCTCCATTCCTCAAAAAGAGAGGGCTCGTACGTGCCAACCATAATATTTTAGATTAGAGGACTTGAGCTTCAGTGTGGAGGTAGTCCAATGCGACTAAGAGCTCCTTTAGTAACACTTTCAGGGCCTGTTTGGTGAGTCTCTGGTTGGGGAGGGAGGCTTGAGCTTGAAGATGTGAAACGCTTGTTGGTCCGTCCGCAATAAAGACATCTAGCATCGTCCGAGCCTTTTATTTGCCAGGATGGGACGACATTGTGGATACAAGATGCTTCAGGACATTGGACTCCTGTTCGGCTACAGCGTTAACTAACATCGTGGCCTTACAACCTTGTTCATTCTCTTCCGCTGGCGGTGGACAGATGGAGATACACCAGGTTGCGGCAGAGAACTGAAAACTTGCCCTATTTGAACCGGGTAAGAGAGCCCTTTCTCATAAGCTGGTATATGTTCCTCTTCAATCTTGACTGCCGGGTCCGGGCTTTCAAAGCTGTGGCCTGTAGAATTAGGAGCAGACTCAACAGATCCTGGTAGAACACGGCGACCCAGTTAAATCAATCTGGCCATCACGAGGCTGACACGCTGGCGAGGCATGGATAAGTAGAAACAAACCGATGCCTGTTTTAGAACAGACTCTCTGCAGCTAACTGGGTTCCATGGATCCATGCAGTTCTGTTCGGAATAATGAACCCATTAAGGCTTTACGAGGATGCTTACCCAGGAAGCGAGAATTGAGACTGGGTTACCTTCAGTTCCATCATTCTCCGATCAGTTCTCCAATCAGTGATTGTGGTAGCCATCTTGGTTGACGTTAAGAAGTTGCGTCGTTTTTTAATTTAGGGTATCTCTGCTTACCAAGCGACTCAACCTAAAAATAGTACATCTTAAGCAAGCTCATTAGTAATAACCTAATCGCAATTAGATAATATATTAGTCAGCTCTTCGACGCCGCGACGCTTGGAGGAAATTTTGAGTCACCAAAAGTTATATCGAGAGATCTGAGAAGAAGACGCAGATTATTGTATGCTCGGGAACTGGGATCAATTGCGACCCCGACACTTATCCTTTCTCTTGCGGTGCTGTTCGCTGGGCCAGACAGACCCTCGACTCGCCTAATTACCCCACGCATAAAACTCTCTTTCTTTTTTCCACAGTTACGGGCAAAACCGTAAACCACGATACTCCGACAACTTGCTGCGCGCTCAGCGCGGAGGGGAATTTACATTCGACCTCGATTTACAAACATGGCTTCACTTGCTACAGCGCAGTCTTCCGGTATGTGGCTCGGAAATTGCTGCCCCTATGATAAAGCGGGAAAGGTCGAAAAAGAGTCTAACGTCTTGCCTGTCTTTACTGTTTAGATACCCCCGCCGAATCTTCCACCGGCGGGGTAGCCACCCCAGCCCAGGATGCTGTTAGCAACAGCTCAGGAACACCAGGCGGAAAGGAAAAGTCGGAAAGAGAACGTACGTGGTCTGTTTCTTATATGGTGGTTTGCGGTGTATGCCTCGAACATGGTCTCTGACTCAGATACGTTGATATAGTTGAAAAAGAACGAAAGAAGGCCGAGAAGCTGAAGAAGTTTGCCGAAAAGGCTGCGAAGAAGGCTACTGCCGCTCCCGCCCCCGCGAAACCTGCCGAGAAGAAGCCAAAGATTGAGAAGGACAAGACGACCGACGCCTACGACCCCAAGGTTATCGAAGCCGGCAGATATGAATGGTGGGAAGAGCGAGATCTGTTCAAACCTGAGTTTGGTCCTGATGGCAAGGTGAAAGATGCCGGATACTTCGTCATTCCGATTCCACCCCCCAATGTGACTGGAGCTCTTCACATGGGCCACGCCTTGACAAAGGCTCTCCAGGACACCATGATCCGCTGGCAGCGAATGAAGGGGAAGACGGTGCTGTATCTCCCGGGATACGACCATGCCGGTATCTCCACGCAGAGCGTTGTCGAGAAGATCCTATGGAAGACGGAGAAGAAGACTAGGCATGATATTGGGCGAGAAGCTATGATGGGCAAGATCTGGGAGTGGACTCACAAGTACCATGACAGCATTACTGCCTCTCTCCGAAGGTTGGGCGGTTCTTTCGACTGGTCCAGGGAAGCCTTCACTATGGACGAGAACCTTTCTGCTGCCGTTACCGAGACTTTCGTCCGCCTCCATGAAGAGGGTACCATCTATCGTGGGAACCGTCTTGTGAACTGGTGTGTTGCTTTGAACACATCCCTGTCCAATCTTGAGGTCGAAAACCGAGATCTCGAGGGCCGTACTTTGCTGGATGTCCCCGGATATTCTAGAAAGGTTGAATTCGGTGTTTTGACCCACTTCCTGTATGAGATCGATGGCACGGACGAAAAGATTCAGGTTGCAACTACAAGACCGGAAACTATGCTCGGTGATACCGGTGTGGCTGTCCACCCTGATGATAAGCGATACCAAAAGTTCATTGGAATGAAGGTTAAGCACCCGTTCATCGACCGATTGCTACCAATCTTTGCGGACGACAAGGTTGACCCTGAATTCGGTACTGGCGCTGTCAAAATCACACCAGCACACGATTTCAACGATTACATTCGTGGAAAGGATAACAACCTCGAGTTTATCTCCATCATGAACGATGACGGCACATTCAACGAAAATGCCGGCCCCTTCGCCGGAGTAAAGCGTTTCGATGCCCGTTACCAGGTCATTGACAAACTAAAGGAGAAGGGCCTGTATGTGAAGTGGGAGAACAACCCCATGAAAGTACCACAGTGTGTCAAGTCTGGTGATGTTATTGAGCCCATCATGAAACCACAATGGTGGATGAACATGACCGAGCTTGTCAAGCCTGCCATCAAGGCCGTTGAAAGCGGAGAGATCATTATTCGCCCCGAGAGTGCGGAGAAGAGCTACTTCCGATGGATGAACAATATCAACGACTGGTGCTTGTCAAGACAGCTGTGGTGGGGCCACCAAGCTCCCGCTTACTTCGTTGATATTGAGGGCGAGAAGGGTGATGATGCCGACGGCAACCTGTGGGTGACCGGCCGCACCGAGGAAGAAGCAAGGGCCAAAGCGGAGAAGAAATTCCCAGGCAAGAAGTTTGTTCTGAAGAGAGACCCCGATGTCCTAGATACTTGGTTCTCCTCCGGCCAATGGCCATATTCCACTCTTGGATGGCCAAAGAAGACTCATGACTTTGAGAATCTCTACCCCGTGTCTATTTTGGAAACCGGATGGGACATTCTTTTCTTCTGGGTTGCTCGAATGATTATGCTTGGAATCAAGATGACTGGACAGGTTCCATTCAAGGAGGTGTACTGCCACTCCCTCATCCGAGATTCTGAAGGCAGAAAGATGTCCAAATCACTGGGTAATGTCGTCGACCCCATTGATGTCATGAACGGTATTTCCCTTCAAACGCTGCATGATAAGCTGCTAGAAGGCAATCTTGCGGAGAAGGAGGTCGCCATTGCAACCAAATTCCAGAAGAAGGCTTTCCCCAAGGGTATTCCAGAGTGCGGTGCTGACGCCCTGCGATTCTCGCTGCTCGCATACAGCACTGGTGGTAAGTTAAACAAAGCCCCCTTTCTATCAACTATATTTATATATGAGGCCGTTTGCTGATGTTCTTGCTTCTTTCAAGGCGGTGATATCAACTTCGACATTCAGGTGATTCACGGTTACAGAAGGTTCTGCAACAAGATCTACCAGGCCACCAAGTTCGTCCTTGGCAAACTAGGAGATGATTTCAAGCCCCAGGCCACTCCCAGTAGGACCGGCAAGGAGTCCCTTTCCGAGCGTTGGATCTTGCACAAGTTCAACCAGGCAGCAAAGGTTACCAATGAAGCCCTGGAAAACCGTGAGTTCTCCGTTGCTGCCAATACCATCTACCAGTACTGGTACAGCCAACTGTGTGATGTCTTCATTGAAAATTCCAAGTCACTGTTGCAGCCCGATGCAGACCCAGCAGTCCAGCAGTCTGCCAAGGAAACTCTCTATACCGCCCTTGAAGGTGCCTTGACTCTCATCCATCCAGTCATGCCTTTCGTGACAGAAGAGCTGTGGCAGCGTCTTCCAAGACGCCCCGGCGATGAGACTATCTCTATCATGAAGGCCGCTTACCCAGAGTACAATGCTTCATTTGAGGATCCTGCCGCCGAAACTGCCTATGAGCTGATCCTCAACACTTCCAAGGCTATCCGAAGTATCCTTGCTGAATATGACGTGAAGACAAAGGGAGACATCCTTATCCAAGCATATGACGCTACTAGCCACAAGTCTATCGCCGAAGAAGCCACCAGTATCAAATCTCTGAGTGGTAAGAACATTGGTGAAATGACTGTTCTCGATGCAGACAACCGAACCCCTCCGGCTGGCTGTGTTGTTTCACCTGTTGGCGCCCAAGCTGCTATATATCTCCAGGTATCAGATGAAGTCAGACTCGAGCAGGAAGAAAAAGCCAAAGCCAGTCTCTTGAAGCTGCAGGAAACTATCAAGAAGCAGCAGGCAATTATCACTGCTCCGCAATGGAAGGAAAAGGCCAAGCCTGAAGTAAGAGAGCTTGAAGAAAAGAAGCTGGTGGATGCTCAGGGTGAGGCAGCTCGTCTTGAAGAACAGATCCGCGAGTTGGAAAAACTCAAGATATAAAGTAGATCAAGTAGATCCCGAGCTTCTGGTCTGACATTAACTTTGAAATGCAATTATGATTCTAAATGTATGGGTTCTCTATATATTATTCAGTATCCATAGACAGCCATGTAGTGGCTGCAGACTTAACCAAACCATTTCACCTAGGATGATGTATGACTATTATTCCTCCTGCAAAATGAAACATCTCTACACGTCACCTTCTCCAAAACCTCAGCCATCCCATCTTCCCACCTTTTCTAGTAGCATCGTAACTCCGACCGATTACTCTCGGCCTGCTTTCCGGTGGGTTTTGCGGATTGCGCGGGACTGCGAGTTTGTATGGTGGTATGATACCAAGTTTTGTGCTGTCTGTAGAACAGGAGAGTATTGATTCTGTTTTTGGACACTTATATCCTCCTTGCTGCATAGGGGCCCGTTTCTCACATACATCAGACGCAGGCCTTTGAGATTTTGTAGGAGAATGCTTGGTTGAACCAGATGGGGCTTGAGGTGGTATGGCAGTGGCCTTGTCAGTACGTACTGGTGTAGGGCTCTCGGCCAATTTCGAAGCCCTTGAGAAGGTTATAGGCGAAGGAGTTCTAGTTGACTTGGAACGACTTTCCCGGGTATCATTATGCACTTCCAGATTTTTAAATTCTACTCGTTTTCTTTCTTGTGTATGGAGCTCGTCTGCCCGGTGATGTGGCCTGCTTCGTCTTCTATGTTCCCTCTGGCTTCTCTTTGGAGGACAATCACGAGGCTGGTGACGACATCGACGGTAGTCTACCTCTTCATTGTCTAGTATAAAATACTTAGGGAGATTTATTGTCGATTGAACGAAGGTAATATTTTTTGTAGCCCCGGTGCCATCAGCCGGAGAATGGTATGATGCAGTCCTGTCGCCAACTATCAATGGGATATGCTTCCCACAACAAACAGGAATGAATTCTACAGCCAGATTTTGTTATTAAAACCTCAGAGCTGGTTCTTTCCAATTCAATAAAACGTACCATTTCTGACATGTACCTCGACTGGTAGAAGGTACTGGTAGGTATAGTTTCTATGGCGGAGCATCTGGCAGATAGGACACTGGTCTGTACTAAGCGGTATAACCCTACGGCATGGAATTGGTTGCTCTGCAAGGTGTTCACCGATAATGTATACGACATCCTCAAAACCGGGGAGATATGCTCTTTGAATTGAAAAGCAGGGTTCTATTGCTGGCTCTGCAGGTAGAATATGCAGCCATGGCTCCTGCTCAATGTATAGTAATGGGGTACTGTATGCCATTAGAAGGTCAAGGTGATAACTATTCCGTCAAACTCCGCCTCTGGGAAGTTATTCATATTTGTATAAGACCTGCTCAGGGTATATAATATCCAGACTAAAGGGGGTAAACAGGGGGGCAATAGAACAAATGATCTAGCGGATCTCCTTCCCCCGCTCCGAAAGGATTAAGATATCACATCAGGCCTTCGCTAGGAGAGAACGGAGCACAAACTACGTCTTCACCGGGCATCTGACAGCCTTGTGACTTTGATTAAAAGGCATAACGAACCGTTATGATTTGTATATCAGTATACCGCAAAGAGTATACTGCCAGGCCTGATTGAAATATACACCCTGAACAGACAACCAGCAACAAATGGGACATTACCCGAGCAACAAACACTTGCATTGCCCGCATCAGGCGGATAATGTTCTTGTCAAAGAACAATGAGACAGACGGCTTAGCGAGCCATGGGTATCCCTGATCTCTAGCTTTGATGTGCTGACAGACGCGAGGAAAAGACTCCTGTTGGAGAGACATAGACGCCTCGGGACGTCCGGACACGAGGAAGAAGGGCAACTTCCGGGCGTTGTACATGCATGCAGTACAAGAGTGATCCCATGGGGCCGCAGCACTGAAGCAAACGTCCTGCACTGCTTTTGGTGTGGGAGTACAAGGCTATGCTGAGGGCAAGATGTATTCCTACACGTCGACCAGTAAGTTACCGTTAGTTACCCCTGAAGGTGGAGGGGAGATCCTGGCCAGCGTTTGGGATACATTGTTGACTGACGCGACGGTTAGACGATTAGTTGGCGGAATCAGCCATTGACAAACCAGACCTGGCTCCTGAGTCCCCAGCATTACTATGGGCACTTATGGAGCGTCTCGCTGCCTAACGATGCATGACTTCTCCGACTTTTTCTGTGTATCCCTGCTGATTGGAGGCTGATCTTAAGATGCATGAGTCCCACGGCCAATCACCTCAACCCTAGTCGCTGCAGCAACCTGAAGAAGCCATGAAAATTGGCCCTATTGCTAGCCTGGCAAGATGAGAATTCTTTATAGGAGGGAGTGAAAGCACACAAGCGATCGCGGAGATGCTGAAAACCCGGTTGAAAATTAAGAAGCTCGAGTGTGATACAGAGTAATTCTTGACCGTTAACCGTCTCCCCCAGCGAGCCGGTGAATGACAGGTCCCAAAATACGGTAAAACACAGTTCCCCAGCCATCGTCTATCTTCACGGCCGCAAAGTGGAATGGCCCCGGTTCGGACAAGTCATGACTACTATGCGATTCTCGAGGTCGAGCAGACGGCAGACTCTGCAACTATCAGGGCCAGCTATAGACGTCTTGCAAGAATCACACACCCGGATAAAAATCCAACGAATCCGAATGCGACATCTGAATTCCAGCTGGTCCGTCTCACCTTTCCGGCTACCCACGAATCAAAGCATCGATCTAACTTGCTGGCCGGTTGTTTAGATTTATGAAGCATACTCAAATTTGTTTGATGCTGAAGCCCGACGGGCGTATGACTTGAAATACCCATCTATTAAGCGGTCTGCCGGTCAGACTGAAAAATCAGCCCCAAAGGCAGAGCCAAGCGCGGTCCCAAAAACAGAATTAAAAACAAACGGGAGCGCAGATTCCAAGCCTTCTCCAGCAGCAGATCCTAAGCCGGAACAGAAACTAAATCATAGGTCAGGTCTAAATCCTGAATCAAACCCAGAGCCAAAGCTGGGCCAAAAGCCAGATCAAAAACCATATACAAAGCCGGCCCCAAAACCGGACCTAAAGCCTGATCCAAAACCAGATCCAAGACCAGATCCAAAAGCGGAACCAAAGCCGGAACCAAAACCAGACCCAAAAGCTGATACAAAACGAGACTCAAGAACAAGTATAAAAATTGATCTGAAGACTGTCCCAAAGAGACGTCCTGTTAGCCATGAACCCATTACTAAAAGACCAACGGAAGAGCAATACAAGGCGACACTGCAGCAGTTAAGAGCCAAAAGAGCAAGACAAAAGGATGAGTTTCTCGAAGCAATGAAAGCACTCAGCGGACTGCAGGATGATGTGGCACGATTAACCAAAGAAATTGACAGGGCAGCGGAAAAAATAGCTGCTATTGGAAAGCTAAGGACGCACCGGCTTTCTATGAGAAAAATCGAAGAGCTTGAAGAACGAAAGGAGCAAGCCCAACGTACACGACTTGACAAGACGGCTGCCCTAAGACTTAAGCATAGCCTTCTAGAAAAACAGGAGGAAAGTATACGAAGGTGTGAAGCTTCATATCAGCTCACGGAGAATGAAATCATTAAGGTCAAGAGAGAGATAAGATGCCAGCGAGAGGAAGAAGAGCAAGCGAAGAGAAAGGCCGAGGAAGAGCGGGCGAGACAAGAACATGAAATGGAGGAAAAACGACGGGATAAAGACGAGCAGGAGGCAATAGAGGTGATGAGGCTTTGGCGGAGGAGAGAAGCGGCTCAGGATGACGAGAACCGAAGACATGAAGAGGAAATCAAGGAGGCGAGGCGCAGATACAGACGAGAGGGCCAGAGAAAGCGAGATATACCTAAGCAGAATGGATGTATGTATGGAGGAGAATGGGAGACTATTGAGAAGCCTATGAGATGCGGTCGATGCTCGATGGGGACCCAGCAAATTGCCTTCTGGTGTCCGTATTGCGGTAGGGTATCCTGCGAGTCTTGCCTGAAGTTCCTCATGGGGGAAAGACATGATGAAATTATGGTATCATGAAGTGATGATCGGATTCGGCGTATATGCTATTTTATTATTCTCTGGATGGATGGCTACCTATCGCCATTCGAACGGTTATGGGAGCCCAGGGTAACCTCAGGTATACATATGTATAACATTGAGAAACTGTCAATATCAGATTTATAATATTCACATGAACTTTTGATCTCAGAAGCATGGTGTAACTTTTAAGCCATTGAAATCGATAGTTAACTAGAGCTCCACGTTAAGCTGGCGGAAGAGCGCAAGATGCACCAACACCAAACCCTGCCCGATGGACTGAAAATGCAAAAAACCCAGAATACACACTTTTGTCACTGTTAATAATAATACACATAAAAATATACAACCAACCCATTTTATTTCCCTTTACGATTTTCCTATATTTATGAAACAGTGTCATCGACCCTATCAACAATAACTTTCAACTCATTGTCCATCCATTCAATCTCACTTGCCGTGAGCAAGGCCGCCAACCACTGGGTATCATTGAGTATTGGCTGGAGGCCATCATCCAGCCATGCCCTGACACGCATATTCTGTGGGGTTTGGGAACTATGTTGCCCGTGGTAGTACTGACGGATCGTGTCAAGTAAAGTAGCAAAATCAGTACATTGGCTGGCGGGAACTTGAAAGCGAGGAAGCATCCTTTTATGTTCCTGATTTTGGATGATATTGATTGATAGCGTGACGGGCAGAATCTCAGAAGCTGGTTGATGCTGTGGCTGTGGCTGGCCCAGTCCAGGCTGTATCTGGATAGGGTCCTGAGATATTGCCTCGGATGTCTGGAATTGAGCATGATCGGCTTCAGTACTCGCTGGCTGGATGTTGGGATGCTCCAGAAGGTAGTTTTTTACAATGCGAGTGACATCACGGGTAATAACAGTTGCGCTATATATCGGGGAATAAACCCGGTTAATACCTGAGAGAATATAAACCTTGTCCAACACAGGGCGAAATTTCAACTTACAAGTAATTTCGCCTAGCAATATCTTCTTTACCGCTGATCTGAAAGTCCACCTCCGACATTGATTCAGATGACATTAGATGGTTGACGGTGCACTCCTGGCAACTATCTGTACACAGCGTTGCATCTCCACCATGATCAATCTGATAGTGGCAGTCTACAGCTGCAACAAGGCCCCACCAATCCTGTTGAGGCAGCCCGGAGATCGATCCAAGATTATCCAGGCGGTAGTCCTGATTGTATGTCTCGTATGATCGTGCCACAGAGTCCCAGTCGGTTTGGTAGGTAGGGTATTCGTTCCTGATGAGATCTAGCATTCCAAGCTCAGTTGTGCCGTTAGGCGGTGGCTGGTGATAACGCTGTACGCTCTCAGGTATAGAGTTATCGACAGACGCCGAATTTCGCTTCGACTTATCTTCAGAGTTGCCTCCCTTTCGTGCTCCACTAACGTATTTGCGCTGTCGTTCGTTGGTGATCATTCGACGGAGCAGAGGAGTGACGAGCGAGATGATTCTCTGCTCATCTCTGGGCCAGATCATTTTGTTCGGTCCGGCATCCGCGCCTTCCACATTCTCTCCAAAATATCGTAACCCGTTGCCTTCTCGGTTTAGGAAGTCGCGAACACAATTCCAAAGCCGAAGCTTTACCATCTCGGTATCGCCGCGACCTCTCTGGCCGACACAATCGCGCCGTTCTAGATGGTTTTCGTCCAGCATGTATTGCTTTGCAGCTGCCTGAAGATGGAGGAAGTTCTCTGGAGAGAGCCCTAAGGAAGCAAACATCTTGGACATTGGCGGACGGGTAGCCTTCTTGCTTGATGCTGACGGCTGCCTGAAAAGGGCAACGGCGGAATGGACACCAGCTGCTCGTGCATCTGATATCACTCGTTGCGGAGGCATCTCTCTAATATCTAAAGAAGATTCGTCAGGTTGGGGTACCTGCACCGCAGCGCCATCTTGGGCGAGGCTAGCTTCGTCTACATCCCCGAACCGGAACCTTGCCGTGGCAGAAGTCATTGCAGGGTCGACATTAGGCTGAGTCCGTTTCCGCTTTCGCACAGCTGTGGCTGCTGTAACCGGCGGTGCAGCAATTTGCCTGTCTCCGCTGACTGCTGGCTCTCCTCCGGGAATGTTTCCAAATGGATGGCCGCTTTGACTGGTAGTTGCAAAGCCGTTTTCATCCAGATGCATGCCGACACTGTAGCTGTCTAGATGATTCTGAATAGCGCGGCCATGGCCGGCAGCCATCATGTCACTTTCATCATTCTGAGCCCAGCCCACATCCTGCCCGGCAGCGGCGGTAGCAGCTTGTACAAGGCCAGCCAGGTGATTATCAGAGGTATAATCTGGTGATACACCGACGCTATTGCTGCTCAGATGCGCCGTGCTCCCATCAATATGGTGTTGCTGCTGTTGCTGCTGCTGCTGTGGCTGCTGGACCTGTGCTTGCTGTGCATGGCTCACAAAGTCACCATTGGTATTTTGCTGTGCGCCGGACGCCATGACAACCTGACCGGACACCCCAGCGCCCAATTGAAAGAAGTACCTATCCATGTATTAGCGGACAAACTGAAGAACGTACAGTTGAAGCGATATGTGCAAACTGGGCTTCCGTAAGAGGCAAAAGGCGAGCATAAATATAAGCACAACGAAACAATTTTGTTACGTAGTTGAGCATTATTTTTTGCCATCGCGACCAATCGCACCCAAAGTCAGCTCAACGCGACCGACGTACCTCTCTCGAGCGTGTTAACGATACAATATAACACTAGAAGCTATGGAATATCTGCTGCTATCCCGCTGTTGCAGTGTTTCCCGATGCATAACACCCGCCGATCTATGTAGACGCCGATGGAGCCTTGAGCCGCTTGGCTTGTCCCGAGTGTTTGTCGTGTTTGGCTTGCGCCTTCTTGAAGAGGAAAAAAAGTCGCGATGTTTGAGATTTTTGTCTTTGAGGCAAATTACGTAAACATGTCACGTGTTAAACGGCTATTACGTCATAAGATAAGATAAGATGACGAAGACGACCTCGGGACGAAGACATCATTCATTCATTATATGCTCTTATCATACACAAAAGGTGAAGGTGAAGATGACGATGAAGATGAAGATAAGTAACATGACATGCTGGGTAGTATGCAGGGGAACAATAAATAAATTGTATTAAGTCAAAAGCCATCGCCTTCCTTCCACGGTCGACCAGCAATCCGAGCCCTGACGCGAGGATCCTGTCCTCTAGCGAAAGCGGCATCCCTCAGTTTTCTATAAGCGGACGACTTTTCCCGGATCTCTTGCTCTATCTGCTGCTTTTTATTCACCGCGGGAACCTCCATCTTGACCAGCGCAGGGAAATTCCGTTCCTTTCTTGCCTGCGTTACTTCCTTCTCCTTCGCACGCCAGTAATCCAACTCCAGTCTCAAGCCGTAAAGGGCGTCACCCAGCTGCTTGAACTCAAGGAACGGCTGGTCTTGATCGAAACAGAGGCCATAGCCATCGCAGAAACACACCCGCTCGGCGGGGCAGTAGACGTATTGTCCGGTGAAGATGACGTGCCAGAGATACTCCCATACTCGGCCAGAGTAGTAGTCAACCAGATTAGTGCGAAGTAGCCAGTCGCGATAGTAGAGAAGATGAGATCGAGGGATAGCCAGGGCTCTTTCGCGAGAGATGGCAAACTCGGCGCAGCACTGGCCGCCGATAACGCCTGGGATCGGGATGGAAGGAAATATATCCGTCCAGCCCTTGAGAACACTGGCTTCTTCGGGCTTTTCCGCATTTTCCTCAGTAGTATGAGGGTGTATCCAGCCGGGACAACCAGGACTCCAGTTACAACGTAGGTTCATGAAGCCATCTCTGATTACTCGTTCAATGCTCAGGCGTTTTACCATCTCCGCAGCATCTCTATTTAGAGGTTCTTCGTGATGCCAGGCCTCTCGATGTGAGTGCATGAATATCATAACCTCTGGCAGGTTGTCATAGTTGTCGATAAGGTATGTTAGGTAGACCATGGCCTCCCGGCCTTTGTTTTGGGGGATGCGAGGAAGTGAGTGTGGGTCGTCAACGACATAAATATTCTTTTGGATATCCTCGAGGCTGTCGATCCAGTCGACTTTTTCCTTTTTTAGTCGAGGGACAATGAGGGCTTTGGTGTAGGTCGACCCTGGTGGCTTAGGCGTTCCAGCCGTAAAATTGGAAATGATAACGACATCTTCTGCGGATATTATAGGCGTCTGGACCGGCCCCTCTTTGGGTCCCGTCCATCCCTTAAATTGCTATGAGGACAAAAAAATAGTCAGTTCAGCTTCATGGCCTCGTTTTGCCGGGGGAGGTAGGTAGGCCCAGCTTACCTTTATTCGAGGTATTGATGTAGAAAGTCTCTGGCTCGCTATGATCATTGTAAGAATAAAAAGAAAGACGATGACAGGTATCTGGACCCCTGTCTTAGGGAGTAAGGAGGCCATGGCTGTTGGACAAGCAATCAATACCATGCAACAAACGAAACAGAAAAAAACGGCCTCCCCTTCTTCCTATTAAGAAAAGCAGCCATGGAGGGTACTTAAGAGTAAGTAAATGACGGGGGAAAACCTGCCCCCTATTATAAAAAGGGAAGAAAAGCGCCGATAGGGCGAGAACCCATCAAGGAGGCAAAAGAACCCCATGTCCCGAAAGGCATGGTTCCTGGTTCCACAGCGATTAAGGGCGGGAGAGTATGGGCCAGCGGATAAGTCAAGCACGCGGAGTGGCATATGTGTATGGATGACCCTGTGGATCGTCCACGCACGAGAACTCTTGGAGCAAGCCAGGACCGCTGGTTGTCGGATATGAGCCAGTTCGTAAGCGTCTTCATGAGACTTGATTGCCATGGTAATTGGTCGATACTTACTCCGTACTCCATAATGACTGATCTCTCGGCGCATTTCGCTCAGTCAGTCGGGGGTATGGAGTGTGCACATGAATCTTGGAGGTTATCAGCGCATAAGACTGCGAGCACTGCGTGACGGCATAAGAATCCATGCAGACGAACTCCAGTGACGAATAGGCTCGTATCTCCCCATGGTGATCCAGGACTCCCTGTTCAACGGCATAAGTATAGACAGGGTCTGCTCCCAGCTTCAAACATGGCAGCATCATCCGCCTCTATCCATCCAGCAGACAATAGCACACGACTTGTCCTTCTCGGTGTGTACCGCGAAACAAGGTCGGGCGGTTGAAATTAGTCGCTGTGGAGTCTGTCTAGCCAGTCAAACCGTTCACTGGTTAGGCTTTTTAAGCATAAAAAGGCAGCGAGAGGCTGGCAGAGCCTCCATCCTCCCAATAGGATGTAAGTCGAGGCAGCCTGGCCTTGCCTGCTGTAGCGATAGAGACGAGTTACTTCAAGTGTACATCGTGTCCAGACGACGTTGAAGAAGAGCGTACGTTGCCCTGCAGCGATGAAGACGGCCTTGCCGCGCCGCCGGCCGGCTTTTACTCGTAAGCTCTCCACCGGATGACGCAGATCTGGAGGTTTCACCTGCAACAGCCTCCGCTGTTCCGTTCCTGAGGCACTTCAGCGCTGGAACAAAAATAAAACACGTCGCTGGCCCAGGCTAACACTGGGAAGCCATTAGTGTGATTGCCTGCAGTCTCGAGCGACGTTTTGTTGGTTGCTATCAAATTCGAGTCGCAATATCAATCAGATTTTGACGCTGGGCTAAGAAAAAAGGCGTCATTGGCAGCTTCTGGTTGGCTGGCCACGGCACTTGGATTCATTCCGTCTAACATGACACAAGAAAATATAAATATCGAGATAGATCTGCTCATATTGCAATAAATAAATAAATAAATACATTAATATGATCATGCTAACATTTTTGAGGCTCATGCCGAGGCTACAGCATACGCTTAGCAGCTCAAGATAGAGCTCAGCTTGTTCAACACAAACTCCTGGGCGGAGGAGTCAGCGTCTCTCTTACCCCTGGCGGTAGCGACTGAGATGCTAACATAGCATCCATCACTCTTCACGATATCCGACTCAGTGGGCAGGACACCGCCGTTGCCGCAGATGTTTACGTCCGGGTTTCCAGAGGTAGGCAGGATGCGAGTGAGGATAAAGCTAAAGTCGTCGGCGCTGGTGCAATCATAGTCGGAAACGGCGCCGAAGTTGACGTTAAGGAAGACACCGGAGGGCAGGACTGGGCCGGATCCACGGAGCAGGGCGTTGGTGACCTGAGTTGCGAGAGTAGCATAGACGGCGCTGTAGTTGGGAGTGTAGTCCCAGTAGGCAGTCATACTGCCGACGCTACCAGAGAAAGCGATGGCAGGAATACCCTCGAGGGCAGCCTCGGTGGCAGCACCCACGGTACCGGAGATCTGGACGGTTCGGCCAAGGTTGGCACCGACATTAGGACCGGCAACGGCAAGGTCAGGGCGACGACCACCAAAGAACTTGGGGGCAACAGTCTGGATGCCATATCTCATCGAAGTGACAGGGAACGAGTTGACATAGTTGAAGCGTGGGTTGTTTTGGTCATAGCCGACGGCAGGGCTGCCAGCAGGGCAGGAGTTGAACTCGCAAGGCGAGTTGCGGGTGGTCGGGGCAGCATCAGAGGAACCTATGTAATAATCTTCATTAGACACTGGGAATTATAATAACTCGTCATGGCAATGTGCGTACCAGTGCCGCTCTTGTTGTCAGCTGGTGCAGAGACAACAACACTGTGACCGGAGCTGGTCAGGGCATTGTATAGGGTGTGCAAGTTCACCTCAGCCCAACCATCGTCGTTGGAGGAGACAATGTTGGCCGCCTGAACGGCGAGGGGGAGCAGGGAAAGGGCCAAACGGAACTGCATGGCTGGATATTGAACCTGTTGCTTGGGATTGAAGGTGAAGGCTGCTCTGTCTCTTGCTAGTCCTCAACGAAGGGGCCAGCAGAGCCATTATATACCTTTCTCCCATCTCCTCCTTTGCATTCTCCCACCCAGTCATTCTCTTCTTTCCCCCCTCCTGCTGCTTCTGCGTCCGCTTCCGCTTCTGCTATTGCCTCTGTCTCTATCTCTGGGCTTTCCCACCCCCTCCAGCTCCAAGCATGCGGGTGATCGCCGGTGCAGGCTAACCCTCCACCCTTCTTGAGCACACCATAAACTCGACGGCCAGCATCCGACTGGGTATTCTGCATCTTCAAGGACCTTCTTCGCTTAGAGCCAGCGGACACATACCCAATAGCCTGGCTCAGATGCGGCACTCGCAGAGATAAAGCATCCTCGACGTCGACATGATGCAGGGAAGAACTCGACGTCCGGAGCGAACGGGTCGATTTTTCTTCAGCAGCGGAGGAAGAAATCAGCCTTCCAGGACGCCGGGAGAGACCGTGTGCTCGCCATCCCTGCTCCAGAGGTGGAACTCCATGCGCCGTTCTCCGGCGCTGCTGGGGAGCTGGTGGTGCTTAAGTTCGTCTGCGGTGGATGTCATAGGCGGAAGAAAATTGAAGCTGGTTGCTTGTTGAAGCTTGAGAGGTCGACGCCGAGCCGAGGTTAAACTAGTTAAAAGTCAACCGCGCTCCACTCCAATAACAACACCGGGGGCTAAAGAGAGCAATTATCGACGGCTTTATAGGCAATATAGACAGGTGTATTATTAAAGGCTCCAAAAGAACTCCATAGCAAAAAGAAGACAGTCAATATACATGAAGGGGCGCACGGAGGACGGACTTCAACCGGAGATAGAAAGAGCTGGCTAGTCGTCCTCCGCTTCGTCTTCCACAGTGGCTGCTCGACCCTTGTGCTTAGATGCAGAGCTGTGCGTACTACTAGCTGCTTCACTATCATTATCATCACTGCCACTGTCCTCATCCTCTTCATCCTCGTTGTTTTCGTCTTCGTTCTCGTCTTCATCGCTTTCCTCCCTTTCTCCGTCAAGTTCACCCTGTTCGGGGAAGCTAGGCGCCAAGGAGTTATTGAATAGTAACCTGCTCTCCTCTGGCCCTCCCTGGGCCTGAGACGCTCCACGGGAAGACAGGTCGTGGAGCTCTGGCTGCAGTGATGTGCTTGGCGACGATGGAGACGGAGCTGTGTTGTGAGTAGTAGTGTCCTGTGGAGTAGGTATAGTTGGAGCGTGTTGAGGAGACCGCTGTTGTGTAGTGCCGGACCTGAAGAACTCCGATGGGCTCGCGGAACTGGCGCTTGGTATGCCGTTATTGCCGCTCTCCTGGCTCGGGACTGCTGTCGGCGAAGTTGTTGTAGCTGTGGTGGGATTGTGATTCAAAAACGAGGCCGTCGAGGTCGATGGAGGAGCAGATGATGACGGTGGCGATGTTGCGGTTGGAATGTTTGTACTGGCGCTTGCTGCCGCGTTAGTTTGAGGGACTGTTGGTGGATTTAGCGGTAGGGTGCGTTGCAGCGGCACCAGAGTCCAACCTGGTGGGATAGAAACTCCCTCGGGAAGTCGTGGATCACCCGAAGGTATTGCAGTGAGATGAGGGTTTGTAGCAGTATACTGCTGGCTGTGGCTCTGGCTTACAGTTGCCAAATTGTTCGCGCCCGGGGGAATCGTACGGGCTGTGAGAGGGTGTGATTGAAAGTTAGGCTGAGCCCTAGAGGACCCAGGGTTGGTGGCATTCTGGTTGCTAGGTCCGGCACTGCCCTGCACGCTGCGAAGCCGTGTCAGTTCATTATGCAGAGCTCGTATGACCTGTAGTTGTTCTGTAGTATTGGTAAGGCTGTTTATCTCCTGGATCACTTGATGCTCGAGCTGCTGGATGACCAGCTGCACATCCCGGTGGTTAAATTCAGTAGTAGAACCAGGGGTATTTCCAGCAATCGGACGGTCAATCCCAAATCCAAAGCCTGTCCGTGGCGCTTGTCCCCCAACAGGGGGGTTCTGGTTTTGATTTGCGGCCGGGGCCTGTGCAGCTTGGCCGTGGACACCCTGGCCCATATCAATATTCCGTAGCATGTCACCACGACGACCTGCTCCAAATCCGATGCGGACTGGACCAAAATTGACAAACCACATACGGCGCCTGTTCTCTCCATCTGCGGCACCTGCTTCGTTTCCGCCTTGTTGCTGGTCCCCACCCCTTTGTCCTCCTGCAGCTGCACCACGCGCTGCAAATGGCCTAGTATCAGTAGTGACCGGCTGTCGACAGGTAGGACAATTCTGCTGCCGCTCCAACCAACTTCGCAGACAGGCGAAATGAAGTAGGTGGCCACAGGGGAGCTTTTTTGCTCGCAGCCTCTCCGGGATAGCTCTGGTTGGCCGAGCAGGAGCAGCCACTCCGTCATTCGGTGCTGGCGCAGGGACCCAAGGCTGCATCTCCTCACGACATATAATACAGACATCCTCCCTGGCGATCTCCTCTGCAGTTGCATCGGGATACCGTTGATTCATATCACGGGTAGCGTGTCGATAGCGGATGAAGTCAATAATACGTTTGGCAAACGACCTCATCGTCAGAACGACATCTCTGAGAATATGAATTGGGAGCCCATAAAATCTGAACAGGATTGCGAAGAACGAGAGATATACCACCAGTTTTAGAAAGTCTGCCAAATGTCGGAAGTATTAGCATTTGAAGCCAACTAAGAAGTGATGGCCAATCCTTACCGGTAATAAGGTCGAGGTAGAACACCCATCGACCCTTCTCCTCCCACCCTGAAACATCCAGCTCCATTTCATCTATATCATCTTCACTCGGTAGGCTATCTGCATTAGGAGTGGGAAGGCCGGATGCAGCCTGTTGACGAAGGATCTGTTCCCTCTCTGCACGGATCTCTGCCCTGCGTTCAGCTAACTTGGCCTGTTTCTGCTGCCGAGTAATATAAATCTCTGCCAATGAAAGAGTATACCTAGCCATTGTCGAAGTAGAACGAATAGTAAGAACGGCAAATTCAAAGCCAAACATTACCATCATATCTGGCCGAGCCTGTCGCAGAACCGTTTTGATGGCGTATTCGAGCATCTGCGAATTGAACAGCACCGATATGATCAATGACATGGCGAGTCGCGTGTGGAATAATCGTGGGTTGGCCGGTGGTTGTTGTTCCAGAACCTCTACTCTACCCTCGCCGATCCATCCCCAGATCTTGCCCGCAAGCAAGGCGACGAACATGACCATGAACCAAGCTCCTAGCTCACCCCGGAATATCGTCATGGCCAGACATGTCTCGGTCACCGCAAACCATGCCCTCTCATACAGTTGTTCAGTTTCAATCTGCCGTAGTGAGCCATATAATAGTCTCTGGAGGCCGAAGAGAGTGTAACCGGACATGAGTAGGCATAGATTCGTCAGGATCTATAAAAGAGACGAAGCCATCAGTATCCATCTCTCCTTCCGTAGGGCTCATTCTTCTCCCCTAGAGTCCACCAAAGTTCAAACATCCAAACAGGGTCCATTCATACCATGAGATTCGCATTATTTTGGGAAAGAAACACCGCTGCGGAATAGAAGTTTGAGCGTTGATGTAGCGCTCGCAAGGCCACCCCCGCGGCGAGGACTACGGAAGTCTGTATAACCGCCGTCAGCAAAAATTCCGCACATCATCTATAGTTCTCAAAGAGCCATCGCATACCCCGGTATAAGCTGCTAGCCTCATAGTGGATGGTGATCTAAATGGAATCGCAAAATAACAAGACAACCATGCAGTCTTCGAAGCTAGGTACCTAGCTATGGTGGTGATTGGATCGGAGACGTCAATATCTCATGGCTGAAATGATTCGTCTTCCGAGACAAGGGAGCCTCCTAGGCACTCCTCTCAATTGTGCATCCAGCGAAGCAGGCCAAAATGAGTGATGTCTGTCTGCTGCATCCTGCCAGCCTGGCTCCTTTTTCATGTACTTTGCTTGTTCGTCGTTGTTCTTTCTCGAAGTGGACACTTTGCTTATCTGATAATCTGATGCTGACTCAGCGTGTATTAGTCAGCTTGATCTGATAAGAACTTGGCTTCGTCAGCAGCAACCCTCAGAGATCCAGCTTCCGTCAACTTCTCAGCTTCATCTCAACCTCCAGCTTCCCGCTCCAAGCTTGCATCAACAGCGCTGCCTGCAAGAGAAGCACAAGGCAGGTCTTTATACCAGTGTATTTATACAAAGTTCTTCGAGTTCGACTGCGGTATATATAGCATTGAAAGTTTCTCGAGACGTCAAAGGAATGCAATCTTGCTTGTGAATCATGATCTCCCAGAGCCGGCTGCAAACAGCCACCTACTTGCTAGCGGTTTGTCCATTCTCCATCGCCTTCTTGGTGTTTATGAACTCGGCGGTATCCTTTGTTGTCACGGATCTTATTAAGCTTGAGCACGGTCATGGCAATGCGGTTGGAACTCTGGGTTTCGCAGATGAGCTGCTAGCTCTGGTTGCTTGCCCTCTATGGGGTTTGATATCAGATCGCATCGGAGCAAGATATGTAAGAAATCAGTTGGAATTTTCTAGCCTTATTACTGCACTACGCCTATTTAGTTACTCATGGTACATAATATCTTCTAACATAAAAGTAGGTTTCGACAATTGGCTACTTTATTGTCGCCATCTCTCTGGTTTTATTCGTGCAAGCCAGGAATGTCTACCCCCAGCTCTTGCTAGGAAGGCTTTTATTCTGCCTTGGCGGCTCAGCAGTAGCAACTATGGTGACCGCGTTACTTCCGGCCATCACCGCTAATCATGATATCTCCAAATGTCCCGCGCCTGGTGTTGCTGTTACTCCTCTAGTTTCGTCTCCCAATTCCACAAACGTAAGTTGTGGTTCGCCCGGGACTGGTGAGGCTTCTCGTGTACGCTCAGGAAGCTCCGCACCCCGGCTAGCTGGGTATGTCGGTATGTTCACCGGCTGTGGCGCTCTTGTTGCTCTTCTCCTGTTCCTTCCTCTCCCTGTACGTTTCCAGAAAGCCGGTTACTCTCCTGCGCAAGCAATTAAGTTTAGCTTTTACATCGTGGGGATAGTAGCTCTTGTTATATCCGTTGTGTGCTTTTTCGGACTGCGTGGCCTACAGGGCGATGAAGGGAAGTCTCTCAAGTCTCTCCTCGGGTTTATTGAGAGAGGCAAAACCTCGGAGGCTGATGAGCGGCTTCATGCGAGCTCGGGGAAATCCGCCAATACCTCTCCGCGTTCCTATTTAGCCCAGCTTGTTGTTGCTTTGAAAGCTGGATTGACTAACTACAATATCGGATTGGCCTATGTCGGTGGATTTGTCGCACGATCATCGTCTGTCGGCATATCCCTGTTTATTCCGCTCTATGTTAATGAGTACTACCGACGCTCCGGACTTTGTCACGAAACTGGCACATCGTCTAGAGTTCATCTTCTCAGCTCTAGCCCTGGGGATATCAAAAAGTCCTGCCCACGAGCATACGTTATTGCATCGATCTTAACCGGGGTTTCGCAATTAGTAGCCTTATTATGTGCACCATTATTTGGCTACTTGTCTGATAAATCCCGTCGATATAACTTCCCATTGCTAGTTGGAGCTCTTTTGGGGTTCTTAGCCTATGTGATATTGGGATTGTTACCGGGCCCACGAATCACTAGTGCGGCAATATTCGTCGACATGGCCTTTATCGGTATCAGCCAAATTTCTGCAATTGTGTGCAGTCTGGCTATCTTGAGCAGCGGTATCAATGGCATTCTTCCTGGGGCGGATAACATCCAGCATGAAACACCAGCTGAAATACCAGCCGATATGCCACGAGATAGGGCAACTGCAGATAATGGCAACCGGTCGCTTGAAACCATCAACGAGTCAACTCCTCTAGTGTCACGCAATATGCACACAACTTCTCTGCCACAAAGTTTTATCCATGTCAAAGGTTCTATCGCTGGCATGTACTCTCTTTGGGGAGGTGCCGGTATTCTCATCCTTACCAAGGTTGGCGGCATACTGTTTGATAGATTATCACCACACTCCCCATTCTATATCCTTGCAGGTTTCAATGGACTGCTTCTTATTATCGGGTTGATACTCGGTGTCAAACAGCACTGGAGCTCAAGACGAGGAAGTGATGTCGTTATCAAATGAATTTCCCCTCATACCTTAACCCCATTGTGGCAGTAGAACGATATAAATAGTCTATGAAACAGCACACAAGCATTAGGCCGTTTATCCCCCACTTCGACCAGCTACTGTTTGCCTCTCAAATGATCACATCCTGGAGCTCTCGGCCTAGTGATATCCCGAATACGGGGTTGGGCGATCGGAACGGATATGTCATACCCAATCCCATAGTTCCTGTGCCGTTTATTCCTTGTCTGTGGCGTTTTTACCCGCCCATTTAGGAAATCAGAATTGAACTGCCTCATTGAGAATGCTGTATAGAAGAATTGACGAACATTCTCCCCATCCGTTTTGTTGCCGATCATTTTACCTCATACCACCTGCATCCTGCCAGTTTATGCAGTCTGCGGTTAGTTTGGTATAGATATGACCCGCACAGCCGGTGTAGGGCTGAATTGTTTTCAAAATAGCGAGAGCCGCACCGCAGAAACCAGTACTATGGTCCACACGGAGGCTATTTTTGGATGACCGTACGGAGTACACCAAACTACAGTTCATGATCGAAAGATGTTTACCACGCATTCCCCGGACATATAATCTTGACCCAAGACCACAAGAAGTCCACCCAGTCCTGTACATCGACGAGCGATACGGACTAACAATATCCTATCTGGAAACAGAAATACTCTAGAGGCGATCTTTTAGGTTCTGGCTAAGGTATCGAGCTTTCCGACTTAGAATAGTGCCTGGCCGTTTGACGTATAGAGCGCCCATGGCGACGAAAAATGGAATAGGATACTCCTTACAAAGTTGATACAGGCTGCACTCAGCTCCTTGTGCAGATTATAAACCTCAGGGACCCGTCAGCAAATGGTGTTGGGTGTACGGTGCCAGGTGATCCGTCCCTTTCCTCTAGCGCCTACCAATGAGCAAGGTTTAATTTTAGCCTCTGCGGCGCCTCCCCGGGAATGTCCCCATCCTACCCGAAAGCCAAACAACGCTTAAATGACCCAATGGCCTCTGCGCTGAAAAATGATAAATGGTGAAGGAAAAGCATGGATGCCTACGTCATTGGATTCTTATACATTAAGCAACCACCAAGCAATCTCCCATTTTCCCTCCGTTATGCACTGAAACACTGAAGAACCTTCCATAGTAGGAAAACAAAGGTATCTGCATGATTTTAGCGACAATGCAGCATGCGAGATTGGTGCCAAGTCCCGTTCCGGTAGCCAACCATAAGCGTTGGAAGGGTATTTGCAAGAAAATTTCCATTCTGACGGGAGCTGGTTTGGATATAAACCTGAAAAAAAAAATATAAAGAAGAAAAGAAAACCCTGGAGAGGGGTGATAGACGAACCCCCTAGGGCGGGGGGGCCACAATATCGCAAAGAGGCAATGCTGCTATCAAATGCTGAGCTAATCCAATCTCAGATTGACGCGTTGCATACCAATCAATTTCGAGATGGGTTCCTCAGCTGCTGACGCCGAAAATACACCCAATGGACTCCTTTTTGGAATTCCCTGTGCGCACTAGGCTGCTGCCGCACTCATACTCTCCCGCACTGCCCTGCTTCCACCAATGTTCTAAAGGAGATGGCTCGCCAACACTGCCATATGTCCCGTATTCTGGCAAATTCGACCACACTTCCACCAGTTACTCCGTACTAATTGTCGGTGTGCTAACCTATATTTCGCACCGCCATTCTTGTGAGGTCAACAATGAGAAATGGTAGAATCCGTTCTATAGACAAAGAACACATATGAAGTCGCACCCCTGAAACATTCCGATCCCTCTGTGATCGCTCAGTCTCAGGCCAAATGGAATAAATTTCCGAAATGCAGTCCCCTTCGAGCTAGGAGGATCAAGCATATGCACCTTTCGAAACAAAGATCTCTGTCTCATATCATTTTCAACTTGACGCTAAACACCGGTCAGGCACCACACCTTTCAAATTCACGCGTGCTGGTAAATTCACCCCCAAACCATCAATGCCAGCATGATGGCAAGATAATAATAAAGAAAAGCAAGTTGGCAACCTGGAAAAAGGAAAGGGAATACAACCCCGGGTAGAACTTAAAATCCGCTGAAAGATTTTCTTCTCCGAGTTGGGGTTACTGGAAAGGACAGAGGTTGAGTATTTTAGGAAAGAGAAGGATACAGAAAAGAAAACATGGGATATTAATCTGACCACGATGACCTGCATGTGCCCGACCTACATACACAGTTTGAACCTGGCGCCATGAGTAGGCTGCAGGTTGCACCCTAAGTCTAGGATATGCAGCCAACTTGCCCCGGCGGAAGCCATGACAACACGACTATGTTGAGGAAACATCTTCAGCATCCCACCCGCTTTCTAGTTGTCTCCCACACACACAAAACTTGCGGGATCCGCCTGGTTCCCTAGCGCAACGCATGGATAAAAGCAATGTTCAGTCATGCGGCAGAAGTGCAAAGAATAGGTCTGGAACCGCATACCGGCCTAAAGAGGTTGCCTTCTCCCCGGCCAGGGGAAATATTCTAGAATGCTCATTGGGAGAGGCTCCTATCTAACCAGGTCGATCGTTTGAACAGACCTGGCAGGTAGGAGGTTAGGGGGAAGGAAGAAGAAATGGGAAAAGCCTGACAGTTAAAGTATAGTCTTCGGGTGTCAAGATAGCCTTGCATTGCAATGAATTTTTCATTATATAAAGTGTTCAAGTATTGCGGACGCCGTCATTATCTATAGATACACCCCTCTTCCATAAAAAGGTCGATATTACTATTCGATAACAACACCTGGATTAACCAAGCACCATTGATTTGCACTGAACAACATCAACGAGCCATATTCACAAATATCCTCACCATCATCCTCACTTCTCCGCGATATAAAGAAAGGCCTCCTAAGAGCTATTGCGATCGACCTCACCGCCTCTCAAAATCAACCCGAGGTGAAACAATTTCAGAAGGACAAAAAGAAAAGTAGGCAAATACCGGTCGGAAATTTCCTTTCTGCATCGTGCCTCGTTACCCGGATCCTGGTGTGCAACACAGGGGCAAAATCCCTCCAGTTGGTCAGGGCTGGGACCGACTTTGCGGATCAAGGTATTAAAGCCTCCCATAGCGACTCGGGAATTCTTAAATGGCTTCCAACCGGCAATTCAGACGCATTGGTACATCTTCGAACAGCCTGAGCCATATTAGTTTAAACGAAGACGTATTGATCTTTAACGGTTCACCCTATCCGGTAGATATGCCATATCAATTAGTTGGAGCCCAGAGCGAGACTTTTTATACCTCAAAGAGTGATACCTCGTCCGAGACAAACGAAACCCAAATGAAACAGCAAACGATGAGTTCCCATTGCCCACTCCAGCACGAAGAAGATCACGAGAAAACGAATCGGGACGAAACTGGGCGCCTAACCCAGAAAGACATTGGTATATGGGTAAAAAGCTGGAGGAATAATCATTCTAATACCTCTACTCCTTCAAGAATCATGGCTAGTGTGAAAAGCCCAACCCTGCATGGCAGCAAAAATCAACCCAATGCAGTCCCTAGAACTCAGTCACAACGCGAAGTCTCCCCAACGACAATGCCGATAGAGCAACCGCCTCAAACCCCCCCTTATGAAAACTGGCAACCTACTCCCGCATTGAGTGCATCACCAGGCCCTGGCAATGGCAATGCATGCCAGTCGTGCGAGTGGCAGATGACATCTGGCCCCGATATTCTTCCCCTTACCGCTTCCACAGTAAGAGAAGTGGGGAGGGTGTGTGGGAATTCAGAGCATCTGGTATCAGGGTATCATATGTCACTGGGCATCACAGAATGTACGGAAACGACCGATGCCGGATTTTACTCATTATATACCCAAGACGTATTATATCCAAGTATCCCTTACATTGAACCCCAACCGCATCCGTGGATAGGCATTCCCTGTTCAAACGTGACTAGTACCCCGACCCAGTACCCAAGTTCGCCATGGGAAACGAACAATGATAGTTATAGCAATGCCTTTGGCTTTTATTGCGGCCCAAGTTCACCCTTCTCTTCAGCATCATCAAGCATAGCAACTCCAGAGCTTCCGTTAACAGCAAAAAAACCCGATCCTCTAGCCACCACTGAGAGCTATATGTACTTCGATGGCCCTGACTTGGACAGCTCAAACGAGGACTATTCCAGGGCTAGCTCTAACGCAGACACGGACGCAGGAGAGCAGTATACACTCAACGGCGGTGAGAATGAACAGGCCAAGAGGAAGGCATGTGGCTCTCACTGTCAAAGAAATGACGATAGAGATGCGTTCCTTATAAAGTGCAAGCTCGCAGGAATGTCGTATAAGGAAATTAAGGCGAAAGGGAAGTTCACTGTGGCAGAGTCAACCCTGCGAGGCCGTTTTAGAAGCCTGACAAAAAGAAAAGAGCTTCGAGTGAGGAAGCCTGGTTGGCAGGACAGCGATGTGAGTATATGACCTAAACCTAATCAATTCATCAAGAGAACGAATAAGGCTAACGTGGTTTGGAGTAGCTGAAACTTCTTTGTGAAGCTGTGCAACGATTTGCCGAGCCACAGTCAATCTCAGTCATCGGTGACGAACTGCTACCGCCAAAAATTTCCTGGAAACAAGTTGGAGACTACATTTGGAAGAAGGGCGGTTCATATCACTTCGGAAATGCGACATGTAAGAAGAAATGGGCGGAATTGCAACGCAATCATGCTTATGTTCAGCAAGCGTCTTTGAACATGGCGTTTTAGCTCGAATATGAGGTGGAACTAGTGTGATTCCGTTTAGCTCCCAAGAGCTCGATAGAAATAATCAATGTAAATAGATTAATAAAAATGTACTGAATGTTAGTATTCTCGTGATGTAATGTAATATCGTGATGTGTCCCAGGCCATGGACGCACATCAAAGGGCGTGCGAAGGTATATATATGAAACCTAGAGGCAAATGACGTGGTGAAAGATGTCCATGTAACAAGGGAATATGTTACAGGATATGTAATAAAGTTGCTAAAAGGTCTCAAACTAGGTCGGTATTCCAACGGTGCTGAGTACCTTTTCTAGCATAGATGGCTGCTGTCTGAGGGTATTCCACTCCGCTTCAGCTTTAACCATGAGTGTTCCTGCGAGTATGGTCCCATTAAGCTTCACCAGGCCCTCATCAACAAGGCCTTCCTTGACTTCCGTTTCCAACGGGATCCAGGCGTGCTCACTCCTGCGAGGACAAATCATCATTCTTGACGTCGTCATAGCTAAGTTGTAGCTTATCACAGCTTCACCCTCAGTTCCAAGTGACCCCGAGTCTGAAATTCCCTGCAACAGTGCCTCCGAATGTTGAGCAGCCGCAGTGACTGCCATTGCATACAAAGAAAGGTATGCTCGATGCAACTCCTCGGGGGTTGAATTATGCGATAAAGGTGCGGTATAAGTAACGAATGGCAGTTTTGGCCGCTGCAATAGTTCCGAGGTTTCTCCCTTCTCAGTGAGGCTCTCGCCATCAATTAATGGTGTCCAATTCGCTACATCATCAACTTGATGCATGTCCTCGACTGGGAGGAATTGCAGATGTCTATGGGGCTGGCTTGCACCACTATGCTCGCCAGAATTAAAGAAGGCAAAGAGGCGTTTCTGTTTCTTTGCGACTTGCACATTCTCATCGCCGCACAGCTCACCCGCCGGCTTTTCCCACTCCTTCAGGCATGCAAATGCTGCATGGAGATCGTCCACCTCCAGAAGGTGTGTCTGCGGTTTAAAGGCTTTTGTTGCCAGGATGAAATGGTTTGGGATAACAGGGAATTTGTTTAGAACGAGGGTATGGGTGGGACCTGAGGCCGGTATCTGAGCTATTAGAAGGTCTGTATGAGGGTTCTCAAAAGGGTCAATCTTCTTTGGTTTCGTGGCATTGGCAGTGGTTGTGCTCCCTGGTTGCGGAGATTTGTTCGTCGGTTTCACAGCCAATGCAGGGCAGTATCTGAGTTGGAACTGTCTATCGATATCAGCAAACGGAAACAATATAGACAGGGCAGCTTCAGCAAGGAGATATAGCTCACGGGAATACTAGATGACTGCAGCGAAGTCACCTCTGTCTGCGAGAAGACGAGCGACCCAGCATTCTTTGCTGCAGTAAATCGTCGTGCAACAAGCGAGGAAAGGTGCTCCGAGAGCCCGAGTAACATCATATTGTCTCGGGTCTCTTCTTTGGTATTCATATTTGTTCTAACTACGGTCCTCCGCCCTGTACTTTGTGGATGAAGATGTACGAAGTACGTGTGGATGAACCTGCAAGTCGATTGCCGCTGTTGACGTTGTTTGTCACCAAAAGCCAAATCCCACGAGCCGCAACCTCATAACACTAACACTAACAACGTCAAGTCATCAAAACTACGCGCCGAACACACGCCTCGATACCAGATATACCACTGAAAAATCCGTATGTGATATTATTTCTATTCTTTGAGAGGTTCATATGCCAGGCCCTTGGTAAATTGGCTCTTATACTGAATTGGAAGCCTCAACCTGGCTTCGAGCGACGCGAAACATACCTTCGTGAAAGTGCAGACGTTAAGGCGTCCAGGCATCAAAATATCCCGAATATAGGACGATGATACTCAGGCCTCAGAGGCGAAATATCAAGTAGGCCGCGCAACTTATGTCGTCTCCCTCAAAAAAAAAAGAGAGAGAAGAGGGAGCGGGTGTGTGCGCACCAGAGGTGAAATATACTTAAACTGGTCACTGAACTATATTGATATCATACATCTATCCGGAGCAACACCGCATGAAAACACCATCACGCAAGACATACCTGTCTGGGGAATTCCTCCATGATCTCTTTGGTGCGGTCCAAGTTATCGGATGAAACCCCTCAATGACAAGCTGTTGTCTATTAGGGCTTCCTGAGAGGTGTGGTTACACTGGGTGCAGGGACTTTGTATTCTCTTCATTGCTAGAAGGGAAGTGAATAACCTATCATAACGAGGACATGGTGACCCGTTTTGACTAGGAGAGATTGTAGGAATTGCTGCGTGTAACAAGGTAGGCACCGACGATTCGGACGCCTGCCTAGGCGGTGGCTTAGCCTAAATTCTGATATCCCGCGTCGTCACCAACAGGGGGCACGCCATGGCTTCACCCAGATTACCTCTTTAGACAGCTTATCTACGGATGATTTGGTGAGCGTCAACGAGCTCAAGGGTCCTGCCTGCCACCATCGCTAATTTGCATGTGGCATACTTCCAGAAGTAATACAAAGAGACCAATATTTACATTTGGAATGTTTCCGAGCCGAGTCGTCATTGTACACCCGTTGTCTCTGAGCCCTCTTTTCCACTATAAAACGTTTACTTTACTTGTTTCAGAGCTGCTAGTCCATACCAAAGGTTTACGATATCATTGGAGGCGGCTCCTCACAGGCTATGCATGGACGTCTAAATGCTGGAGCTTGTTGTACCCATGTCTTAGATACCCTGGGCACCTCGTGTCTATATGAAATGATATTTGTATATTTATATTACTAACAATACGATCAAGTGTGGTTGGAGTGATGCTGGATGGCTACTCGTTCCGATCAACCATGTTATCCTGGTCCTATCATGCTAACAGCAACTTGGAAAAGAAAGACCTCCGTTTCTCGGGCTCCCAGATAAAGAAGGATTTCCATGGTACGACCGAAAGACCAATCCTACCCCTACAATTTTCAGTAATTGAAGGGGATTATGCAAACATCATCGTCCACACCCACGTACCTCAACAGTGCTATCCGTCAAAAAACTCTCCCCCTGTTGAAGGATGATGGCCCGCTTCGTGTCAAGTGTCGAGTCCGCAATTTAACTAGGAATCAAATCAGGTGCTGACAATCACTTCTTCGCCAACGAGGCCTCCCTCTGTGCAGGTTCAATCCACCTCTCTTTCCTTTTTAACTTTGGTATTCGCGGGCGCATTATGGTACCACGTTGTGTCTCCACCGGAGTTTTTACTCTAAATATATTGATATCAACCGTCTAGTCAAAGACGCCGACACGGAAAGAAAGGAGCTAGGGTAGGGCTGGGCTGCTTTTGACAAGTTAGACCGATGAGTCGGGTAAGCTTCGCCTTGGTTCGTTCATCGGGTCTTAGCCTGCTGCGTATGCATATCCCAAGCCTCGTGGTGGATGCAGGTGCAATAGGGGTAGCGGTTCAGACAACCAGGAACTATGATACCCAATGTAAATGGGATGTTTGGTGCCTCCATATTCCTCTTTGTCTTCTTTCCGTCCCCTTTCTTCACGATTTTAGCTAGAGAATGTCAGCTATGCAAGGACGTCCTAGTCTTTGGATGCTCTGTGTGCAGGGTGGTGACACGTTTCTGGAGTTAACTTTAGCCATACACGCTCTTCAACCAGTGAGATGTCTACGCCCTCTTTTTCACTATCAAACTGCCGAAGTCAACGTGTGCCAGCAAAGGACATGTAACCTAACTTGATTACTTACGAGGTAAATTCATCTACCAGTGAGTTTGTCGCAACCATGGCTTAACACGAAAATGGAAATCAAGGACTGATTTGTCCTATCTCTAGTTACCGCATTGTCGCACAGGAGGTGAATAATAACATCTTCGGAGCAAAATAAAAATGGCCTACAGGAACGCAAAAGCGATAGAAACCGTCTAGAGAGTGGTCTAGAAACGGTTAGACGAAACCTTTAAGGCCAAGATTATCATAAGTTACTAAAATGACGCTCGCCTATCTAGGAATATACATCGTACGTGATCATTAATCAACAATTCAACGTGTCCAGGTTCTCACAAGGCTGAGTATCGAGCGTTCTGATCGCCGTCAACATCATGACCACCATTGGTCGAAGCGCTAGATGTAACCAAATTCTGCATGCATCCTGGCAGACCCTTCAGAAAAATTCAAAAAATTCAAAAAAAAAAAAAAAAAATCCAAACCCCATGGCCTAAACTATGGAGAGACAGCCTTAAGAAACCTAAGCACAAGATGGCACTGACCGCAAGATTGGCAGGAGAGGCTCTCATGGTTCTGCGAATTGAACAGGTGAACCGCGAGGTTTCCCCTCCCATCTGGCCTGCATACGTGCATGCATATAACTTTGGGCTAATTCGGATTCGTCCTTGTCCTTTCATGTGTAACGAAATAACTTACAGGCTAATCATAATACACGCCCGAGTACAACGAGTTACTCTGGGTGTCTACATCTTTTGATTGATAGATTAGGATGTCGACAGTACGAGCCCGTTTGAAGGATGCATAGGGCTGATATCTAGTGCTGTTAGTTATCTAACTACAGGGATGAAGGAAAAATAACAAACAATTTCTCATGCCCTCTACCCCTTTACTGCACAAAGTGTGTGTGTCTTCCTTCTTCCGGTGTTCCCGTAAGTCCTTTTTACGGGAGACTTGAGAAGCGAAAAATACACGCACTGATATTATTGTGGATATAGCCTGCCGCTGGTCATGGTATTTGTTGGGCTGGCTTGCGCGGACGACGGGAAACTGGGGACAGCAAAGAAGTAGTTAAGTGACTCAGCCCTATCTCGTTCCTCCTGCTGATTGCCAAGCAGCTTCAAGGCATATTTTTGCGCGGCATACATGTTAGCGAACTCTTGGGACACAGGTCTTCACTTACGGAGTACTACTATCCTGTGCTGTCGCCTGAGTAAAGGCTTTTTCCTTGCCTGAGGATCGGGTCTCTATCAAACGTGGCTGCAGTCTAGCCAACTGTCACGCACCGGAATCCGCCTAAGTTGACGCTACCCATTTGACAGACGTTTGTACGATTAGTGATTGCGGATGCCAAACTATCGAAACCGCTTAACAGTCATCGATGAGAACACACATGGCTTGGTTCAGCACCAGCGAGTTACATGCCAGGACTGGGTTAACTAGCATCATAACTAACTAAATAGCTAACGGGTTATCCTAGCTACTCAATACTCGGTAATTCCGAAGATGAAGGGTGAAGAGAACTAAGCGCCCCAAAAATCATTGTTCCTTCGCCGTTCTACTCCGTACTTGTTGTTTTCCGCGCGCCGGTTGCGGATGATGGTCCATACACGGGGAAAGATGGGGTTCGTACGAAACCCGCTTGGTGGACGGACGATTTGCTGCTCGGTGCTTTCTGGTGGATTTTTGTTTAGACGTCTCCAGTAGATCATCTGTCATCTCGGACGGAGATACGGCACACCAACACTCTTCTACCACGACGCGGGAGGGCGATTTGTCAAAAAGCTTGAGCTTGAAAAGTGGAAACTGGTAACTCATTTTCGAAAAACGACGATGGGTGATATCGGATGCGCAGAATCCAGTGCTTTGTACGGAGTAACAAATTTTCTTTTTCTTCGTCTCCGTCTGATAAATGGTTTTCTGGCCTGCCCTATAGCAAACAGCGGCCCTTGCGGTTATTATACGTGGTGGTCAGGGATTAGGAGGTCCGTTTCAGGCGATTGCGAGAAAAGGGCTTCTCCTTCTGCATGGATCGTGCGGGATCACCGGTCTCTCGGTAAGAAAAGTGATCACTCTGTTATTATTAAGCCTACATTATGCAGGATGCCCTATGTAAGTAAGAAAGTCTTTTTTTCACACCCCTTCTCCTCCTGGCTGGATGTGAAAGCTGATCATCTCCACCCAGGACCAAGGCTTGGAACAAGCGTGGTTGATACGAGAGCAATCATCAAAAACTATCCCAACTTTTTTATGTGCGGTAAACTACTGTATGTTATCAGACAGGAAAAAAAATGGGTTTCATCGTCAGAAGAATGTGTGATACTCCATACCTCACCGCGTACGTGGTTTTTTTGTATTCTTGTTGATCGACGAGCGAACGCAAATGGGCCAAAACTATCATTTCAATAGTGCCTTAACATCCCTGAGCTGTGTCCAGGATTATTCCGGCCAACTTGAGTGATGTACGGGAAAAAAAGGGGGAGATGACAATTCGGATGAGGCTCAAATTATTTCCACCGCAACATGCGCAGAGTACTTTTCTGTATGCTTGTACATCAATACCGTGTACGTATGGGAGATAGTCCATACGGAGAGAGCACCGCCACAAGATACCAACGAGCACCATGGCTTGGTGAAAGATTGAAGCTCTTGCGATACGGTGGAACTAGGTTTGCATAACATCGTCATGCATGTGGCGTCATGCTCACCGTGAACAGTATTGTCTTCTTGTATCACGAAAAATGATCTGCTTTACCCTCCTTGCTCGTGTCATGCTGGGCGGGCATAACGGCACAACTTAACGAAGGATGAAGAAAACCTCTCAACGTTTCTATACATGGTCTCTCTTGGTGGAGAGAGACGGCTGACAATGCCATGTGGGCCAAGTTCGAGAAAAAGACACAGGAGGCGCAATTAAGGTAATATAAAATGTAACGGATGGTTGCAGACAAGAAGCGAGCTTGTCACCAAGACTTGACTTGAACTCTGGTGGATACCAACTTAAGCATACTTAAGGGCATACTAACTACTCCGTAGAGGGCGGGAAATGGGCCATCTCGTCTGATATTGTATCAAGTGGAAACTGAACCATGGGGGTCGATATCTGGTTGCCGACGGTCCGAGACTTGAATCGCCGATTTTTTTTAGTATGGCGAGTTAATACTCCGTAGAGGTCATCTCCTGAGCCGCAAGCCACAGGACCTTCAACCTAGGCATAAGGGAGCCGATAACTGTTTCATCCATAGTACATGAAGGAATCGAAACGATCTTCTTGAGTTGCATTCCTTACGTTACTTCGATGGAACAGCAGGAGGCAGCCCGCGTTCCTCCGGATGCCAAATGGCCGCAGATTTCCCTGCAGGAGCCGCTCTCATTCAAATAACCGATGCTACCTGACGGGAGCTTGCAGTCGCATCGCTAACCACTCTCCGGATGCTCACTGTCACTCACCCAACCTGCCTTACGTTTCCCTCCATACTCCGTACTCTGTACTCTAATACTTAACGGACACTGATATCAACCATAACACAAGGAAAAAGAAAGTCTGATTTTCGGCAATAAAGTTGCGGTAAAGATATAAATAGCAGACGGCCGTGAGCCAACCAGAGCGCCCCAAGGTCTTATGTAAGACATGACGCCCGGCTTTCTTGCGACACCATTGGCTGTGGTTGTGCACCTTGGCAGAACGTTCACCGCCAGCCCCAAAAAGGAAAAAGGACGTCAAGCAAAAAAGCAATGAAACAAAAACAAAGCCACGAAATCAATCTTACCACAATCTTACAAGACGACGCAAGTTAGAGTCCGGACGGCGACCACGGACGAGCAAGCGAGCATGGGACAGGGCAGCAGGCAGAGTTCGGCGGAGGGGAGGCTTGCTAGTCTGGATTGGGAAAATAGTGGCAGCAAGCCGATTCGGCTACTGCGGCCCTTGACTGGTGCAGATGGTCCTCGATGTCGTCCCGGGCCGTTGTTGATGGGCAGATGCAGAATCGCTATGGTACATGCTGGCTAACCTGTGGCAGATGCTACTTGCACGCGGATGGCAACGACGCCTAGATTTCACACACACTCTCTCCCACCCCAGCCCCCGAGAGCCAGGACTAAAGCCAAGCAGAGGTTCAGACAATAAGGTTGTGGGCTAGCAGCAGCGCTGGGAAAAGCCAAGTGTACGAATATTTCGAGACAGCGACAGGCCTCCCACCGGATTTCACCAGATACATCGGATACGTCAGAAAAGCACGGGAAACATCACATAATAACTATCTGCAAGAAGTATTTTGTGCAGTTTCAGGAGATCGGAACAGGAGCATTAGTTACTAGTGTCAGATGAGAGACACCAGGGTGGTATTTCATCCCAAATTTCCGCATGAAGTTTATGCTGACTTGCACATTAATTCCCCTCAGCAGTCCTCCCCCCCATGTACGGAGCAACTTAAGCCTGCCCTATGACCCGGGTCTGGGGGCATGCGACAGGAGGCCATGTAAGATGACATCAAGTGCAACGCATTCTAGAACATATTCTGTGCCCTGCGTCTTTTTTTCGATAGCTCGCGGTCAGAGCAGGGAAAAAGGGAAGGCGAAGATCTTTTCTCCTCACTCTCCTCACTCTCCTCACCTTGAGATTACTCCGTACATCGAAAGAAAGCTGCGGGTCTAGATGGGCCTTCAATAGGGCTACCCAGTGGGCAACGACGAAAATCGTCATGTCAGACTTTATTGTATTCCTTTTTCCCCCTAACTGGGTTGATTCGGGGAAAGAGGTTTTGACGGGGGTTTTTGAATGAAGGACTTGAAAAGGAGAAGGCATTATGCCAAATAAGTCCAGTGGAATAATGGAAATCATTAACACTAGAACAGCCGATCATGCTCCAGAGGTGCGGTACCCAGATTCAACAAAACGTGCGGACAACAACGGAGTTAAAATGATTCATTTTCAACAATACTATTATTACGGCTATATTCGATCTGAACTATTCGTGGATCGGTTGAGATTGTCTCTCTAGCCCCATGTATAGTTACAATTAATCAACATCCAGGTAAGACAAAAGGAGTTGTTCCATTTTCGAACAACTAAAATACATGGGTAGCACAGACAGGCCTCTGGGAGCGGAACCGAAAGAGAGCGGAAAACAAGCAGCAGGTCGATAAACGACGAGGTTAACGGTTGAGTTGTTGACCGAGACTTTATCAGCATAAACGAAATAGTTATACGCCATATCCGCGGTGAAAAAGGACAGGCTTGGGCAGCGCAACGGTGATTGACAGCTCTCTAGTCATTATCAAGCACGTTGACAGAGGAATGGTTAGGTAAATCACATCGTATCCCCGGGTGGATTCGTACGCACCTCCTCCAACATAGCCTATTGCGGATCGAGAGGAGTCCCAAAGGGGAAGCAATCTGATATTATTTCCGCCTAGAACCTGCATGAGGGCGAGCACTCAACGACAAACATTCTTGCATGCAGACCGCAGCGAAAGTTCGTTGACCGGTTCTCCGTGATCCTTGCACACCTGATGGTGAGTACTAAAAGTGGCCATAAGGCTGCTTTTGGCCAATTATCTTGCTGGGAAGAGGATGGTGTGGATCAAGAATGTTTACTAAACCTTGACCGGGGTTTGCGGAGCGACGGTGAAGGGAAAGAGAGAAAGAGGGAAAAAGAGAGAGAGAGGAAAGGAGAGTTTGTTACTCTGTATGGAGGATACTTTGCATTTTCTGGGTACCATTAGAAAGGCTAACTCTCTTTTCCTCCCTCTGCGGAGGAATACACGGAGTTTCAAGATCAAAAGAGAGGCTTCTGCATAGCCGGGGTTGCACATTACGTGGGACGACAGAGACGTATCCATGCTTTCTTCCTGTTATTTGTCTTTTCCTCTTTTGTTTTTTTTCTACTAATCATTTCTTTTCAGGTTCCTCTTCTTTTTGTTTTTTACAGTCGTTATTCTGTGACGAAAGTTGATGGATTGGCAAAAAGATGGAGAATCGAAAAAAAAAAGAAAGAGAGAAAAGAGACGAAGGGGGAAAGACAAAAGGCAACACCAAGAGAGTTCGTGCTGGGTGTTGCTCTTGTCGTCTCTGATCCAGTAGCCAGTGAGCGCCGGGCCAGTTTCCCCGGAGGGCACTCGATTGGTCTGTTGCTATTTTGGATTTGAAACAACCATCCGTGTCTTTTCATAGTAAGTATCCGCGCATAGGCTTCGAGTTAAAAGCTAAGAGGGGACTGTGGCTCGCAATTCCAAAATCCAGTCCGTCAGTTAAAGGTATCCCAGTCAAGACCAGTTACCTGATCTGAAGGGCTACCGCATGTCTCTAGGGAGCATCGAACGCGTCACACAGAAAGGGAGATGGAAAGGGAGATGGAAACGGAAAGAGAGAAACAAACATCAAGAAGGATCAGAAGGGTCACAACCGACTAAGCACAACGATGGATTAGCTTGTCCATCCGTGCCCCGCCGTCTAAGCCCTACGCAAGATTTTAATTTTTAAACTCGAAGGAGACTCCGACACCCGCATGACGATGACGATGAATGATATGGCCCGTATTTCTCTTACGCGGTTGCTTCCCGTGCGACGGGGAAGCCGCCGGTCAGTACGAAAGCATATACAGAGCAGCAGACCTCTGGGCAGAAAGGGGGCCATGTACCCATCCCATACAGAACCTCCCCCAAACACTCGGGTAGCCGTATGTAATGACCGGTACGGCCAGGACTCTGTATGGAAAAAGAGTCGAGAATTAATATGGGCGTTCATCCCTGTCCTGCCCCCCGGTCCTTTTCCCCCTGTCCCATGCACGCAGGCCGAGTGGATGCTTTCTCACGTATACCCATCTCAGTGGAAGCGTCCCGTTTCGTGGGTAAGCTACATTGCGGTACCTGATAGTGATATTGAGTTCCCTGGGCTGGCTCGTCTTTCCATCCATATTCTTCCAATATTGTTGCCCTGAGCCCTTTTATATAATTGATCCTCTGCCTCTTTTCTCCTCCACCCTTCTTCCTCCTTCCACTCATCTTCTCGGACTTTGCCAGACCCATCTATATAACTCCCAACCTCCTACGCCCTCCATCTCCTTTACCCTTTCCGACAGACGCCTCCTTCTCTCCCCCACTCCTTCTCTCGGCCCATACTTATACTATCTGGGGCCGTCCGGACTTCGTGCTCGAAGCTCACCAAAAAAAATCGACGGGCAAACAACCTCTTAATAACATGTGCTCATAGCAAGAAGAGCTTCCAGCTCCACAGCACTCTGATCTTCACATCAACTAGCAGAACGATCGAATCTCTGACCGATCAGTCATAAAAAATACGACCCAGTTCGTCTTCCTGCCCTTGTTTCCAGTCCACTCTCTGGACTGCCACCTGTGCAAGCCTATTGGCCGCCGCATTGCATCCTCCCAAATTTTCGATCGGCTCTGCGTGGTTCGTCTCCGTCCCTTCCATCCATACTTCGACCTCTCTTTTCTCCCTTCTCCCCTTGCCAGTTGTCGTCTGTTTTTCTCCCTTTTGCTCCCCTCTCTCCCTCCCCCCTGGGTGTGTCTTTTGTGAGTGGTCATGGCAGCTATTTAAAAGGGCTGCCCTTTGCCACCCTTCTTGGTGCCTGTAAACAGCGGTGCGGCCCGTCCATCGATCAACTCGCCCCCGATGCCCTGAAGTTCAAGCTTGGCGATATACTTGACAAACAGCTCAGTGTTTTTGTACACATCGATCGCTTGCTCTGCCAGTTTCCCTTCTTCTCTGCCCTAAATATTCCTTTTCCTTTCCCAATCGATTCATTTTTCTTTTTATTTATTTATTATTATCTTTCTTTCCTGCCTCATTAATCGCCCTTTACCTGCCAAAAGAAAAAGGATTGTCCATCGCCCATGTGCTGACCTCGGTTTCCTCCAATTAGACCTAGCCCATTTTTGTCTGCCTAGAATCCTATTTTACCGTGGGATATAGGGAAGATCAAGGAGATAAACGCTCCCCGGGCTTTCAGCTTCTCTTTATTTTGATTTTCCTTTCCTCGTTTCCGTTGTGCCTCTTCCTTGCACTACTTCTCTTTTTCTATACTCTTACTCCTTGACCGGGCGTAAAGAACCAGCTCTCCGTCATGCTCGCTTTGGAGCGCCCTGCTCGCGAGCAATCCTACCTCCAGCAACTCCCCATGGATCCGTCTGCCTTTAGCAGCCCGCTAGACTCTCTTGACCCGCAGCAACAAGCGTTCTTTGGGGTATACAACCATAATAGCAGTCTTTCATGCGATCCTTACCCGTTCATGCTCCAGCAACCCTTGGCCCTGGACTCTCCGCTGCTTTACCCTGCCAAAAGTGATTTAAGGCTGGCGCCAAAGCCATCAGGCTCGCCACAGTTTCTCCCGCTCTCTCAGCTGGGCGATCGGTACTCTTCGATCAGTTCCTCGGCTTCTACCCACTCCCTCCCCAGCGCAACAAACTCGTCAATAGGCTCCCCTTATCAAGACCAGTGGCTTGACATCGACGTCTCCGTTGGTGCGGAGCCGGTAGCCATGGTTGGCGAAGGGTATCCGAACGACTTCCTGTCAAATAGCATCGACCTGAGATGCTATATGCGAGCGAAAAGTTTTCCACTCCTTACGTGGGTAAGTACTTTCTAGACCTCGTTTTCTCTCACACACTCTTTTCTTCCTCCTTTCGTATACTGTAAATCTTGTGTCTGCTGGTCGAGCGATATCGCTTATATCCCCTTCCACCAACACAAGATTTATGTTTCATCTTTCGTCTATCCTGTGTCCACAGCCCGCTGTCATGGCTATTGTTGCAGATGAAGATAGATGCAAGGAAAC